AGTATTCTTCAATAGTCCCTCTCTCTCTCTCTCTCTCTCTCTCTCTCTCTCTCTCTGTACACCGTGAAGACGCAAAAACTTCACTTTTTGCCCAGTTTAATGGAGTTGGAAATAATTGAAACCACGACGGCGTCTTTTACGCTGCGAGCGCGCATAAAGTTGTTCGCGAGAGCCCGACGACTAGACTCGCCTGCGCGCTGCAAAATAATTGAAACATGTCGGTGTGCAAGTGGTGGTACTTGCGGGAACATTATTTTATCGTCGCCCTTGCGCGATGTATATGTAACTGGGTAGGTTGTAAAGGGTATTTTAGAAATTACTTTAAAGTATATATATGAAATAAAGATATCTGGGTGAATTTTAATTGCGAAAAGTATCAGTTGGAGTATCATAGCGACGATTTCGTAGTTTCGAAACATTTAGACCAGTTTAAGTACGATGATATATTAATTAAAGCCGACGCCGCTAGATGGCGAGTAACTTTATACGAAATTCTGCAAGTGGTAAAGTCAAAATAATCATATACAAGCTCAAGAACGATTTTGAACCGACAGCTAATGTAATGCTGTTCTTCTAAAATTAGTTTGACTAAATACACCTACTTCAACTTAAATACCTAATAAAATCGGATGATCAGATTCAATTCAATTGACTTGTTAAAAGTAGCAAAGTTTAGCTAAATAGCAAATTGTATAAGTCATACGACGGTTTTGAAATTAAAAAAAAAAAAATTACTACTGAAAATTTTATAAATGGTAATACGCGAGAATTTTATATAGTTAAAAAATGGTCATTTAAAAAAATATGAAACATTATATGTCCATAAATTTGAAAAAAAAACTCAAAACTTTCGTTTAGTACGTGTTCAGATCTAATGGCTCTTTCAATTTTCATGTCCTAGAAACTTTTTTATGGCAAAAAATTAGTCAAAAAACAAGAATTTTTACATATACTTATTGTAGGATACCAGCCTTCATCTTTATCGCAAGCTTGACAGCATCAAAGCAATGAGTTTGAATAATGATACACGCATGGCTCACCCTAAAGTTAAAACTCCCAAGTGCTCGGTGAGACTTCCAATAATCTTTTTTCCAGATTAGCGTTTTGGTTCCCATAATAATTCTGTAAGATGAAAATTAACATTTTCTTTCTCCGTCGTTCAGTTAAAATGATTATGACAAATGATGAAAAAATATAATAATACTCTGAGTTTGAAAAATATTACTTACAAAAACAAAGTATCAAATTTTTCTCGAAACTCACTCAGCATAATAACCCGTTTCATTTTATGCTATCGAAGCACACGGTAAATAATTGAATTCCCATTCAGTTTGCCGCGCGTGCTTCTCGCCGAGGAATCTCACGAATTTATTAGCACGTTTTTCGAAAAAAAAAAAAGGATCGATCATAGTGTACATACACAAACGCTCCGCTCGCCGGGAATGTTGCAACGTTGAAAATTTTCTCTCAAAACAATGTGTGCATCAGCAGGCATGCACACACAACGGCATAACTAGCGCTGACGATGAAAATCGCATTTATTCAGAATTCATATATTAGCAGCAGCAGCAGCAGACTCTCTATTGTGCAAAAAGAAGTCAATCTCGCATCGCGAGCGCGCGCGATTTAAAATAAAAGCTCCGCCTGTGTACCGCAGAAACGCCAATACCAGGAAAATATATTGCATCGAGGGAATGAAATGCGCTCTCTGCTGCTGCTGTGTGGCAGGCATCGTTTGCTCATCGGTGGCATATCGCAAGGAGAGGCGTAGAGAGAGAGAGAAAGAAAGAAAAAAAAGACTTATAATATGCGCTCGCGCATGCACATGCATGGAAGCGAAGCTCGTAGACTAGTATAAGTCCCGCAGCAGCAGCGGCTTTTTAATACATAATCAGGATAGCTGCGCAGCGTAGCTTAGTGTGTGTGTGTGTGTGCATGGTGCAATGGCTATTGCGGGAAGTAGCTATGCAGCAGCAGCAGAGGCTCGGTGTTATCAGCGACGATCGCGCGAGCTGCTGCCGACGAGGGTAGCAAACCAGCCACAGCAGCAGCACAAACATTATAGCAGTTAGAGAGATGAAGGCTGCTTTGTGCACACACACATACACACACATACATACACGTGCATACACACGAGGGCACGGGGAGATATCGCTTAGCAGAAATCACGGCCACTGGGTGGCTACCGAGAACTTGCCAACTTCATTAAAATGTAGAGAGAGAGAGAGAGAGAGAGAGGCAGAGAGGCAGAGGCAGAGACAGCAGCAGCAGCAGCAGAGAGAAAAAGCCAACGATCAAGCAACTCATTGTTTGCCGCCCTTTTTGACTTTATACTTCTTATAAGCTTGAGACAGAGAGAGAGAGAGAGACCTGAGAATGCCTAGAACTTTTGCGTTGCGAATCGCTCGTGGGCTTTGGCTGCAACGTTATATGTAGTGTAAGAACCAGGCAGTTGTGAGATTTTAATTATTTCACTATAAATATTCGATAAACGGGGGCAGTCTGCGTAATTGTGTCGGATTTAATTCGATCCGTAAACCAGACGTGACTTGATAATTTTTTTTTTTTATCTCGATCCGAATCGAGTAGCAGCAAAAATTTACCGCAAATGATATACAACCGTTTAATTTTTTCAATGAATAAATATATGATTTCTTTTAATAGAAAATCGATTGGAATCTGCTCGAGGGTTCGCAATTGTACCAACAAAAAGAAGACACAAGATCGATACGGCAGTGATAATCGATAATTGCGTATACGAGTCGTAATAACGCGCGAGATAAGCTCCTGGAAAGCTTTGCATTTTCTTGCCCGGTCACTTGAGAGCCCTTTAAAAACAATAAAAAAAGTTGGTTGGCAGCTTTGTTGGATACGCATACAAAAATAGTCCATAATAGCCGCGGCTCAATGGGGCGTCGCGCGCGAGGCACACGCACGAGCCTAGGTATATAGGCAGCAGCAGCAGTAGTAGTAGCCTCCCTCTCGGTACAACGGTAAAATACAGTGAGCCAACTTGTGTCTCTGTTGACGACGACGACGAAGAAGAAGAAGAAGAAGAAGCCCTCCTCGGCCTCGGTTCGCGATAAATCACGCGAATTGAAGGCGCTTCTGCACGAGGCGTAGCAGCAGCAGTAGTAGTAGTCTCGAGGAGGCTGAGAGAGAGAGACCACTCGCGTAGTACGGAGAAGTTGGGCTTCTCACGAGCAGCAGCAGCAGCAGCAGCAGCTCATCTCACCTAATTGAGCATGCTCGACGCTCATCTCATCTATTATGCTGCTGGGCCCTGAATAATGTATTGCCTACATAGGCTGCAATCTGCATCTCTCGCCCGAAAAATATATCATACGTGTGTTTGCTTTGCGTATACGTGCATACGTACCGAACTCGACGTCGGGTTCAATAATATTTGGAGCAATTATTCAACTTTTTGTTTTCTCGAGAACTATATTCTTCTGTCGTTGGTATATAATTAGTTATTTGCCAGACGCGTACGAGGGAATGCGATCAGTTATCGATCGATTGATAATTTTTTATTTTATCGATGTCAATGTACATAATACGGTCTTTATCGGCTATTTAATCGAGACTACGAATTTTAAAACTCAATCAATTTGCATGCAACGAGAAGCAAATTATCAAAATTATCGAGATTTAAAGTAAATATTCATTTCCATGCAGAAAAAGTGCCGAGTGCTTGTGAATTATGGCCATTCATATTCATTAGAGCTGCTGCGTATACGGTATATTTTTGTACACGCGCACACACAACGTTCGCGACTGTATTTGCTTACCGAACGGATCGCTCGAGTAACGCCAGGCGTCTACTCTTTTCACGGCTTATTGGGACCACACACACACGCGCGCGCGCGACGACAGAAAGGGAAAATCGACCGAAAAAAAATCATCCATCGCGCTCGTAAAGGTGTCTCTCTCGTTCGACTACATTATTCTTTACTTTTTGACGTGTACGATGATGTATTTTTGTCTGCGCGAAATAAAATATGCGAAATTGCGACGCTTGTCTGCGAATAAGAAACGAAATGTGTAACGAAAATGTCTTATCGTATTCATGATTACAAATTGTAAATGAAATTAATTTTATGAATCGATAATATTATGTTCAAAATTAATTTTTAATCAAATATATACAGACTAACTGAGATTTACAACTTGATTTACAGGCAGTAAGCACCATCTGTCTGATTTAGCGTCAAGCTCTCGACAGATTTCTTTTCTACCGATCAATTTGAATTTCATACCTGATACGGGGTGAGTCGTAAACATTTTAATCTTCATTCGTCAAATTTTTATTCATATGTGAAAATGAAAAATTTTTCTCATTCGTCAAACTGAAATCATCGCGTCAGTTCGTAAAAAATATAAGCAAAAGTGCGCGAAAGCTCGAGAACAGTGCCACTCGTTGGGTTGTATTTTTTTCATTATTTTTTAATTTATAAATACTTGTATTGTCGCGTATATGCTGAATAAGTAATAAATGATCGTTAGAATACTAGAAAAATAATATGATTTTCATTAGCATCCGTAGCAACAATTAATTTTATAGCTTTGAAGCTGTTGAAATAAAGCATCAGAACACATAAAGTCACTGCTTAAAGTTAAGTACCGTATCTTATATTAATTAGAAACCATTTTTTTAAATATTTATTCCATCGAGTTTCATTGTCAAGATATTCAAGTAAGTAATAAACAATTGATGGTTTTCGATAGATATGATACTAATCTGATGGAATCGATACTTTCATAAATATTTGACATTCTCTCTTATAGCGATTATAAATAATTCCTTTTTCTACTTTTTAACCCACGCATATTCAAATTATTACTCCAATCGATAATTAACAAAAGCAATTAGCGAAACTGTTTCGAAAAACAGCCTGTAACGCATCTTACCCGGCGTACGCGAATGCGACCAGAACATGTGGGTAAGTCGCGCCGCGTCCGCGTGGTGAACAACGTAACAACTCTCGGTTTGTAATGATACTAAAAAGCGCCGGTCGTGTCAAAAACTGAAGTGCGGTTAACTGCTGCGACGTAAATATAAGTGTAAACATAAACAAAGAGTGCACACATTTTTCCGAGGATGGATTACTACTCGACGCCCAAAAATTTAAAGAACGATGGTGAGTCTTTTGAATCCATTGACGCCGATTGTCGCGATGGAAAAGTCATTTCTTCCTTGAGGTTAGGGTGGCGATTGAACACCTGCCAAAAATTATGATGCAGCAAGATGAATACATAATGCAACCGCATTGTGATGACTTATGTATTTTTCTTTGTTCGGAGTTTAAAGTTTGCAAAGTAACTTTGTTATCTATTTTATTTGAAGTATCATTGGATTTATTAAAGTGAAAAACTCGTCGGCATACATATTTAAAAAATACTTCAAATTTTATTAAATATTTCAATCAATAATAACAATTGATAATATGATTATTTGTTTATAAATTAACTTTAAGCAAATCGTAAGTATTGAACTCTTGTCAAACTGAAAAGTTCTTGAGCTTAATAATTTTTAAATTAATTTTTTTTAAAATTAGAATCCTTCAAATACATGTAAAAATTATGTTTTCACCAAAACTTCTTATCAAACGATTTTTCTTTCAATTCTCAATCAAAGCATTTGTAATCTTAATGTATTTCATTTAGATAGATTTTTTGAAAATTTACATGTTTTTTAAATTGACAGACTTGGCAGTTACTGGTGTATCAAGAAGTGGTAGAGTAAGAAAGAAGTCATCAAAATTAGTTGATTTTGAATCCCCAGATGATATCACAGAGCAAAAGCTCAAAAGGCAAAAAGCTCAACAACATGCACATGCTCAACAGTTATTACAGCAATTTGAACAAAAATTGCAAAGTACCAATTCTCCACTGCAAAGTACTGCATTTAAACCAAATAAACCTGTCCAACCAGCGAAACCTGTACAGCAAAGAAGTACTCCACAGCCAACAAAACCCTTTCAACAAAAGAATACTTTCCAAAAAACTAATTTCTCACCCCAGACTATTACTATTCAAAACAGAAAGATCATTCAAAATACAAATGTAAATAATCTTCAAAGGGCCAAAGTTGCTCAACAACCACAAAATTCTTATCCAGTGAATAATTTTCAACCACTTGTTAAAAAAGAAGTGCAAGAAAGCATCAATGAAAAGGAAGAATCATCAAGCGAAGAATCTAGCTCAGATGAAGAAGCAGAAGTAGCTAATGGATCTAATTTTAATGCTCATGAAATGAAACAAGATCATGGCATGGGTGTAGAATCTATGAGCGATGAAAATGATATTGACGATATGGATGTTGATGACGATGATGATGATGATGATGATGAAGACAACATAACTGCTGAAGAAGAAGAAACTGAAATTGCAACAAGTGGATTTACAAAACTTGAACCACCAGGTCAAAACACCAAAAATAGTTTATACATGTTGGAGAAATATAAAAAAAAAATTGTTATTAAAGATGGAAAGGTTATTAACAAAACTACAAAAACTCAGCGTAAAGACAAAGGGGTATGTTTACATTCTAGTTTTGTATATTTAAAATATTCTTAACAAGTTTTTTCATGAATATTCAAATGAATTTAGAAATCTCGTTTCACTGCATACATGCTATGGGCCAAAGAAACCAGACAGCAATTACTTGAACAAAACCCAAATCTAGGTATCTTACTCAATCTAGCAAAGATTAATTATTTTTCATGCATGTGTTTATTTATCTGTTTTTAATCTCTTTCAGATTTTTCTACGTTATCGAAAAAGTTAGGAGAACTCTGGAGTCAAGTTCCTCAATTAGAAAAGTATAATTGGGACAAACGTGCTAAGCGAATGGCTTTGACACCTGCTACAGGAAGCAAAGATAATAAATTACCTCCTCCCAATTCAAGAACATTTATTAACAAAACTAACAGTAAGCCAAAATAATTTTGAAAAATTATTGAAAAATTTTTATATGAAATTTTAACTACTTTAAATTATTTCAGTGAATAGAGATTCTGTATCTCCAAAAAAAATTATACATCTAGAGCAACCCTCTATAGGAAAGAAAGTACCTGAATCACCTACAAATAAAGACTTGATGCTAAATGAAGCTTATTTAGGAACAGGAATGTACAAAGTTACCGGCACCCAACCAATCGATGCAGCTGCTCATTTGACTCTGCTCGGAGAGAGTTTGACAAGTATTGGCAAAAGCCTAGAGGAAAACGAAGGACAGATAAAAGTATCTGGTAGCCTTTCTCTACTTTTAGACTCTTTTCTATGCGCCATAGGACCGTTATTATGTCTCACGCAACAAATACCTGAAATGAATGGAGCTACTCCCGAAAGTTTATCTACGACGCTCGAAAACGTTGCGTACATAATGCCAGGAGTATAAATAATGAACTTAATTTTAAATCGTGATCAATAGCAAATGAATTGTATTTTTTTCTTATCCAATAGTCGTTTCATCATTTCATTATATACACAAACGACAAATAATTGGCAGGTTTTTACCCGTTGAAACTTAATCAATTATAAAATCGAATGAATTTTATAGTGTAAAATAAATATAATTTACAGTTATGAAAATAGCTTTATAATTACATTCCTCAAAAATATGTATAATATTTACAAATGTTATCAGGAATATTTGTTGCTTTAATATACTCTTTTTATCAGATAATCACTTGACTCAACTAAGTAAAATTACGTAACTATTTACAAGTAAAAATTATTCTAAATTTATGATTGCTGTGGTAAAATTGGTGGACAGGTACAGAACAGATTTGTGTCGCCGTAAATGTCATCGATCCTCCCCACAGTTGGCCACATTTTTGTACTTCCCTTAACGAATGGCTAAAATAAAACGATACATTTTTTATAGTTGGGCTCAGCTTTTTGATGAAAAAATATGTGTTGAAATACAAGAAAAAAAATTGATCTTACCAGTGGAAAAGCTGCAAGTTTTCTTGAGTAAGGTCTGTCCCATTTATCGCAGATCACCTGCTCCTGAGTATGCGGTGCCATTTTCAAAGGATTCACATTCGGGTCCATCTTTCCGTCTTCGATATCTTTTATTTCTTGTCTTATAGCTGCAAAAAATCAATATTATCAAGTTCGATTCAAACTCGACATTCCAAGCAGTCGACGAAAAGTAACGATTCCCATACCAATAAGAGCGTCGCAAAATCTATCCAGTTCGACCTTGTCCTCGGACTCGGTCGGCTCGATCATCAGTGTACCGGCCACGGGCCAGCTCATGGTGGGCGCGTGAAAGCCGTAATCCATCAGTCTCTTGGCTACGTCGGCGGCCTCGATGTTGGCCGTACGCTTGAAGTCCCTGATGTCGAGGATGAACTCGTGCGCCACGAGGCCGCTCGAGCCCTTGTACAGAGTCTTGTAGTGGCTGTCCAGACGCTTGCTCATGTAGTTGGCGTTGAGTATGGCCACTTGGGTGGCTTTGCGCAGACCCGCCGGTCCCATGAGTTTGATGTACGCCCACGAGATCGGTAGGATGGCCGAGGAACCGTACGGCGCAGCAGACACTGCTCCCAAGCCTTCGTTTACCTTTTGTAAGAAAAAAAATATGATGTCATTATTGAGTCCAATGAAACGGAAATACCTTGACACATAGAGTAAGCGTAAACACACTTGACAACAATTAATCACGTAAATAGTAAGATATTATATTGTGCCTATTGGATAAAAAGTAAAAGATTAACTACACACACAAATGTCCAACACCAAATTAAAAATGTTACTTCGTAGCTTTGTCACACCGAGCACATACCTGGCCAAATGGTTGCTGTGAACGAGCCGATCGGATGAAAAATTTTCGAATAAAAAAAAAAAAATAATAAGTAAATAACAGCGAATAAATGAGCGAATATGTTTCATTAAAATATAATAATAATCTCGACGGTGAATCATTCGTTACCTTGATCTCTCCGCTCGAGGGCTCGACGATCGGATGATTCGGCAGGAATGGCTTGAGATGGCTCTTGACGCCGATCGGTCCCATGCCCGGACCACCGCCTCCGTGCGGTATGCAGAAGGTCTTGTGCAGATTCAGATGCGACACGTCGCTGCCGTAATCGCCGGGTCGGCACAGGCCCACCTGGGCGTTCATGTTGGCGCCGTCGAGATACACCTGTCCGCCGGCCCGATGCACCAGCTCGCACACGTCGCCGATCGTCTCCTCGAAGACGCCGTTCGTCGACGGATACGTCACCATCAGGCAGGACAGCCGCTCGTGAAACTTGTCCAGCATGGCCTTGAGGTGCTCCACGTCGATCGAGCCGTCCTTCTTCACGTTGATCGGCTCGACCTTCATGCCGGCCATCTGGGCCGAGGCGGGATTCGTGCCGTGCGCCGACACCGGGATCAGGCAGACCTGCCTCGCGCCGTCACCCCTCGACTCGTGATAGCACTGTATCGCCCTCAGGCCGGCGTACTCGCCCTGCGCGCCGCTATTAGGCTGAAAGCTGATGCTGTCGTAGCCCGTGATCTCGCAGAGATCGCGCTCGAGCTCGAGGAACATCTGCTGGTAGCCGCGCGACTGCTCGCGCGGCACGAACGGGTGCACGTCCGTGAAGCCCTTGAAGCTGCACGGCATCATCTCCGTGGTGGAGTTGAGCTTCATCGTGCACGAGCCCAGCGGTATCATGGTGTGCACGAGGGAGATGTCCTTGTTCTCGAGGGACTTCATGTAGCGGACCATGCGCGTCTCCGAGTGATACGAGTTGAAGACGGGATGCTCGAGGTAGGCGCTGGTGCGCAGGAAGGGGGACGAGTCCACGAGGCCCACGCCCTTGGTCAGGCCGCTGGCCAAGACCGAGTCGACCGTGGTCGGGGCCTCGAACACCTCGAACAGGTCGTCCACGTCCTTGGTCAGGGTCGTCTCGTCGAGAGATATGCCGACAGTGCCGTCGGGATTGTACCTGTGAACAAGCACGCAAAACGTTACTTCGTGTCAAATTCCTTAATTGTATGCATCATTTGAAGCAGTAATATGTTGTTTCGCGCGCTGCTATCGAACAAAAGTCTGCTCGCTCCCCCTACCGCGACATGTGTAGCAAGAACGACTAGTTCTCGGCATGCGCGCTTTTGTAACGTTTCTGTAACGTTGTATATCTTTGTCTCTCTCTCTCTCGCTCGTGGCATTGCGTGTTCGAACAAAGAAGCTCGCGGCGCACATTTTTACCCGCAGTACACGTTGCGACGCCGCAGAGTGAACAGTGAAGAATCAAGACTGCATCGAGTGTATAGCGTTGGTGAAAAGCGAGCGATACGATGTCCAACGACGAATTCGACGTATACATGAGCAATGGCGGTGTCGGAGGCCAGTACGACTTCGATTCCGAAATCGATAATCACCATGTCGATCCTACGATAGTCTTGAATTTCCGTCGATTGAAGATGATTCGCCAATTAGTCATTCAAAGGATCGAACAAGGATACAAATATACCCTTGCTCTAATTATTTATCACTTGATCAGAAATTGGCAGGGCCCGCTTCCGGATCTTCGCAAGATGTTCAGTCGTGAGCAGATGGATTGGCTTCTCGCCGAGTGTCAGAAATCCAAGCCTGTACTCGACTTTATCATCGGTACCGGATACAAAGACGAGCCGGAGGTAGAAGACGGCAAGCCATTGTCGCTTCGCGTCACACCCCTACACCATGTAGCTAGACTCAAGTTTTGGAAACCCTGGAAAAACGTAGCTCGCGAACTTTTCAAGGTGTACGACAGGTTCGACGTGAACTACAGCGACGAATCCGGATTAACGCACTTTCACGTGGCCTGTATGGCTGGCCTCGTTGAAATCGTCCAGAAATATCTCGAGCTCGGCCAGGTCGATCCGAATCTCCTCGTGCCGATAACGGACGACTCGCCGCTGCACTTGGCTCTGGCCGAGGGCAGGAAGGAGACGATGGAACTGCTGCTGAGACGAGGCGCCGATCCGAACGTGGCCAACGACGAGGGAACGACTCCTGTGCACTTGATTTGCAAGCATTGCTACGGCGCCGCTGAATTCATCGGACGATTCTTCGAGATCGTCGACGAAATGCAGAAGGCAGTGGAGATGGATGCCCGGGACAAGAAAGGCCGAACGCCCCTTCAGTGGGCCGTGGCGTATCCCCAGCCAGATTTGGTCGACGTACTCTTGGATCGCGGCGCCGATCTGTCGAGCTTCGTTTTCCCCACCGAGAGTCACTTCGGCGAGATATTAAAATCGCGCAAAGTTTCGTTGAAGAATAAACTTTTCATCGATTTGCGGCTGATGTCTAGGGCCTTGAGCGTCGTCGACCGCCTAGAGAAAAGAGGCTACGTCATGGACCTCGGCGCAGCCCTGACCGTCATGAAATTATCCGCCGATCTCGAGCTGTTCGAGAGATCCCCGAATCTCGGCGAGCGTTGGTACGAAGAGGAGAAGTTCGCGAGCGCAGCGAGGGAGCACACGATCGAGCCGAACCTCGCGCTGTACGACTTGATCAGGCTGCGACCCGAGAAGGCGGCCAAAAACTCGGCCTTGGACCACAACCAGATCCTGTACACGTTCCAGCACGAAGATCGCCTGCCCAAAGCGTGCCGCCGGCTGGAGTGTTTCGCGCGCCTGAACGAGATCGCCACGAGGAAATTTTGCCTGCGATGGGCCTGGGATTCGTTCTTGGAGCTGACCCGCGGTCGGCTGCCGTTCGTCCGCTGCGACGCCATCGTCGAGATGCTGACGAACGAGGACTTGTGGCGCATCTGCTTGGCCACCGCGGGCCGAAACTCGGTACGGAGCGTCGATTGACTCTCAAAGATTTTTGTTTTTTTTTTTTTTCGTTTCATTTCCCTTCTGGACAAGCTTTGTTTACGTATAATATGTGAAACTTGATTTATAAAACGATGCAATTGAAGTCAATTGAAAATTTAGGTAAATAAATGAATTCAATTGAAAAATTAAAAACTTGATATGAGTGAAATTATCTAATACCCAGATACCATATTCTACTTTATTCTTTGCTTTCCTGTATTTTAGTTACCTTTATTTCTATTTTATGCTTTTCATTGTTCTTAAGGAGGTTCGGGGGTCTCATTCAAAATGCAGCTTTTCAGCGTAAAATTTTGTTAAAATGATAAAAAAAATTGTTTGACCTTTTAACATGGTTTCTTACGAGAAATCATAAATTTTCGACTTTCAATGAGCATAAACGTAATGTAAAAAAACAAAAACTAAATAGAAAAAAATACGTACTTGTAGGAAATTTAATAAGGAATAATTTGACTGCAAAAAAAAGTTCATCGACCATTTAGATATCGAGAAATAAATTGTTATGTGTAAAAATTCATGGGTCATTTGTGCGTATCCTAATCAATAAATGAGCTAGAACAACAAAAATATGTGCTCTTTGGACTCTAATGGCAAATAGAATATTGTTTTACGCCTAGAACATCGAAAAGAACTCATCAAAATGATATAATTATTAATAATAGCTATAATTGCGTGCCAGTTCATTGAAAAAACGTATAATTTTGTGTTATTTCGAAGTTGGCAGGTCTGATTTTTTAACACGGTGAACATAGGAGCCCCTCGCGTCCCGCTTCGTTCCCCTCTGAGACCCCCGAACCTCCTTAATTTCCGTTCTTATAAAGCTAATTTGTTTATCGCAAATTCCAACGTAGACGTAGATAATAAAAGTTCAAAGTTAACCGAGATATAAGCAGCACTCACCTGAGATTGATCTTTCTCGCCTCGGCGTTGGCCTTGACACGCTCGATACCGATCCTCGGCTTGATCGTCAGCGTGTCGAAGTAGCGCTCGTTCTCCAGCTCGTTCCCCAGGCTCTTGAGTCCCTGGGCCAGGGCCACCGTCAAGCCGTGCACCCTGCGCGCGATCGCCCTGATCCCCTTGGGTCCGTGATAGACCGCGTACATGGCCGACATGTTGGCCAGCAGCGCCTGGGCCGTGCATATGTTGCTCGTCGCCTTGTCGCGCCTGATGTGCTGCTCGCGCGTCTGCAGGGCCAGCCTGTAGGCCTCGCGCTCGTCCGCGTCCCGGGTGACGCCGATCATGCGGCCCGGCATGAGGCGCACCAGCCGCTGGCGACAGGCGAAGAAGCCCGCGTGGGGTCCGCCGTAGCCCAGTGGGATGCCGAAGCGCTGACTCGTGCCCACGCAGATGTCCACGCCGAACTCGCCCGGTGGCTTGGCCAGGGCCAGCGAGAGCAGATCCGTGGCGGCGCACACCAGGGTCTTGTCGGCGTGGGCGCGCTCCACCACCTCCGCGAAATCCTCGATGCTGCCTCGCGTGTCCGGATACTGCAGCAGTATACCGGCGACGTTTTTCTTGCTCGTGTCGACCTTGAAAACGTCGCCTATTTCCATCTCGAGGCCGAGCGAGGCCGCCCTCGTGGCTATCACGCTGATCGTCTGCGGATGTACGCGATCCGAGACGAAGACCCGTTTGCGCTTGTTGTGACGGTGGCAGAGACCGAGGGCCTCCGCGGCAGCGGTGCCCTCGTCCAGCAGCGAGGCGTTGGCCACCTCGAGGCCCGTCAGGTCGCACACCATCGTCTGGTAGTTGAGCAGAGACTCGAGACGGCCCTGCGCGATCTCAGGCTGGTACGGCGTGTACTGCGTCGTCCTAATACATTTTTGCATTTAAGTTTCGAATTTACAAAGAAAATCTACGGAATGCTCTCTCGATAAATATTGTCATCGATGGAAATTTACGACGTTGTGTAAAAATGAAAATATTTTCGATCTTGAGATTACGTAATACCAACATGTTAACGAACCACAAAGAAACGTATCGATCCTAAATTTTATCAATCGACTATACTCACCATCCAGGATTCTCGAAGATGTTTCGCATTATCGTGTGGGGAGTGCAGCAATTGTAATATCCCATGCCGATAAAGCTTCTCCATACTTGATTCTTATCGGCGATCTCGCGTATCCTATTGATTAGCTCGGACTCGGCTGCAATTCGAGAGCGAAGGAAAGTTTGTGATAATAAAAGAACATAATTCGCATCGCAACGTCATATATTATTATATATATGTATTGAGAAATAATCATGCACGAATGTCATGAATGGCATCGCGCAACACGCGAGGCATCGCATCTTTGCGGGGGACAATATCGCGCGCGCGCGCGCGCGAGAGAGAACACAGTTTGCGCAGATTAAATAATGCGTGTTATTACAATGCTCCTCGAGCGAGATAGTGTGCCTCTCGATGATGGAAATTCGTAATCTCTCGCTCTCGAACGAAAATAGAATTCGGATCGCGGGCTCATTTTAATTATTTTTTTTTCCTCTCTCGTGCCGCTGCCGCTGCTGCTGCTGCGCGTGCTTCAATTAAATGAGAAAGAGAAGATGATCGCGCGCGAACGTCGTGACCTTTGATAAGTGCCGAGCTATCGGGCACAGCACCACACACGCTCTTTGCAATCGATATTAAAATACGTCAAATTTTTTTTCAACTTTTTTTTCCGCCTCTTCTTCTTCGAGTGCATCTCGCGTTTGTACGCGGCAGCAGCAGCTGCAGCTGCAGATTATATTATATACGACACGAAAACGCGACGCAATTTCCATCGACGTCGAGAGGAGTGCAGCACGAGAGATTGTTTATCGGAATTTTCGTCATCGACGCGATGGGACTGCAATTATCGGCGTGGAATTATTTCGATTCTTTTCTCGCGCGGATGCATCAAGTTTGCGATGATGATTTACGAAAGCTTATGCAAATTTTCAACGTTTTTCGATTTTTCTTTTTTTTTAATCTTTACTTACTGACTGGCTTCTCGATGTCCAATGCTTTGTTGAACAGTATGTTGGCGGGGACGGCTTTGGTGGTCAACTCTTCCAGAGACTAAATCAAACGCCAAAAAACCGTACCGTATAATAATAACCAGTCAACTATATCGATTTTTCATTTTCGACGAACCTTTAGACCGAGAAATTTCAGCATTTCCTCTTGCTCGTGCTCCCTGGGACCGATGTGCCTGGTCTCGAATTTTTCCCTGTCGAAGAGACCGTCGCTGATTTTGGCGCTCGTTCGGAAGCAATGCGCGTGTCCTCGCGCCTTTTTCCTCTCGACGAGCAGCCTCGTGCATCGTGTCAAACGCAGCGTCGAGAGCATTTTATAATTTTTACTATTTTTTTTTTCGTCTCGCTGTTACGCTATCGGCTCGTGATGCGTCTGCAATGGAGAATTTCATAGATTACATAATACGTTGAACATCGGAGTACAAGATCAAAGTATGATCGGACTGTATCGACATTTGAATATTTAATATTTTAGAAATGGGACACATTCGATATGGGAGTATGGTTCGAATGCACGCGGGTAATCACCTGCGCCGCGCATGCGATTTTCCAACACAGCTGTTGCGGCTTCTGCTGCAAACTGACTACATACGTATACACATTTACCCAACGAAGTGACAGTTTTGTCACACTTGCACGTTATTCGCATGATACGTATAGAATACATGGGATGATTTTAATGTACGATTGATTCTGTGATTTTTGACACAAGTTTGTTATTTATAATTAAATGGATCCGAAGCTCTTTGAAAGATTCGTGTGCATTCTTATTACGTCGACTCAATAATAGTCGATTGATTTAATAGAAAATAGAACGTGAAATATGGAAATACGAAGCTTTTTGGATAGATTGGTCGCTGACTCGAATTCGATGCACTTACCTTTGAGAATCAAGCGGGGAGAAACGAGAGACGACTCGGCGGTAATGAAATATAGCCAGCGAAACACGTGCTCCGTTGAAAAACGTCAAAGTCCAGTACGTGCCGGCGCGACTGGCTTGATACGCGTGCGAAACGCGACTGAGGCCACCACCGCGACGAAACGCGTGCATCGTGCTATGTATGAGCTCGCGCGCCTCCCACTCGACCAGCTCTCGAGCGCGATTTTTATTCCGATGACTGATGATTGTGCAAAGCCCGGATATAATTCCCTATATATGTTTTGCACTTCGTCAGTGATGATTTTGTGTACCCCACGCGCATCGAAGCCGATGATCGCGTCAATGGAACAATTTCGTCGAGATGTCGAGAGAATGAAAAAATTGAAATTTTAATTTACTCGTAAAATGAGAGCGACGACAGAAGCGCAAATATTATGCTTACGATAGATAAAAATAATTATAGTTTTTTTTAAGGTAAGAAGATCAATAGAACAATATTTCATATAGGGCAGTTTGGTATTGGCTTCATTAATTCATCAAAAGTTGGTATTTATGGTGTAATTTTTATTACAATTAAAGCAATTTACAACTTAGCGTTTAAATTAAATATCGTCAATATACATGCATCATCTTTGTTTTGATCAAGTGTCGTAGCAAAAGAGTTAAATGTATGTTACCGTTTCTTATTTTACAAAAATAAAAATAAAAATTTTTGCATTTTCATCAAAAATTTTAAATTTTTCACTAACAACTATATATTTCCTATTAAATTAAAAGTCAACTTAAAAGACAATAAAACCGAACTATGATTTAGCTTCAATTATTTCATGAACTTGTCCTTATTTTGTGATAGAATTTTAGCCGATGATTTGGCATCCAAGAACAAAGACTTGACCTCTTCGATATCTTCCTTCTTTATACTTGTTCTTCCATTGATTTTAGCCGTCAAGGAAGCTGGAGTCAGAAGTTGTACAACGTATCTGAGAGTTGACTTGCTTCCCAGATCACTCAGCTCTGTAAGGGCATCATCTTCAAGTTGTAAGCCTTCTGTAACTGCTCTCAATTTGATAATTTGTTCGATTTCTGGTTTAGAATAAGGCAAAGTTTTGATGATGAGAAGTCTATCCAAAAGGTCAAGTGGAATTCCGTGAGGGGAAACTATATCTTCAGTTCCACGAATTACACATTGGCCACGATTTGTAGCAAAAATGACAATGGGAGCAATAGCAGTTTCAAGAGCTCTGTGGAGATATGTGAAAGTTTCTATGTCTAACATGTGCACTTCATCAATAAAAAGTACACCTGGTACCAACTCCGCAATTCCTTGATCAATGTACTTATTAACAATTTTGTTGATCTCCTTCCTCAGTTTGTCTAAAACGTAATAGATTTGGTATTAAGTAAATTGTTAATAATGAAATAATATTTTGTTTTTAAAAAATGTTCATTTTTAAAAATTACCTGTAATTTCTGTCTTTTTTGGCTTCATCAATTGACCCATCATTGACATAATATCTTGGCCACCTTGTGGTTTAGCATTGGCTACATCTAAATCATGAAGCGTAACATCTTGAATAACTTCTTTTTTTTTGTGTACATCTCCTTTGGGAAGTGGCACGTACTCCTCAGCTTCCAAGTCAAATTCAGTGGCATATGCATCGCATCTACCCTGTCTTTTGACAGCTCCACTATTAGCTTCAATGTAAATAACATCTCCCACTTCTACTTTTTCTTTTTGAAGAGACTCATAAATTAAAGGATCGAGCTTCAGTTGTTTAGTTCCTTTAGCTGTTTTCAGACCAATAATGACAGACGAGACTGTTTTTCCATAACCACCCATTGGATTTTCAGTCTCTACTGGTGAGAGTTCGGTAACTTCTCCTTCGTAAACTTCTTTGGTCTCTTTGATTCTCAAACCAATAGCTCTTCTAAAGTTTTCCATTAAAACTTCAGTCTTTTTGATTTCTGAACTGTAAACTTCTGAACCTACCATAGGGCAAAATGGAACTTTATTCCCAAGCTCTTGAGCTATTGCTAGAGCTATAGCTGTCTTGCCAGTTCCAGGTGGTCCAGCGAACAAAATTGCCCGACCTGACATTTTCTTAGTTCTGATCATGTCAACTACAATTCCAGCAGCCTATAAAAAAAAATTATGTTAAAAATTATCATAATTGTAACAAATAATATATGAAGTTATGTTTAGAAGAGAGTTTTTAAGTCGAATGGACTTTTAAATGAAGAAAATATCTCTTTTAAAGTTAAATTCAAGTATTCTAACCTCACGAGCAGCTTGCTGGCCAACGAGACCTGCCGCAAATTGCAGGGCATTTCCACTTTCATCGAGACCTAAGCCCTTGATATGGGTATGGGCCGAAATCCTCTGGGTTTTGGAGGTACTCTTAACTTCTTCGATCTTCATGATTGATTTTTTTTTTTTTTCAGAAAAAGCACGACTACACTTGCACGAGGATGATACTGACTTGTTTGATAGATAAATAAGTCTGCGTTGTCCCGGCGGCCGGTTTGGTGGTTAAGCGCGTGTTTGTCTAGTTACAGCTGTGGAATGGGGAGGGGGTTTGCGTCGCGACTCGCGTAAGTCACAAAACTCACACACCGAGCATATCGGAGACAAATCTCACTAAACGCGCTTGATTCAAATTGTAATGATAAAAAAAAGAGAGTTTTCTTTTGTACACATTTAACATAGCGATTCTCGACAAAAAAAATTAATTCTGCTCTATTTCATGGAAATGCGACATTGGGCTTTGCAAAACGAGAGAACTATATAAATTTACAGACATCTCATAAAAATATAAGTGATGAATAAACCTTTTGCGTTTCCACAAAATAATGCAGGATAAAAACATGTTGAAAAAAGTTCGGAAAATCATTTTTCACAATCATGAAGAGTCATGCAAAAATGTTCAAATACATGACGATCCATGCCGGTATCAATACCATTGCAGCTATAATTCCATTTTTATAATCCGATATATCATTAACTGAACAATCGAACATTGGTTCAATTCCCTCTCGTTAATGATGTATTAAAATCTGTGCACGACGAAATAAACCAGCATTACATGATCAAAAAATTTATTTAGCAGAAAAAAATTAGAAACAAAAATTAGAAAAAAAAATTTTTGAAATTGAATTATATTTTGTTAAAATGAAGAATTAGTGGAGGTAAAGTGAATGATGATATCAGAAAATTGTTAAAAAATCATTTATTCATAAAATAATTTGTTGGTGAATTTTCTTAAACTTTACACATTTTTTACATATAGATTCATATTTACATTTATTCGTATAAATTTGCTTATTACTATAAATTTCAATTTACACATTTTTATTTAATATTAATTAATCGTTGAAGAAACGATTTGAAAATATTTTAATTATTTGTCCATCCTAAATTTCATTTCTATCACATTTTGAGAACTATCATCTAAATGTAGACCACAAGATACAAAATTAGTGTCTACGTTGTCCTAAAAGTAATAAAAGAATTAACAAGTAGGTATATTTTCAGGATATTCTGACTACCTTTCTTACTAATTAGAACTACTCGGATTTAACATTCTTACTTGTTCAACAAGAACTACTGATTCTTCATTTGGTATATTCAGACTTTCTACATCTTCTTGAGTTAAGACAATTACAGATTCACTGGGAATTTGATTTTCATTCACATAAGTATAGGCAGCATCCAAATTTTCATCAGTCTATAAATTGAACATTAAAATATTGAGTTAAACAAAGATTCAATTATATTTAATAACATATACTATGAAAGATTTATATCCAAACCTGATCTAAATAATCTTCAAAATTGTCATCGATGTCTTCACCGTTCTTAACAAAAGTTATGTTGTTGGTTTTACATGTATGACCTTTTCCTGTATTAGAAGTTTTATTTTTTTGAAGCCTTCTCCAAATGGTGGTTTTTGGTACTTGAAATCTAACAGAAGCAGCACTTTGTGACATAATACCGTCTTTACAAGCTGCTACTGCCTCTTCTAAACGTGAACTTTTGATTTCTTCTTCTACTTTACTTCGCTTTTTATACATCGTTGATGGTAATTTACCTTGATCAATTAATTTGGTTTTATCCCTGAACAATGTTGTTTTTGGTATCTATTTAAACAAACAAAAACTTTAGAATAAAATTGAAATGTATAAAGCTAAAAAATAATTTAAATTTTCAACTCATTACTTGATACTCTTGCGAAACTTTACACAGTGGTTCGCCTTTCTCTAATGCTTTTACAGCTGCCTTTCTAGATTCTTCTGGATAAGTTTTTTTGTCTCTTCGACTTCTGTAACACCCTTCTTTTTGAATTCTTCTCCATAATACAGTCTTTGGAATTCCATAACAGTCTGCTGATTGTTGTAAGCTTGATCCAGCTGTAACAAAAACTCATTAGACTATATTTTTTTTTTTAAATTCTAATTAACTTACCAAGAACTAATTTGATTGCAGCTCTCATATCTTCATGTGTGTAGTCATTTTTTGTTGGAGCTAAAGGTATATTTAAGACTTTTGCTCTCACATACAAAGTAGATCTTGGAATCTTATGTTGAATAGCAGTGTCTATCAATGATTTTCCTGCTCGAATATCAGCAATTGCTGCCTCTAACTGCTCATCAGTGTATACTCTTTTAAGACTACTTTTCCGTTTAGTCAATTTAATTCCCAATGGACAATCAGACAACCTTCTTCTTTTTGTTGGCTGAACGGGTAAACTTGGGGCATCTTCAGTAGTAGCAATCGATTGAGATTTCTTAATATTGGTAGTTGATAAAGCTTTTTTAAAATCAGTAGTTGATGGAGTTTTCTGATTATCAGTAATTGATGTATGATTTTCTATAGAAAAACTTGGTAAAGGAATTTCAGTACTAGTATTTGAATCTGATATGTGTGTATCAGTTAAGTTTGCTTCACTAGAGGTATCAAATTCACAGATATCTTGATCATTCGACGTTTCACTTGATTCTTCAAATTCAAATCCTGCTATCTATTAAATGAAAAATTATCTTCAAATATATTTCAACAGTAGGATTAGGTATTAAGGTTCAAGTATTACTCACATTTGAGAATCCAAAAATTTTTAAGAAATGACAAGCCTCCAAAAATCTGTCAACATATTTTTCTTCGATCTGAACTTGTCCATAATAAATGAAATGGATGAGTGACTTCATATCTTCAGCACACACATCATCAATTATAAATACAGTCTCTTCATGATTGGTTTGATTAAAAATTTCCTATAAAAGAAGTAACAGTTGATTAAGAAAAAATACAAATGGAGACCAGACCAAAAGAAATAATGAATGTATCTACAATATTTGATCATGGAGAGAAAATAAACCAATAGCTTGAACAATCGAAAATATCGACAGCAGTAATCGTTACGTTTTACAGAAAAAACAAATAAAAACACCACTTTACCTTAAAAAATTCGCTGCAACCATATAAAACGGGCCGATGGGCTCGTATTCGTTCTCCTTGGACGCACAATGTCACATCCAGCATATCCTCTCGCTCGTACGCTTCTCTAATGACGTCGCCCAGTTGATCCTTCAGATCATCTTCCGTCACTTGAAAGCAAAACATCTGATTGTCAGATGGATCGCCACCGGGCACGGCTATTCCGTGCGCTGACATATTATGCTCCAATTAACGTATTCCTAGGGATGATAATAATTTGCGTTCCGTTCCTTTTCCAACTTTATCTTTCTGACTTTTTGGTATGTCGTCCGGAGACTCTCGACGACTCGACGGGAATGCTCGTGGTTTTGTTTCACGGCGGAGAAAAGGAAAATGGAGATAGTATCACGAGGAACGAGCGAACGAACGACGTTATTACGCGTCTTTACACGACGAGCGATACGTTAGCAGAGAATCTACGAATGGACGGCGTTCCGCAAGACCCTCCAATGAAACGGGGACGCCGACTTTGAAGTTACTGAGCATGCACGATGCGCACGAACGCCACGGCGGCGGCGCAGTAAAAAAGCTTCGGAACGTTCGAAAAGTAATTGAAATTTTAGAATTCTACAAAAAAAATTTTTTTAATCTTATTTATCATACATTAAATGTAAAAATTGTCCCCCCTTTTTTTTTACTTTTTTTGTGATAATTTTATAATTCGACGCGAGCCTCCAAGGATTTCTTGACGTACAATCAAGCCATCCAACACATCATTATTAAAAATTTCTGAATTTTGGCAATAAAATGGCTTCGTAGTTTCTACGAGGATATTTCGAATGATTCTAAACATTTTTCTAATTTTCTTGTGTATTCCAAATCATTTTTTGAGATTATAGAGAATAGAGATTGTCCATATAGAATTATGAAATTGGTAGAGGTGGTCGCACAGTAAGAAACGTGTTCGCTGACGGCCGGAATTCTACAAGTCTATAGTGTCAGTAGTATAACGTGTGAATGTTTTTCTCGCCAGTAGAGTGGTACCCGCACCTTTAGGTTAGCTCTTTGTGTATCGCGTTCAAAATCACGTTTTTTCTACATAATATTCGATTTGACAGGTGAAATTTAAAAAACACAACAATGCCAGTCGATCCTTTAGCGAGATATCAGGGCGATGCCAGATTAAATTACAAGCCCACAGAAGAAGAAAGATTGGTTTGTACTATTTATCGACATCGGCACATGCGAACGTTTTTTTCAATTTTCAAATGTATAATTCTGTCTTTTAGAAATTAGCGAGTCTAGAAATACGTCTGAGGCATCAACCGTTACCACAACATTGTGTTGAAAAAACAGCCGGTACTCGAACATTAAAGCCGTTCGAAAAGGAACAGTTCGAGCAATATGTAAAAATCAGAAATGGTCCCTGGAGTGAAGATGAAGATCTGGAAATTAAGAGAAATTGGAGAGATTTTTGTACGGTACTGATGCCTATTCTTATTAATTTCTGTTTACGAATAAATAGAAACTGTACAATAATTTTTTTTAGGACCATGATTGGGATCCCAAAAATCCAAAACCATTTTTGCAAATGAAATACAAGAATAAAGAATTTTACATGAGTCTGCGAAACCGGAAAATGTTCATGAGATTTTTAGCTAATGGCTTAGATGATCGAACACTGTACAGTGTTTTTCAGAGATTCAAAGTTCTGTATGACAAGCACAAAATATCAAAGTAATAACCATTAACAAACAATAATGTTCATTTGACCTCTTCACAGTATTAATCTTATTTGTTTTTTTTCACAGGTACTCTGAGTTCGAAGATCAGACTATACTTGATTATATGAAAGATTACAAAGTGGAGCCAGAAGGGAGAAACAGAGTGTTCGCAGATTTAGCCATTATACTAAAAAGAACGAGAGCATCCGTGTGGCGCAGATATCGTGCTCTATGTAAAGCAAGTGAAAACGAACAACAAGCAAACAATTAGCACTTGAAGTAGTTAATCAAATAGGTAAATTTTTACTTAATAGATAAGTAAATTTTAGCTCACATAATAGTAATAGAAAGGTTAAATATCATTGTATAAATTTATGATGAATTCTATTTTCTAAGAGAATGTAAATAAAAGTCAAATTTTATAAATTAACACCACAAAAAATTTTTATTCTTATTTTAAAGTATTAAAAATCGTACTCCAATGGCAGTCGTATAAAATTATGCCTCGTTGGCAAAATTCATATAAAATAAAATAGTACAAATCAATATACAACAATTATCATATATCATTATTGAATAAAATCATAACTTACGCATGAAGTTACTTTCGTTTGTACAAAAAATTAAACATTACAATCTCGACGAGTCATTACATTATAATTCACATATGTCGTAAACCTTAATAAAGCTCAGTAATAGTCACACGATAAAAATTATCCATATACACAGTTATACAAGTGAAAGTAAAATGAGTGATAAAAACGCTAAAGCTAAATGGCCAATTCGCGAGCTTAAAAAACTAAAAGCGTGTGTGATGTAAAAGTCGACCGGCGGGGGAAGGGGGAGACCCGAAATATCGTTTTTTTTTTCGTTTTTTTTTCAAATTAAAACATGGGACCTATCACAGCGAGCGCCCGAACGGCCGATTGCACGTTACTGACGTGTATGTGATTTATTTGCAAAGACTGTACATTTTCGTCCTGAGTATTGACAGGCAGATTGTCGTCGGCCGGCGGCGCGTCGTTGTTGTTGAATTGCGCGCCGCCGCCTCCGTTCAAGCTAGCCGCGCGGCACCTCTTCTGATGGGCGAACAGACTGCCGCTGTGGCTGTAGGCCGCGCCGCAGGTCTTGCAGATGTAGGGCTTCTCGCCCGAGTGCGTGTACGTGTGCTCCTTCAGCGTACTCAACCGCTTAAAAGCCTTGCCGCAGGTCTTGCACAGATAATTGGCCTCGCCCGTGTGCCTGGTCAGGTGGCGCTTGAAGGCCGAGCTCACGGCGAACGCAGCGCTGCAGACGTGACAGACGAAGGGCCGATCGCCCGTGTGTATGCGCATGTGATTGGCGAGCGAGGTGGTGGTGGTGAAGCCGCTGCCGCAGGTCTTGCAGACGTGCGGCTTGACGCCCGAGTGGGTGCGCATGTGATAGGTGAGCGACGAGTTGCTCGGATAGACCTTGCTGCAGATGTGGCAGAGGTACTCGCGCGCCGGCTTGTCCTTGGGCTTGTGGGTGCGCAGATGCAGCAGGAGGCGGGCACGACTGGCGCAGACCCTGCTGCATACCTCGCAGACGGCCGGCTCGGGTTTGGGCTTGTGCATCGCCACGTGACGGCGCAGGCCCTTCTTCGTGGCCATGATCTTCTCGCAGTGCTGGCATTTGTACTCGCCTGTGCCGAAAAAAAAAATTTATGATTCGAGATTTGGTCGTTGTATTATACCGATTTCGAGATATCGCGAAACTCTTTGCCGATTTCAAAAAATTGAAAAAAAAAAAAATATATATATATAATGATCCAATAAACCTGTATCGAGCGACGGACAATTTTTACGTTCGCCGCGAGATGTTTCATCCTCGAGCGAAGCCCCCTAAAAAACCAGCTTTCGAAAAAGAGACTAAAAAATCGGTAATCCCTTCCCAACGAGACGCGATTAGTATTCGCGCGCGCGCGAGCGCTGAGTGGCACATCCATGAGAGAGAACGCATATGAATACCTATATACTATATGTATACGTTAGAGTTTCATCGCGCGCTTATATAAGCTTTTTCTCAATGCAAAGCAAAACTAGTTTTCTGCCTTATACCACGGCATTCCATTAAAAGCCCTGCACTCCCCGGGATGCCTTATGTAACTCTCTCTCTCTCTCTCTCTCTGCTTTGCGTGTATAGAATTTCCACACGTCGTAAAGAGGCGTAAATGTACCTGCTCGACTCGCGTTTCTCAATTCACTCGCGGCAATTTGAATATTAACGTATCGAATGTCCTCTAAGCACTAGTGTCTAAAAAAAAAAAGTAAATCGACCCGCGCGAAATTCAAATCGATCGCGAGAGACGACTCACCCTGGGCGTTCTCGTCGCCGATCGTGCACTTGCGGCTCTTCATCTCGTCGCTGCTGTCCTCCTCGTCCGACTGGTAGAGCTCGTTCTCGTCGGCTAGATTGTCGAGCAGTCCGTGGCCATGGCGCTCGGCGTGCTTCTTCAGCGTGTCCGCCCGGAAGAACCACTTCTTGCAGACGGTGCACGAGTACTTGCGCTCGCCGTGTATCAGCTGGTGGCGCTTGAGATTTTTCAGCGTCGAGCACTTTTGGCCGCAATCCTCGCAATTGAAGCTGCTGTTCGTCGTCGTCGACGACGTTGTCGTCGTGTTGACGTTCTCGAGTTCACTGACTCGGTGGTGGTCGTTTTGTAGTCCGCTGCAAACGTGACGCTCGAAATTCTCCAGTCGACCGAACTCTTTAACGCACAGTCGACACTTGTGCGGCTGCTGCTGCTGCTGCGACTGTCCCGACGACTGCTGGTGCTCCGACTGCAGCTCTGCCGACTGATCCGTCCCCTTGGAAGTATCGTATTGCTTTGACTTTTTCTCCTCTCCACTTTTGCTGCATTTTTCCTCTTCTTTCTCCAACGCTGCGGCGCAACCACCATCGAAGTCGTGGAACTGCGTCGATTCTTCGCTCTTGCACGCGACCACGAACTTCGTCTCCTCTTTCTCGTGCTCCGAGCTCGACAGCGAGCTGCTGTTGTTGTCCATGCTGTTCGACGGATTTTCCATGTTTTCCACCACTTCCTTGGCGATTTCATAAGTGAAGTACGTTACACCCTTGTTATTGCTTTCCATATCGTCTATGAGAGGAACTGACAGTAATTCTTGGGAATCGTTGATTGCGTCGCTTTTTTCTACGCCCACTACAACTTCTTTAGGTAATTCCCCATTGTTTTGATGATTATGGAGATGAGGCTGATCGACGAAATTCAAATGACAATCGAATGAATTGTCTTCCACCGACATTGTTACACCTCCAGTGTCGGTGGCTTGTGTTTGAACAGTATAATCTTTGGTAACCATTGTATTATGGAATGACGAGTGGCTTAAAGATTCTTCCACTTTTGGAAAATATTCTTTTTGGAGATCTGATAGCTGTGGTTCAACCAATAGACTCGATGCAGTTATCATCTGCAAATGTTCTGTTTGTGTTTCAGAGTCCTGAAATTTGATATAATTACGAATTAAAAATTATATAAGATAATACAGAAAAAAGTCAACAAATAATTGAATAACATACTGTAGCACTGTATTTGGCTGGCTTGTTATAAAAAACTCTCAACCGAGTATCCGAATGCTGAGATAATTGTCTAAATTCATAAGCCACTGTGGCTTTATAAATGCAAACATCACAAATATGAGAAGGTAAACCATCTTGTTGATTGCATTCAACACCACCGCATATCTGTATCTTTTGGGACAAATCTGTCATATTGCTCAAATTTGGATCATTTCCAAATATTGGTGTTAGATTAGTATTTTCTTGCAAACATATCCTACAGACCCTGTCCATGTTCATGGGCATGGCAAAGTAATTATCACTCAAAGCCATTGTGAAAATGTAGTTTTTATGTACAGACTACAATCTGAAAGATAGAATATAATAGTAAATTGTGGAGTAAATATTTATCATTCATTATTCTAGCAAGTTTTCCCCTATTATTATCCATGATCAAATCAATAAACTTTTCACAAAGTATCATCTCATTTTATTTCTAAAATTATAATGAGTTTTTTGCAATGATGAACATGGAATGTGTGATGTAACATGATATGTGCAGGGGAAATGCAACTCCCCATGAGATTAATAAGATTTGCATAATTTTAGATAAAGTTTAGCATTGAAATATCTTTAATTAGATAGTGAAAAATACATCTTGGGAAAATTACGTGATAATTGCAATTAAATAAAAAATAATATGTAATTTGAAACTCGAAACATTTTCCCAGAGTGTCAAAAAGAACATTGTTTACGTTCGGATATCTGAACCACTATCTAACCTCTAGTCATGCAACATCGGTCAGGTTAACATAAGAATTTGCATTCGCATTATTTTGAACTTACATTTGCCGACAAAATACATCACGAAAATACATAATTGTGACATATTTCACTATGACACAATTCCATCATCATTAATGCATTAAAACCCTAAAATTAAACAGACACGCATAATATTGACACTTGTGCTGATATTTTTTCCCGCAAGACGAAAATCTGTCAAAAAAGTCGCTACCTCTGAATCACGAGACGAGCACGCACCATCTCTTCGTATTTACAAAAACTCGTTCATTTCACTGGTTTTTTTTTTGCGGCATCTCAGCCTATTATTGCTACACGTATTATTTATCACTCGGAGCCAAAAACGGCCCCGTATCCTTGTCCCTTTGTCTTGTTCACAAACACAGTAACACACATTCGCGTATATAAAGCTGACATCAGTTTCCACTATATAATGCATGCAGGCAGGCTTGCACAAATTATTTTCTCTCACAAAGCCTCATGCAAGCCTCGCTCTCTCTCTTTCTCTCTCTTCATGCCGACTGCCAGCCTCTGTCTTTTTCTCTCTTTCGCTCGCACACATAATTCGGAGACGGACAAGCCGTGCCGAGGCATAATTGCAGACGGACAAGTTGAACTGCATGAGCAGCACCGATGTAAGCGCGCACGCACGTGCCTCCCAAGTTCTGTCATATAAGCATCGGATTGTAAATAAATCGAGACGTTCGCTACAAACACTGTCAAAGTATGTACCCATATGGTCTCTATTTACTTCAATCTTGCATATTAAATTATATTATTTTTATTTTATGGTACACTAAGATTTACTTTTTGTCTGTTGAATTTGTTTACTCTCATAATTGTACATTAACCTTGCTTACATCAATGTATGTGACAAAATAGTAATAAAATATTTTTATTGCAGATACTCATCACCATGGTTGAACCAGAACATTGCCACTTCTATGTTCAGCGCAAAATGCGTTACTGTAAAATGACTGTGAAAAAAGGAAGGAGTTTCTGCGGTGAACATGAACCTACCAAAGGTGTAGCAACTGTTGATGAACGCATACCTTGTCCATTGGATCCTGGACAGTAAGTACCCATTTTCTTCTCAAATCAAATATTTCCATTATTATCAGTTAGAACTTTATTAAATTTTTAGATCATTTACAGTACTATTTATCGATCTAAATTATCCAAGCACTTGAAAGTATGCAATGCAAAAATTGAACCAGAATCACAACCGTCTTACATTGTTAAAGGCATAAACTTAGGAGAGCCTGTTAGTTGCAATAATGATCAACCATTGTCAAATATTGATCAACAAATCATTGACAATGTGTTAAAAAAAATTGAGGATGCATATGGTAGGTTGAGACATAAATTTTATTTATGTTAATATTGTTACGTGGGGGATAGGAACGCGGTTCCCCGTGACAATATATTATTTCATTATTGTTTATTTTTCAGCCAAATTACCAGCTATAGAGGAAGAAATTTTAACACATGAAGTTCTTAAAACAGAATTAGAAAATTCAACTTATGGAGCAGAAACAAGAAGACATTTATTACAAACAGCATCTTTATTAGGGCATTTAAAACAAGCTGACTTGGTTAATCAAAATACCTGTTATATAGAATTTGGAGCCGGTAAAGGTAAAAATATCATCCTCACTGGTATTTAAGTTTTTAATAAGTGTATTGCTGGCAACGTTTTAAAAAAAATATTATTTTAGGAAAATTAACATATTGGTTGGGACAGTCTGTACAGAATATTCCAGACTCTACTGTTCTCCTTATTGATCGATCAAGTCATAGGCACAAAAAAGACAATAAATTAAAAAATGATGATTATCATGTAAAAGTGATAAGAATAAGGGCAGATATAGCTGATCTCAAATTGAACAATATTTCAGAAATTAAGGAAACACCACACAAGGTAGCAATAGCTAAACATATTTGTGGTGCTGCATCAGGTAATGAGTTTTTAGAAATCATTCTTAACCATTACAACAAACTTGATTTTAATTTAACTTTAATTTAAAATTTAATTTATTTCAGATTTAACTTTGCGCTGCATGACAAATTCAATCAAAGATGACAAAACTACTAAGGCTGGAGTTGTTGTAGCATTTTGTTGTCATCACAGATGTGAATACTCTCATTATGTTGGTTACGAGTTTCTTAAAAAAGAAGGTTTTACTCCAGACGAATTTCCTATACTTTGTAAAATAGCTAGTTGGGCTACATGTGGTATTAAACTAAACAATGAAAATGACAGCACTGAACGAGAGAAAATAGGCCAAAAAGTTAAAATGTTATTAAATTGGGGAAGATTGGAGTATCTCGAGTCATTTGGATTTAAATGCAAGCTAGTGTATTACATAAAATCCGATTCTACCTTAGAAAATGTATGTATTGTAGGCAAACTCAATAGAAACGAAGCAAGTGACCAAAGTAAATAAAAAAAATGTATAAAAACAGTTAGAAAATAAAAAAAAATTTTTCATTGTAGAATTGATGAATCCAGTCAAATTCAATCTCCTAACCATCGCAACATTCCTTGCTCTTTCGCAAGTCCTCCAATGTCATAATATATTCGGAAATCATAGTCCGAAAACGAAACTGTAGATTTTTTGATACACGTTATGTCCACTATACACGCGAGCATGGGACGCTTACATCGTAAATTATATACGCACAGCGGCGACGGCGCCCCGCCCCATACGCGATCGCTATATAGTGCGAAATGCTGTATACATGTATACACATATATACGAGAGACGCGGCGATTCGCGGAGTTGCGTTGCGGAGTAACGCTCGGCTCGGCAGTGGCGAAGTCGCGACATCGGCATTCCATTCAGTCGGTGTACGTTGTGTTGGCGTGTGAGAATCCTTTTTTGCGCTCTCCAAAAACAGTTATATATGCCAATCAAAACATCCTCTTATCAACGGACCATTGATGTCACGAATGTTGACAGCGGCGACTGTTTAATTACTAGGTAAGCGCTTTGATTTTGTTACCAAGCTTTGATAACCCATTCGATCCTTTAGAAAAACAGGTGTGGTGTGTGTTGGTATCGTGCGCGTATGCCGCGCAAGTTGTCGTACACGTTAATACTAATTATACGATTGGGATGGGCTGAGCGTACCTTTTATGATAAAACTTTATTATTTTTTTCGATCTACGTGACGTTGACTGATAAATTAATAAACTCGCATTATTCGTTGTAACCGCATGAATGCAACTATTCGCTTGGAAATTGCAATGCTGCGAGCGAGTAGTATAATTAGGGCGGGAACGCAAAAATCATTTAATTATAAAAGATTAAGTTCAGCAGTAGACGCGCCCAACACGAAATAGAAATGAATCTTCTTGAACGCTTTTTAGTAATTTATTCAAAATTTGCATGAAGTAATTTAAAGATAATTGATCTGTGACTCAGCATGTGACCACTTTTTAGAAAAACTTTCATTTGATTTAAAAAAAAAACGTGATCAAATATTTACAATGTTTATTTCATCTTGTTTTGATTTGTATTTTGATTTCTCTTTTTCAAAAATTGGTAAATTGAATGATAATACTAAATTCTAATTTTGGTATAACAAGTAAAAAGAATAACCATCATTTTTATTATACTGTATTTTAGTAATTGCATAGCAAAATTGAATTCTCAGTAATTGAAATGTTTGATCAATTTTTTTTTCAGAAGTAAGAGTTAAATTTATGAAATGTCTTCGTCTATTCTAGACGATCGTGAGGCTTACAAAAATAATCCTTACTGGGAAGATTACACACCCATCACAGGAGATTTTACGCCATTTTATGTTATCATAAGTATCTGTTCAATTATTGGTGGTGTTATTATCATTCTCAACGTTGCCTTTTGCTACTGCTCACAATATAGGCACTATTGGAGGGATAGAAACACTGGTAAATATAGTCATCATTATTATTAAAAATATTATAGTGTTTGAAACATGAGTCATGTTAAATTATGAGCTAGTTTTTTCAATTCCTATCACTAGCTTAAGATTTGAAATGTTGTATTACTTTCTGCAGGCAATCGTTGGGTGCAATCACTTTGGACTGTAACTCCACATAATAATCCACCGCTTGATTTATCGGAATTAGAAAAAGCAAGTCAAATATACAAGCAATCTGTTGCTGTTGACGATTCAGTGCAATATCATTCAGAAGAAAGTGAAACTAGACTTCATCATCAACCTCAGCAATATATGGAATTACAGAAAAGAGAGAGTGACATTTAAGTCCATCCACTATTTTTAATTAAATTTACCAGTAAGATAATTCACCATGAGCCTTTTCACGTTTTGGCCTGTCGTTGCTTTGTTTGTAGTAGGGGTGATAATGGTCATATTAAAGTATGGTTCACGATTTTTGAAATTAAGGCATGATACTACGCCTCCAGAAGATGATTGGGAAGGAAAATCGTACTCGCGTGAACTTTCAGTATCAATAGCTTGAAACGCTTTACTGCCTCAAAGAAAGTAATAATGTATTTCTACATTACATATCAAACATAATCTGTTCAAAAGTATTTAAGTAAGTCAGTAAATGTGAAAAAATTGAATTAGTATTTTGATATCAGTATTTTTGTAACTAGTACATCAATGATTCCGTCCATGAATTCAAATTTTAATGATTACTGACTCAAAACGTATTTTTTTTATTTTGTTATAAAGCCTTATATCAAAACTCTTACTGTAAGTGAATACAGAAGTGTTAATTAAAGTTTTATGTTACATTATTATTTTTAATGTAGTTTGCAATTGTCAAAAAAATTGTAGAATCTCAAGTAGGATTTAGGATAATCTTTCAGCTTACCATTTTTAAATTTTTACTATGAATTTGTATGAATTTACCGTTTTTATATTTATCCAGACAATGCTTGTAAAGTATTTGTATGACCTTTACTTTGTTTAACATGCAACAATAAAGTAATGTTTTACCACTGATTAATTTAATCGATAATTCATTCAATGACTAATAAAAATGAAATTTTAATCATTTTAGATTTTATTGATAAATAACATTGGATTTTCATTACATGCGTAATGGAATATACACTTTCATTAAGGATGAAGGTGATTTTGCACATTGTCATACATGTAAGTTTTATAAGATAAACTTCCATAAATAATTATCATCAGAATACATTTGTATATTTGTATTATCACGAAACGATTTATACACGCGGTTCAATCAATTTTTGTAATTTGTCTCATAAACAATGTGACACCTATGTCTTTAAAACAATTTTTAACGATTTTTCAATGCGAGATTGTTTTTCTCGGCCAGGGCACATGAGCTTGTATATTTGCAGGCCTGTTTGTGATCCATTTCCGATTATTTTTCATGAAGCGTCTTATGCTTTTCAACTAAGAAATCGATCGAATATTTATGCCAATAAACATATTCTTTATTAAAGTTTAGTCATTACCCGGCTGTAAAGCTTTTGTAAAGTATGTACTTCAGTCTTTTGGAAAATATTCAAGTAACTTGGACCAAGATTCTAATTTTGCTTTGATGATCTTTAATTACTAGTTTTATTATTAAATAACTATAAGTTGGCATAAAAATATAATTCAATACCAATAATGTATTATGACTCAGTCAAAACTCAACAATTTTGATTTTGCTTTCGCATTTTCAACGCGATGTTTCAGGATTTTTTATTAAAAAACTAATCAATAGATGCAACAATTGTATGTCAAATCGAGAGTATTTTAAAATTGTAATATTAATTATTACTTTTAAAAACTGCATGTTTTTATTCATCCTGAGATGACGCTTCAATACCTCGATGAAAATCACTGCACTCCACGCACAGAGTAGATGTCAAATAATTTTAAAGGAAATTTTGATAATTTTTGTAATTAACATGTTACATGAAAACTTTTGAAATGTCTAGACTTTATTCACAACTGCTATTTTTCTAAAAACTCTAAAGTTTTTGGAATATTTGAATTTTTATTCCCTATTATACAATGAGAATGATTCTATATTTTTATGCAAAGAATCGCTGCTTTTGATAAGTTTTTTAGATTAAAAGTTACGTTTGATTTCAATCATTGATTACGTAAAACTTACGTTTTTTATTTATACATTTAATTACTGAAATATATGTAAAACTTTTTCGAGTTCTTACACTCGTGGTACATTTATATGAGTATTTTAGAGATAATCGTGACCAAACGAGTCATTCCCTTTTTTTTAAGAAGAAGAAAAAACATTTATATTCTTTACCTGGATTATTATCATTGTTACGTCAATAGTTAATATAATGATTTTGTTTTTTTGATTTGATTTTTATGCTCAATGCAGTCGCGCAATGTCTCGTGCAGAAAATTTGATATCGATGAAACTCATATAGAATATTATTGATCTAGAATTGTTATTCTATTTATGCAGTTTCCTACATTCGTTATTTAGCCGTAAAATCTACACGTCGATGCTATTCTAGCTATACATCTGCTCGCAAAAGTTATTAGCAAAAAGGAAAATACACCTATTTAACGATAAGTCACACTTCAACCATTGGTACCTACCGTTTTGATTCAAGACAATGAATTTTGAATAATGCATAACAAATAGTGTCTCAACTTTAACAAAGTTGGATCGAAGGAAAGGAAAGAAGATAGAGTATTGATAAAGTTAAATGAATTTTATGCAGTATATATTGCTCTGTGCTGATTTTTTTAAACTTGTATCTGGATTAATAAACACTTTTAATAATTTTCCTGTTGTTCAGAACATGATTTTTAATCAGTAGTTGCTGATACTTGGTAATACACATTGTCATGTAAGAAGTACAGAGGAAATGATTCAATAGCCGATTAACACAAAAAAATCTGTTTTATAGTGAAATACTGCATTCACTTTATATTTTGCACATCGAAAATAATAGAATAAATGAGCGTACAACATGTAATATATAAAAAAAACATACAAAATTACTTTAAACAACTATAATATTAAACTAGTAAAAGAAATTGAAACTATGCGTCGAGAATATAATATAACTTGAAAAGTTGAATAATGACAAATAAGTATTCATCTAATTAAGATATTCGGTCATTTGGAAAACTCACACGATCGATTGGGGTGTTTGCAACGATATAACAACAACAACAAAAAATATTACAATGAAAGCGAATCGTCAATGGAATTGAATTTTGAAACCAGCCCAAAATGAACGTTAATTCCCCTTACTTTGTAAGCGCGTCGATTTTTTTTTTGTATCCATCAATTTTACAATCATGTCGGAGCATTCGATCGTTGCACTGAACTATAATTATATACTTATCGATTACATTGTAAATTGCAACACAAAAAACTTCTGATTTCGTCGATACGGTAGTAGTATACATTATATTTATAAGTCGAATTTTTTGGGCGTTCTGGAAATTGCGGAGAAATCAGTCGCTGTTATTTATTTGGCTCGTTTGTTCTTTTTTTTTTGTTTTTTGTTTATATTATATATCTATAATAATGTGGATCGTGAATGGGCGCGCGCGTCTCCGTGTCATCGTCGTCGCTTAAGTATGTTTTATTAATAAATAAAAAGTTAATGTTTTCTTCTTTGACGTCGCGTCTTTGACTCGTGCGTGTGTGTGTGTGCCTCGTCCTCCTCCACAACGGGCGTCGCGACGATTGCTCTCGATAAAAGCCTTCTTATTGCTGCTTTCCGTTCTTTTTGTTCGACCGATCTGCAAGTTGAAAAAAAAAGAAAGAAGAAGAAATTATAGTCTCGGCTCATTCGTCAAAGTTTACACGCCGATTTAATGCTTACGTTCCATACCTTTCGACGCTTTCTTGATGTTGGTATCCGGTTTGCACTTTTTGGTGATGCGACGCGTCTTCTCGCACGAGAAGTCGCTGTTGGCCTTGAGATTGTCGACTCGCACCATGTTGTTGTTGACGCAGCTGCTCCAATTGCCCTTCTCGTATCGACAGGCTGCAATTTGAATAGAAGGAACGAAAAATTAAATCAAATAGAAATCAATTAAAGACTGGGGAAGATTTTCAATAACACAACGATCTCAATTACGGCGGCTATGTACATTCGTTACAGCAATAGGAGTGGCTTATTAAGCTCTATACGGCGCGATCCCCGCAAAGACCCGAGTTATTCCGACCACGGGCATGTGATCTTACCACTACTACTACTACTACTCCGAACGGCTGAGGCTTTCCTTCGGTGTGTGTGTGTGTATGTAAGCGGGAGAGGAAATGGATTGGCCAGACTAATCGGATGCGATTGTTATACCCCGAGCCAAGAGAGAGATAGAGAAAGCTCCGATATGCAGCTAACAGCGTTTGCCACGTCGCGAATCATCAGCATATATATATATATAGTTACTGACCGAGACGAGGAAGGAGGAGGAGGGACGCAAGGATTACTTACTACTACTACTTTATACCACTACTCGGCGCGTCTTGGGTAATCCTCGCCTGATTAATGCCGGAAACTGATTTTGCGCGAGCAAGATCGACGAGTCGAGACAGGAAGCTATATACATATATACTCGAGCTTGCGACGCGTATAATATATATCGATGATTTTGGAAAAGCTCTGATAAATTTGATTTTTCAAACTATATACATACCCGGGGAGCGTGGCGAAGAATTTCTTAACTCGTCAACGAGAATTATATATTATATGTATATAGGAAAAGTCGATCGAATTCGTACGGGAAGCTGCTGAGGAAGTGCGCGCAGATTATCTCGCGAAAGCTCCCAACTACAGTTGATGAATTTTAATTCAACAGCGCGGGCAGGGAATGGGCAATCAAAAATGCAGACTCTCTGTATTCTGTGTAGCCTGAAAGCCGGTGTACGTGTATTATGAATACGTAATACGATATAATGCGAATCTCTCTTGAGCTTTTTTTTTTGGACACGATCCAAAAATCATCATCGCCGCGCCGAGGTTCTTTCAATTTTACGTATTATCCACGATGTTTATTCGCGCGTGATAAAATATTACGTAACGATTCTCAAAATTAGTATATAAGCACGAGGGACGAATATACATAGGCGATAGATAAGTAAGTGAACAATATAACATAGCATCGCATTTACCTTTACCTTTCTTGCACTTCTTGGTGATGGTCTTGCTCTGCTCGCAGGTCTTGTCGCCCTTCTTGAGGGTCAGGCTGCGCGAGCGCATGTTGGACTTGGGATCGCACTCGGACCACTGGCCCTTGGTGTAGCGGCACGAGGGTGATCCGTTTGCACCTGTATAGCATGGACGAGTACGCGAATTAAATTTTGTAAATCAGGACACGTAAGCTCGAGAAGCTCGACTGTGATCGAAGCTCTCTCTGTACAGCTTATATATTATTTATATTATTGAACGTACCGCGATCTTTGGTGCCCCGAATCGTCCTCACGAGGATCTCCTTGTCGTCCTCCTCCCAGAGGTTCTCGTTCTCCGAGGCCAACGCGGGCACGGCGACGACTGCCAGCACTACCACCAGCGCCAGTAAGCTCCAAGACAGCTTCATGCTTTGTCGTTGTTGTTGTTGTTGTTGTTGTTGTCGTTGACGGTTCTGCGTAACAAAAAAGAAAGAAAGATATATAATGCATCGCGAGCATCGCTTACGTATATTAAATTTCAGTGATAAATGATTTTTCTCGTATAATATAATACATCTCTGGCACGCGTTAAAGGCAGCCCAGAGAGGAAAAAGTCGAGCGTTATAGCCGGGGCGGTGGTAATTTGCACTTATTATCGTCGTGTATACACACACAGACGGAGAGCCTTACTTGCGAACGGCTCGCCCGAGCAATCTTCATACGTCAAGCCCTGCCTCGACTCGGCAATAACATTCTCAGCTCCTCGCGCTCTCTCGTCGTAGCAGCCATTTGCCTAATCGAATGAGTTTTTTCACTCGCGTATCGTATGCATGGTATACATACTTATGTATTAAAATGCTGCCGAGTGGATTCGTTCTTTTTTCCCGCGTGTAACGTGTGCACGCACAACACTTTGTAAGCGGGCCAAAAAAAAGGCGAGCCAAAACTCGTTCGTCCTGCGGCGCCATTATAATACATGCACGGGCGCTATCATATACGTACACGTTTTAGAGAAATTAGACTTTGGTTGTGTATACAGATGCGACAACAGCCGAGCTGCGATACGATGTATATTATATGCATAGCAGCACCTTGTCGACGCCTCACGAGTATGCGCGCGACGAAAACGATCTGTGGGAATTATAGATATTTACCCTGAATGCCGTATTAGGCGTTAAAATTAATATAGTAAGAAGAGAGAACATCAACGGTTGGTGATTTGAGAAACCGTGCTTTGACTTATACAATTATTTTTACTTTGCTACTTGCAGATTTACATACAAAAGCTCGTCGCCATCTATCTTAATATTATGTTAAAACATCTAAAAACCATGCTGACTTATACAATAATTTTGACTTTTCCACTTGCAGATTTACACGCAAAGGCCATTCGCCATCTAGTGGCAGAATCTGGCATTAACTATGACCGAAATTTCATAAATTTTTTGCTACCATAAACGCAAAAAATACAGCATTTTTAAAACATTTATTTTCAATCGAAATGTTTAACTTGAGCATAGGATTGAATCTTTTTTTGCTTATCTATGCATTTTTTGGTCAGTTATGAATTTCATGTTAAAATATACCTTCAAAAAAAGTCAAAGTGTCGGTTACTTCAATTTTAGTATACTTGATCTTGCATCGAAGGCTCCTTCAGTTTAAAAAATCAACATGTGCAATCGATCGAATTAAGGGCGCAGCCAAGTAATCCGTAATAAATAAATCGTAACAACGACTTATCTTACCACGCGAGTAATTATACGAACGATCGATTCTCCTTAATGCCTCCAACAACGTGTTTCATTATATCGAATTGACGCGCATAATGTATACGGCTATTATAGGCGCGCGATATATATAATTAAGGAAAAAGCGGCGCCTATTTACCACGAGTGTGTGACGAAAATGAATTAATGTTTTCTCTCTCTTGGCACTCGGCAATGCATACAACGAGAGAGTGGTAACTCGTATAAAAGCTCGAGACCAACGTGCTCCGCTTTTTTTTTTTTTGTTATTATACGCGGGCGTTAACGCGGTAAGAAAACATCGCGTAACAAATATTAATACGTCGTCGTCGTCGGGGCACGTCTGCAAACATGCGGCTATATAACGCTATTAGCGCAGAGGCGCGAATTTTAATCAACGGGTTTCGAGGCTATACGTAGGGGGGTAGGACTGAGCTATAGAGCTTAAAAACGATTGCCATTTTTCTCCACCGCCACCGCAGCAGTAGCAGCAGTAGCAACCATGTAGATGACGACGATCGGTTACGGTGATTAAGTGCACGCCGAGACGAGAGAGAGAGAGAGAGAGAGCTCGAACTTTTTCGCGCGTCTACCGAGCGACGACGAACTTTTTGGCTAATACGAAATCGCCTATGGAGTGTGTGCATGTCTGCTGCGGTCATGCGAGTTGCGAGCTTTGCGAAAGTATATAATATAGGGAAAAATCACTATATGTGCGCAGAGAAAGAGGAGAAAAACGAGCGCGTCTCGATGCTAGCTGCTTCTGCTTTTGTGGATGTGTGCGCGTGAAGCTGCTACGTTTCATATATAGGCAAATGAACACAGAGAGAGATAAAGCTCGAAATGAATATAATTAGCTTTCGGATTAAGTTGTCAGAAATGTAATTATTCGGCGCAATTTCGCGCTAGGCTAGTCTCTCTCTCACTATCTCTATCTCTCTCGTGCGTGCGTATAGCAAATCATACAGAATCCTCTGCATGCTACTGTACTATACGCCCAGAGCAATTTCAGCGTGAAATAAGCAAATAGCCGCCGCGCTGCTGTACGCGAGCGTGTTAATATAAAGCCAGGGGGGCAGAGAGCTACGAAAAACTTCCTTTTTCTCTCGCGCATGGCTCAAACGGACGATAGCGACTGGCTAGACTACGTCTCTGTGTGTGGGTGTAGTATAAGTTGGACCGTAGTACGACGCGATAACAAATCGCGCGGTACTTACACGAGAGTAATATGGAGAGAGAGAGAGTAAAATAAGCTGGAGTATATCCTACGTGTGCGTTGCTGCTAAATTAAAGCTTTTTTTTCGTTGCGTTGTTTTGACCCTCGTATACATACGATTACTCTCGGAATGAAGAGGCGATTTCTGCACTCGCGATGAACATGTTTGCACGTACTTCAATCTGGCCCATCGTCAACCCCACGCACACACACACACACCTCTCTATCTCATTAATTACCAATGGCGAGGTAGGGAGGGACGGACGGTATACTGTGTGCAATTTATTTTCTCGATGATGAAATTATCCGGCGAGGGTGGGCGGGTAAAATTGAATTTTGAAAAGATAATGAGATCGTAACGAGGGTGTAATAGCATTTCGACGCGCGCGCCAATGTATAAGCCTGCAATAAGACTGTACACACACACTTCGTATTATACTTTATAATGGATAAGATAAGAAAGAGATAGAGAGAGAGAGTAAGCTCGCTGATGAGATGCTTTAAAAATGCATTTCCCAAGAGGAATCGAGCTCGTATACAGCTTCTTGCTATGTGCTTATATATAATGCGAATAATAGCTCGCGAGCCTGTGCTAGTGTACCAATACTCGTATACCATCCTATATGCCTGGGCTTCTTGTTTATTATGTGCGCGCACGTATACACTTTGACAGTGTAACACACGTCTTACGTACAATCAGAGCCGCTCGTCGTCGTCGTCGTCTCTGGGCGTTAGGGAGTTTAGCAGCAGCAGCAGCAGAGCTCGCGGGTCAAAGAACCGACAAGTGTGTTTAAGTGTGTACGAAGTGTAGGTAGTACACGACGCTCGTAAAGGAGAGATAGAGTAAAGAAGATGCCTGTGCTGCACCGAGAGCGGCAACTATGTGTGTATAGTGTACGTTAGCGCGTGGCAGTGCGTTAAAGTAGGCACCTCTTCATCTATCTCGCGCGTACTTTTTTTTTATTATTATTACTTTCAAAGGGGGGACGTGTTTGCGAATAATACATTTTGTATCGATGTACACACACACACTTGCAGCCTGGCGCGTAATGCAGTAATATGAATTTTTGGGGATTTATCATAGCGTGAGATGAGATTTTGGGTATAGCTTTGAAATAAAAAAATGTGCTCTTTTCTACGCTTAAACAATTTCGACAAAACGATAAATTGTCCATTTTCATTGTCGTGTTTACGCGATGCAGCTTTTATATATGATACAGTCGAATGCACATCGGATGCGCCGCAGCACTGCATGATTGACAATGCACACAGACGCCGACATTATGTCAAGCTGCGGGTGGTGGACGCTAATCGATTGACAATTTCGCGGAGCCTCCGGATCGATACTTTGAAATTCTAAAAAATAGAGAGAGAGAGAGAGAAATACGCAGTTGCAAATGATGTTTCGTATGCGGCATGTACGTTTCCGAGTGATTATGTTTAAAATCAACTCGATGGGCGTCGTCGTCGTCGAAATCGATTCAATCGCCGCGCAACTGCGTATATATACGAAACTACTCGTGAAATAATTACATGTACACGCGTATACGAAAATCTCCCCATGAAAATTCGAATATACATCCGCTTCGCCGCAATTTAAAGCGCCTGCCAAACTGTATCTGGCTCGAAAAAGCCTATACATATAACACGGTTAATGCCTCGATACAACGAGGATGAACGAGTAGTACGTGCGGCATGATCGTCGTTCATCATTAGTTTTAAAGCGCGAAAACTGCGGTTGCAGTGGTTATAGTTGCGCCCCACGCGAATTTATATTTATCGGCGCGCGCGGGCGAGTTCGAGGCTTTTAAGAAGATTTCGCTGCTGGCAAAAGTTCTACTATACCCGCGCGAAAGGATTTATATACAACATCGCTGGGCATTGCTCGCGATTATATTGCCTCGCGTTTGCTGCACGCGCGCAAAGGCGTGTTCCGTCTTCTTCGTGTACTATATACGTATATATACGAGCGACAGAAGCAGCAGTTGCCCCCGCAGCGATTTCGTATACACGTGTAGACATTTTGTTACTTTTTTTTCTCTCTCTCTCTTTACTGTGCCGCGAGGACTAAAGTGGATTAGCGTGGGCGCGGCGGCGCGTCATCTTTTTCACTTTTGAAAAAAGCACTTAAGCCCGCTCCGAAAAACGACGGTATTGCAATGTACACGCGTGCATATTGTACTATCGCAAGTTCATGCGCGTATATACAGTGGTCGTTATCTACACCATCCGATCCAATTGTACATTGTACTTTTTCCTATGGCGTAAGGTAGGTTTTTATGAAACGATTTAAAATTCGTAACCAATTCGACGTCGAGAGCTTTGAGTTTTCGGACCGATGCGCACTCGAATCGAATACGGATCGCATCGTGTATATCATTCGAGTATAAAAGCTCGTCTACAGATTGACCGCATGTCCGAAGCCGACATACGCCTCGAGCTTAATTGTCCGAGTCGAGAAACGTTTATTTATATATACGTGTGCGCGCAGATCTTCCAAGCCAACCCTTGTGCGGATCGTCATGATCGCGTCGACGTGTGTACGTGTCGCCCTTGCATCCGGTCGATATCTATAGTATACAGTCTTCTGCACACACAGCAGTAAGCAATATCTATCTCTCTTTCTCTCGGGAGGGCAGATAATTACTTCCGGCTTGGTGTGTGCGGCTTTTGCGACGACGACGACGACGACGACGACGACTACTCGCAAATATGCCTCGAGCCATGGTAGTAATGTAGCAGCGATCCTATTCTTTCTTTCTCGACGTATATATATCGCACATGCACACAGACGTACGTAAAAGCGATCGCGTCGGAGAAACAGACGAGTTTCTTCGAATGCCATTCTCAGCTAATTCCGCGCATAGCTCGGGCTGCTCGATATATAATATCTGCCGCCGCCGCGCGGCTAATTGTTCTGTGTACGCACTTTGCAGAAAATAGCTCCGCAGCAGTGCGATATACGAATGATAAAGGCCCCCCTACTTCTATTATATAGAATATTTGCAACGAAGTAGCTAGCCGCCGGCTGTTTTTTTAGCAAAGCGAATCTTCTTGATACCTATTCGAGCGTTCGATATAAGTGGCGCCGTTGAAAAGATCAATTTCGTAAATAAGAGGGACAGGTACTTTGAAAATTAATACATCGATTACTAATTTTTTTTTTTTTTTTTTTAAATAAAACTGTACAAAAAATACATGGAAATTCAATGGCGTACAAATTTAAAGTAAAAATCAACGAAAAAGATTTCACTCTATACTGAAAATTAAATGTTGCAATCTTAACGTTTAATGTTTTAATGCTGATTCATTTTTTTGTTAAGTATTCGAAAAAATTATGAAAATTCAAATATAATTGAGTTCAGCCTCCGCCGCTAGATGGCCAGTACCTTAATCAGAAAATCTGCAAGTGACTAAGTGAAAATATTTGTATAATATATTGTAAGTCGAAGCATGATTAATTAAATTCATTGGTTCCTTGCTTTTAATCAGTATTACAGGGAGTTTTTCAAGTATTGTACAGACAATGGATAAACAGATAATTTAATAGTAAACAATAATATCATAAACGATTTTGGCATCGTTTCTTAAGCCCTGATCATATTTATAATTAGATCGAATTAGTTTGAAAATCAAGCCACAATACCAAAATATAAATTTTACTCATTCAATTTCCGTAGAACTAAATAGAAAGATCCAACGTTTAATTTAAGCAAAATGGATAAAAGTGAGAACAAAATCGAAGAAGGTGTCTTGGAAAATAATTCAAGTGAACACGACGATGTTGTTTCAGACGATAAAAAATACGTTTGTGATATTTGTCAGGAGGCATTTGCACTAGAGTTAAGTATGATAGCACACCGTGACACGATTCACAATGAACGAAAAGAGTACGCTTGTGACAAGTGCGAAAAAAAATTTGAGTTCCGGTGTCATTTGAGTAGACACCAAATATCAGAACACAAAAGCCGTAATGATTTTGCATGCGACCAGTGTGAGAAGAAATTTGTGAAAAAATCGAGTTTATTTACGCACCAAAAATTGGCACATAAAAATCTCGAAGATTACTTATGCAACAAGTGCGAGAGAAAATTTGAAAATAAATCGACTTTACTCAAGCACAAAAAGATATTCCACGAAGTTTTAAAAGATTACTTATGTGAAAAGTGCGCCAAGAGATTTGTAAATAAAAAGACTTTGCTTGTGCACATAAAAACAGTCCACGAAGGTCGTAAAAATTTGACATTGAGACAAAAATCACATTTGCTCTTCCACCAGAAGATAGTCCACGAAGGTCCGAAAGATTTCACATGTGACAAGTGCGAGAGGAAATTTGGAGAAAAATCGAAACTGACTAGACACCGAAGGATAATCCACGGGAATCATAAAGATCACGAATGCGACAAGTGCGAGAAAAAATTCGGACAAAAATCAGATTTGATCATCCACCAACAAACAGTCCATGAGGGTCGCAAAGATTACTTATGTGACAAATGCGACAAGATATTCGTAAAGAAATCGAATTTGCTCATTCACCAAAACTCCGTCCACGAAGGTCGGAGAGATTATGCATGTAAAAATTGTGATAAGAAATTTGGAGATCCAAGCACTTTGATCAGACACACAAAAACAATCCATGAAGGTCGCAAAGACTACGCATGCGACAAGTGCGAGAAAAAATTCGGACAAAAATCAGATTTGATCATCCACCAACAAACAGTCCATGAGGGTCGCAAAGATTTCTCATGCGACAAGTGCGAGAAGATATTTGGGTTAAAATGGACTTTGCATTTGCATCAAAGGTCAGTCCACGAACGTCGCAAAGATTATGGATGCGACAAATGCGAGAAGAAATTCGGGAATCGAAGCAATTTAAAACAACATCAAAAACTAGTCCACGACGGTCGTAAAGATTTCGTTTGCGATGAGTGCAAGAAGATATTTGGGTTGAAATCGAGTTTGCTTGTGCATCAAAGGACAATCCACGAGGGTCACAAAGATTACGCATGCGACAAGTGCGAGAAAGAATTTGCACAAAAAATGCAATTAATCAGGCACCAAAAGACGGTCCACGATGGACAGAGAGATTACACTTGCGACAAGTGTGAAAAGAAATTTGCAGAGCGAGGAAATATGATCACTCACCAAAAAACAGTTCACGAAGGTCGTAAAGATTATGCATGCGACAAATGTGAGAAGAAATTTACACAAAAATCGAATTTAATCTACCACCAAGAGACAGTACACGAAAGTCGCAAGGATAATTCATGCGGCGCTCGTGAAAAGAAATTTGGTAAAAAATTCATTTGATCAGTTACCAAATGGCCAGTGCATGTAAGATCACTGTCGGGCGATTCTATAGGTTCTTTAAGATGCAAAAAGTCTCATATCAGAAGATTATCCAATTTTTTAAAATATATAACTAATTGTTTATACAAATGTTTTGAACTTATTGCTGTCATACAACCTTGTATCTCAAATTAATACATCATTACTAATTTCCTTTTTTTAAATAAAAAAAAAACTACAAAAAATCAAAAGTAACAAAAAACAAAAAAGATCCCATTCTGCACTAAACATTCAACACTTTAATCTAAATTGAATATTTTAATACTGAATAATTTTTTACGTTACTCACTCGGCAAGTTGCACGCAGCAGCGCGGTATGAAAGTCTACGCACATACACACAGATACATACACACATACGTAGCTCGCCCTATACGTTGTCTGTCTCTCTCGCGCTGGCGTGTTCGATTTTCGAACGGGTTGCGCTCTCGATCAACGGTATTAGCTCGCGCGTGCACATGTTTGTTTTAAGGCTCTGCAGTGCGTATATGTGTCGTGAATAGTCAGTCCACGTTACTCAGCCAGTAAACAAAGAACGATCGCGTCGGCTGTAGCAAGTGGTTCGCGCGCGTGACCAAAGGCAACTGTTAATTTTGTGCGTGCCGTGTATAAAGTGCGTAAAACCATGTCCAACGACACCAAGTGTTTGACGAAATTGAAAATTTGGCGAGATAACGTCAACTGGAGGATCGAAGAGGATCGACACAGGTTACGTCGTCAAATGTACCCGCTGATCAGACATTGGAGGGGTCGATTACCTAACCTTCGTGACATTTTCGAAAAGGACGAGATCGATTGGCTTCTCGCGGAGTCCTTGAAGGCCCATGGTATCGACCACAAGAACGAGCTGCTTCCACTCGTCGAGTTTTTGGTGAAAACGGGCTACAAGGACGAGCCAAACGTAGACAAAGACGGGAAGCCGCTGTTGCGTTGTACCACACCGGTGCATCTCGCGGCCAGACGCAATCTACGTAACAAACATACTTTGGTTCGAGAGTTGTTCAAGATATACGACAGATTCGACGTGAACTACACGGACGAATCCGGATTGACGCATTTTCACGTGGCCTGCATGGCTGGCTTCGTCGAGATCGTTCAGCGATATCTCGAGCTCGGCCAAGATCCCAATTTCTCGATCCATCCGCCGCTGCGGTTGGCTCTGTTCAACGGCGACGAGAACTTGACGCGATTGCTGCTGATGCACGGCGCCGAGCCGAACTTCACCGACGCGGACGGATCGACGCTCTTGCACAGCATTTGCAAGAGAGACGACGGCGACCACTTGGCCAAACTGTTCTTCAAGATCAACGACGAGGTTGGCCGGGAGGTGACGCTCGACGCTGCGGACAACAGAGGTAACACGCCGCTGCACCTCGCCCTGGATTACGGCATGAGGGCCACGACCGAGCTGCTGCTGAGACACGGCGCCGATCCCAATTTGGCCGACCCGCTGGGATACACTCCGCTGCACATCGTCTGCATGAGGGCCGACGCGGACGACTTCGCGCGGCTGTTCTTCGAGATCTGCGACGAGAGGCGGGAGCCGGTGCTGGTCGACGCGAGGGACGAGATGGGCCGGACGCCGCTGCGATGGGCCGTGGCGAGGCTCCTGGTGAACACCGTCGAGGCGCTCCTGGATCACGGCGCCGATCTGTCCAGCTTCGAGTTTCCGACCGAGAGCCAAATCGTCGAGTCCGTCAAATCGTACGAGAGCAAGCATCTGTTTCACTTCAAATTGCTGCTGGCGTCCAGCGTTCTGAGCATCCTCGAGAGCCTCGAGAAGAGAGGCTACGAGCTGGACCGTGGCAACGCCCTGATCCTCATGAAGCTGTTCCCCGCCCACGGACTGTTCGAGGTTCCCTGCAAGCACGTTCAGCGCTACAAGATGCTGATGAACAAATCCAAGGCGATCCGGGTACGCGCCGGCCTGTCGCTGCACGACCTGATTCAGCTGCGACCGAGGCAACTGGCCGCCAAAATGCGGCTGACCTGCCGGGATTATCACGAGCTCGCGCGCACGGCCAAATTTCACAAGCTTCCCCGTAAACAGTGCGAGGATCTGTTCGTGCATCTGTGCGAGAAGATGTCGAGGCGATTTTTCAAGAGGTGGGCGCTGGATACTTTTATGGAACTGACGAGCTACCGGCTGCCGGTGCTCTGCTGCGAGATGATCATCGAGCCGCTGATTAATCAAGATCTGTATCGCATTTGCTTGGCGGCCGAATGCAAGCGTCGACGGAGATGAGAATATTTCCTTCTTTTTTTTGGTTTGGTGTAATAAAATGTAGCAGATCTGCCATACTGATCAAATAAATAAAAAAAAATCATTGATTTCATTCATTTTCTTATGTTTTAATTTTATTCGTTCGTTTCTCTAAATTACTATGCTCCGAATTTCTCGTTCGACGCCACCGACCGCCTATATATAGGTCAATGCACGAGACGTGTAAACATAAAGTCGCGGCGCTTGCTAAGCGTTCGTTTCCGTGAAAAACTCGTATACATTATTATGTTCTCTGCAGTGACGGAGTTTTGTTGTGGTGTCAGTTTGGAGCAAGCCAAAGAAGACCCAGCAGTGATTGGCCGTTGGCTCGCGAGATAGAACGCGCGATTCATACTGTAACGTCTATTCGCGCTGCCGAGTTCGTGCAAACTGCAACACGGAGCTCTCGTTTTTTTTTATTTTGTTCCCATAATAATATATCATGGTGCGTTACAGTGAATAGTTTATTTACGTTGAGATAAACACGTAGTGAATAACAAAGAAAAATCGTGTCAACCGCATCTAGTGAATCTCGCAAAAAGTTTGTATTTATGAGTGTGAAAAAATGGCCGACGACACGAAATGTCTGATGAAATTGAGAAATCTGCGAGACAACGCCAACTGGACGATCGAAGAGGATCGATACAGGTTACTTCGTCAGATGTACCCGCTGATCAGACATTGGAAGGGTCGACTACCTAACCTTCGTGACATCTTCGAAAAGGAGGAGATCGAATGGCTTCTCGCGGAGTCGGTAAAGTTCACGAATCGCAACGACTACCTGATGGAGTTCACTCCGCTCGTCGAGTTTATCATCAAGACGGGCTACAAAGACGAGCCCGAGGACGAATACGGCGAGTTAACATTGCGTCGCACCACACCGCTGCATCGGGCGTCCAGACGCAACGCGCGTGACATTCGTGTTTCGGTCCTCGAGTTTTTCAAGATATACGACCGGTTCGACTTGAACTACAGCGACGAGTACGGATTCACACATTTTCATGTGGCCTGCAAATTCGGCTACGTCGAGATCGTCCAGAAATTTCTCGAGCACGGCCAGGACCCGAACTGCCACCCATCGGCAGAGTCGAGCTCGAGCTCGGTCGTCGATTCGCCGCTGCAGTTGGCGTTGTTCGGTCATCACGAGTCGGTGGTACGATTGCTGTTGCAAAACGGCGCCGATCCAGACCTGGTGATCAAAAAAGACGGATCGACGCTTTTGCACGTCGTTTGTAAGAGAGACGACGACAGTTGCTCGGCGAAGTTATTCTTCGAGATCGTCGACGAGCTCGAGCAGCCGCTCCGGATCGATGCCCGGGACAGCAGAGGTAACACGCCCCTACACTTAGCTCTGGACTACGGCTTCAGGGGGGCGTCCGAGCTACTGCTGAGACACGGGGCGGATTCGAACGCGGTCGATTCGAGGGGATACACTCCTCTGCACATCGTTTGCATGAGGGACGACGTCCTCGGATTGGTGGAGCTATTTTTCAAGATCAACGACGAGAAAAATCAGCCGGTGCTGATCGACGCCGAGGACAGGTGGGGTTGGACACCGCTGCAATTCGCCGTGGCGAGACTCTTGCCGCGATTGGTCGACTTGCTCGTGGATCATGGCGCCGATCTGTCTACGTTCGTTTTTCCCTCCAAGGAACACTTCGATAGTTGCGTAAAAGTGAGCCAACGCGAAGAAGTTGGCTATAAATTTGGACTAGCTTGCAGGGCTTTGGCCGCCGTCGAACGTCTCGAGAAGCGAGGATACGAGCTGAACCGTAACGACGCACTGACGATAATGACGATATTCGCCGAGTACGGATGGTTCGAGAAGTCGGCGTACTTCGACGAATTCTGGTACGACGACGAGCCGTTCGCGAGAGAAGCGGCAAAGATCAAGATCTTTCCGAAGATCGAAAAATCGAAGAGCGAAGCGAAAGAAGAAGCGGCAGCAACGACAAACCAGAATCTGTCGCTCTACGACCTGGTCCAGTTGCGACCCAAACAGGCCGAGAAACTGGTCACTTACATGGACTACTCGAGGATCGCCAAATCCATCGATTGGAGGTACGACAGGACCAAAGAAACGTACGAGAGGCATCTGTGCGAGCAGGTGTCGAGAGGATTTTTTCGGCGCTGGGCCTTGGATTCTTTTCTGGTGCTGACGCACTACCGGCTGCCGATTCTTTGCTGCGATATAATCGTCGAGAGCCTGGTGAACGAGGACTTGTGGCACATTTGCTTGGCGGCCGCGGGACGAAATCAAGAGGACGTTAGTAAAAAGGTACCAACAATCGGTATAGAATTTTTTAGGAGAAGACCTAAGAAGGCCAAAGAAGCTCGAAAAAGCTTCTATGAACTGTATGAAAGTTGATGAAATTTATAAAAGAAAGCTCCCAAAAGCTTATATGAAATGTATGAAAGTTTATGAAATTTATAAAAGAAATATGTTGATTTGTTGTATATTTTCTCAGCGACTGCAGGCCAAAGATCGCGATAGCGATAATCCTATATTTGTAATATTTTATTTTTCCGATTGGTGTTATAAAATGTTCGCGGATTTTCCATGTTACTAACACACATAATTAACAAACATTGAATTAATGAATCTGCTCAAACTTAAATTTTCTTGTGTTTTAATTCGTATTTTAACCATTTCTACAATTGAATAAAAGCAATGAAGATGATTAACCAAACGAGCAAAACAATGACATTCTTTGCAGCGACAGTGACTTCTGCGTACCGAAGTGCGTAGCGCGTACGCGACACTGGACGCTCATTTCTAGAAATAATAATTTGGAGCAAACAAAATTAAATGATTTCTTCACTTTTATTATAAGAGCTTGATGGCTTACATACTTATTTTATCATTCTAATTTTCCGACGTTCAAAGTAACCACGGGTAATTCTGCTTCTCTCTTGCGAGCTCGAAATTTCTTCGCTCGGACTGTGTTTGTGTGTGTGTGTGTGTGTTCGTCCGTTCGGATTTCTCGGTCAAACGACGCGCACGTGTTTGTTTATACCCATACATAAATCATGGTGTACCCCCGTTATCAGTGAATAGAGTCAGTAGACGTTACGACACCACAGAATAATGATAGAAAGTTCCGTCGACTTTGAGACTCGGTGATTCTCGCGAGGAAAAACGAGTATTTTAACTTGCATAAACCACATTAATTGCGTGGAAAGTGTGTGAAACTATGGCCAACGACGCGACACGTTTGACGGATTTAATGAACCGCTTGATCTGGACGATCGAAGAGGATCGACACAGCTTACTCCGTCAACTTTACCCTCTGATCAGATATTGGAACGGTCCACTACCCAATCTTCGTGACATTTTTGGAAAGGAAAAGATCGATTGGCTTCTCGCGGAGTCCGTAAAGTCCATATCCACCTCCTGTTCCTATTTCACAGAGCTAGTTCCACTAGTCAATTTTATAATCAGGACGGGCTACAGGGACGAGCCCGACACAGACAGAGACAATGGCAAGCCAATATTGCGTCGAACCACAGCTGTGCACATCGCAGCCGGACGCGATTTTCTCATCAAGAAAGTAGTGCCTATAAACGTGATCCGCGAGCTTTTCAAGATATACGACAAATTCGACGTGAATTACGTCGCGGAGTCCGGCTTCACGCATTTCCACGCGGCCTGCAAGTTGGGCTACGTCGACGTCGTCAAGCGATTTCTCGAGCTCGGCCAGGATCCCAATTGCTGCCTTCCGGTTCGAGGCAGTGTCGATCCGCCGCTGCACTTGGCTCTGATCGGCGATCAGGACTCGGTGGTACGACTGCTGTTGAAGAGAGACGCCGATCCGAATTTGGCCGACGCCGAGGGATTGAGCCCGATGCACCGGGCCGTGTCCAGACTCCAGCCGCGATTGGTCGACGATCTCTTGACTCGCGGCGCTGATCTGGATAATTTCGTTTTTCCCAGCGAGAATCACTTCGACGAGAGCTTGCGAGTGTGGCGCTCCACGGCCTCGTCGGCTCATCTGAAATTGAGACTGGTGTCGGGCGCACTGGCCTGCATCGAGTGCCTGGCGCAGAAAGGCGGCTACGCGCTCTACCTCTCGGACGCCCTGACGATCGTCAAGCTGTTCGCCAAGCACCGAGTGTTCGAGTCGACGAGTCGGCGTCATCTCGAGCTCCTCGACAACGACGAGGAATTCAGGAGCAGAGCCAAGGAGACGACGATACGCGGCGACTTGTCGCTCTACGACCTGGTCCGTACGCAGCCGAGCAGGGCGGCGAAACTGCTCACCTGCCGGGACTACTTCAAGTTCTTTCTGTCGCGCAAGCTGCCGAGACTCTTTCCAAAATTCGAGATGACGTGCACGGCGCGCCTCAACGAGATAATGTCGAGAGGATTCTTTCGGGTCTGCGCGCTGGAATTTTTTACGCAGCTGACGCGCTACCGGCTGCCCGTTCTCTGCTGCGAAATGATCATCGACGACGACTCGTTGGCGAACCGAGATTTGGCCAATATTTGCTTGGCGATCGAAGATCCGAGTCACGAGGACGGCGAGGAAAATGAAAGACCCAAGATGTGTGGCGAAAGCTCGTGATACCGATACGCGTATTTGCAGTATTTTTTTTTACCTCTGGTGTCGTTCAGCATTGCATATTTTCAATATTATGCAAATAAATAAATTCGAAATACAAATTCATTAATTTGTAAAGAACCGAATCTTCTCGTGTTTTAATTTAATTAACCTTCGCTCGATAACTATACACAGACCTTTGAACGATGCAACTCATTTCATCGGCTAAACGATTTACTTTCGTATTCTTCGATTACTTAGCTTAGCTCTTCCACGCTCACTCTAGAGCTTTTGACACTTTCACGCGAGTACCTATATTATTACACAGCATCATGCAGATACTTGACTTTCATAAGTCGATTCTCTCTCTCTCTCCCCCCAACACATCAAGCACCGCAAGCTCGCAAGTTCTTCAATGTGTAACGTCAATATTACTGATGTATATGTATATAACGCATAAAACGACGAGCAACATATATATACCCAAAGAGCTCATGGCGCCCCGGCTGATATAGATTCACGAGCGCTTATAATATTGTAACGAATATATTATTCGTTAGACTCTCTCTCAGCAATTGTTATTAAGTATAGTAATGATAAATATTATATGATGTTATTTTAGCACGACGGATCGTCGATCGGCGAGTCGCGGCGCCGTTGGTGTGCGATGAGAGAGGGGAGAGGGATTTTCGAGGCTCGCGCCGAGGATTGAAGGGCCGCGAGCGGAGACTGTTACGAGCTGTGATACCGCGTACCTTGTTAATAGGCATACGCTGGCCTGATTAATTAATTGTAAATTCGCGATTGCAAATTGAAGTACAAGTCGAGACACGGTTTTTTTGTGCAAGTGCCTTACGATACGAGGGTGCCAAGCGAGCCATCCCGAGAGGCCGACTGCCAATTGTAAGTACCTGTTCGACTTAAAAAGCAATCTCTCTCTCTTCGCGCACTCAGCGGAGCGGCGGCTCGCCGAGATCATAGTCGTGCACGCGTATTATATTTGGCATGAGCCAACTTGATCTATTGCTTTATCTATTCGCACAGGCCATTGCCTGATTTCATTTTAATTATTTTGTGTGTCCTTAGCTGTAACATTAAATAAATCGATTTATAATAAAATGAACAAGCACGACTATTCCCTCAGCTGAACCTAATCTGCTCCTACGTCCCACGGATCCAAAGGATCAACATCCCGTTATAAAATGGCGCCCAACTAGAAAAACGTTAATACGTGATTAGTAGATAGGTTGAGGATAGTTTATAGGCATAAAAATTAATGGTAACGGTCATTGAAGCGAGCGACTGTGAAAAAGCGAGCGCGAAATTTGGAATAGTCCGAGATCGAGGTGTAAACAGACGCGCGAGATAGGTAGCGAGCAGCGGTAACAGTTCTCCCATATACGAGTTAAAGCACCGAAAAACGTAAACATTGTCGCGGCAAAGAGTGTTTATTCGGGCCGTATATGATAGTATATGTATACTTCGGGTTATTGTCCGAAAGACTCTGATTTCGGCAGACGATCGAAAATACGCGGCTGCGGCCTAGGGTATCGAAATTGACAACGATCTAGTAAGCGGCAAATTTGAACGAGTTGGCAAAGCGGCTAGTAGTAATATCTACCCCTAATGTTATTATTAATCTACGAATTTGGAAAATTGTAAGATCGTGGGGCCGGTGCCTTCCTCGGCTCGAGCCGTAGTGTAAAGGTCGACTTGTTTTTCCTGGGTCTTGTAAATTCTTTTATTATTTTTTTATTTAAAATGGCCTCGAAGTCAATGAATGAGACTCTGGCAAACATCACAGTAGCCGACGTGTCATACGACTTAACCGAGTATTTAAGAACGTTATCAACGTCCCAAATGATGGAGGCGTATGATGAACTCGAGCTGAAAGATGCGGGCCACGCGATCGATAATTATTGTAGGTTTTTGAAGCATGTAGCAGGTGAATACACCGAATCAGATTTTATTATGAAGGAGGGCTACGAAACCTTAGATAAAGAAGAATTGAAAGCCATGAGGATGAATAAGCGCGACGCATTCGTCGCACGAGTCGGCGAACAAGAAAGAACTAGGTTGGCTGAAGCGGCCAAGCAAGAGGCTGAAGCAAAGAAGAACTCGACGGCAACTCAATCTCCTCCAGAAGGCGCAGAAGACATGGCACTGGAGCCCTGGACAAAACCAGATGGGCAGATAATTTATTTACCTCGAGAGGCAACGACGTACCTAGACAGCATGATATCGGCCACGGCCAAGGAACTGAAAGAGATCCGCAAAACTGCAATCGAATGCATGGAAGTGAAAGAAATGTTGCATAGGCAGATGAATGAAGTAGCCAGCAGCACGCGGATAAACTCGAATCCGGCACCGGGTAAGACGGGAATACTGTCATCAACTGGCAACTGCAACGCAAACAATAGAAGAGTACATTTGAACGACACATACGATATCCATGAGTATTTTCAACCGTCGATGGAGTCAACCGTCCATAGTGCAGATACCAGCAAAGTCGGCATTCGGCAAGATCAGGAAGACCTCCCGCATAATCCGATGCACGTAGAGCGGCAAGACAGGCCAATACAGAACGCTGCAGACGGCCGGAGGCCTAGTAATACGTATACATCGGCGGACCTCGGAAAGACGGTAAGGTCGTGGAATGTCAAGTTCAATGGCTCGAGCGGCATGGACGTCGAGGAATTTCTACGTCGAATAAAAGAGTGTATGGATTCAGCCAGGCTGTCGGAAGCGGAAGTGCTGGGATCAATGTCCGAGCTGCTCACAGGGACAGCGTTGCGATGGTATAGAAATTATAAAAACTCTTGGCAAGACTGGCCAGCGTTTTGCGCGAGCGCCCGAAGATTCTTTGGTGTCACGCAATATTTTCAAGAACGCTTACAGACAGAAGTGTCCACTCGCACACAAGGAAGCGCAGAGCCGGTGGCTGAGTACATTATTTGTGCCCACGGCCTCATGAACCAAATTGAAGGCAAATGGACGCCGGAACAACAATTGGAGCAGCTATACCAAAATATGCGGCCGGAGCTAAAGAAATTAGTACCACGTGAGCGAGTGACAAGCGTTGACAGACTGGTCGAATTGGCCAGAACCCAGGAGAGGATTCTGAAAGACGAACAGTCGTACAAAGAACCGCCGCCACCAGAGGAAGTTTTCTGGAGTGAATTTGCATGCAAGGCACGTAAGAAAGAAGATAGCGCGCCAAGCAAAAAGATCGCTGTAGCGGCAATGGCTCAGAAACAGCCAACGCCGGAAATAAATGACAGAAGCCTAGACATCCTGGAGAAGATCACACAGAGGCTTGAAGCCTTGGAGGCCAAGGGCTCGAATACATCGAAAGAAGAAAGTGCCAGAGACACGCAGAGAGAGCCGTCGACTGAAGCCAGAAATCCGAACAGAGGAAATAAAAGTTATGCCAAGCTGAAATCGTTCGCCAACAGAATCAAGCCGAAATCGGAGGAAAATAAGGACAGAGAGCCAGGGCCGTCGGCAAAAGCATATTGTCACGGTTGTGCCTGGCCAGGCTACATTTGGGCCACCTGCCCAGCGTGCTCGGGAAACGAGAAGGGGAGCAAGTAGGCGAGGTCGCTATTGCCCCTCTCGCAGAGACCTCGAACCAGAAGGCCGAACCGACGAAATTTATCGTAGGCCAAGAGGATTCTTTAAGCGAGTGTTCGTCGTTTCAAGGCGAAAATTTAGACCATAGAGCACCACTGCCACCTCACCCACGCTGGTGGACGGTAGCAGAAGTTGGAGAATTTAAGATAAGAGCCCTCATCGATAGCGGAGCATCGCGTACGTGTTTTGGGCCGGTCGGCCTACAAGTGGCGACACACATGGGCATCGAAGTTGTGCCATGTTCTGGGACGTCAATCACAGGAGCTGACGGCCAATTAATCAGATTGACAGCACAAGCTAAGATACGAATCAAGGTAGCCAATAAGACGAGAGAACTAGTAGTGTTCATGGCCAACTCGTTGGACTACGACTGCGTGCTTGGTGCTGACTGGCACGTATTGTTTTACGCGATGGTTGACCCGCGAACGCATGAATTATATTTCAATAAGGTAAAAGTCTGTAATGTTGAGTTTGATTGCAATAATTCGAGTACAGCGGGGCTGACGGCCATTGGTTTAGAAGGCCCGACGCCCGACGAAGAAAAAGAATTAGAAGAAATTCTAGCTCGATGCCTACCAGTCAACGACGAGAGCTCGCTGATTGGATGTACGGATCTGATAGAGCATGAAATTGAAGTAACGTGCCAACGGCCTATAAAACAGAGATGTTACCCAGTGTCGAAAAAGCTCGAAGATATCATGTACGAGCAGCTGGACAACATGATAAGGCAAGGCATTGTCAAGCCCTCGAAAAGCAGCTGGGCGAGCCCAGTTGTAATGGTGAAGAAGGCAAATGGCAAATATAGATTTTGCGTTGATTATCGCAAACTTAACGCTGTGACGAAAGTAAGCGCGAGGCCAATACCGAATATGGATAGCATCTTGCGAAAATTACGTACAGCAAGGTACATTACGACTTTGGATTTGTCACAGGCGTATCACCAAGTTCGAATTAAAGAAGAACATAGGCATCTCACCGCGTTTGCAGTACCAGGCCGTGGCCTGTACGAGTGGGTGAGGATGGCATTCGGCCTTGCCGGGGCCCCAGCGACGTTCCAATCGTTGATGGACAGTATAATCGGCCCAGATCTTGAGCCATACGCATTTGCGTATCTGGACGATATCATCATCGCAACAGATACGTTTGAACAGCACAAAGAGGTACTAGCAGACGTGCTCACAAGACTTACCCAGGCAGGACTCACTATCAACAGAGAGAAAAGCCATTTTTGCTGCCAAGAAGTCAAATACCTCGGCGTGTTGGTCGATCGAGATGGGTATCGGCCCGATCCAGAGAAAATTGAGCCGATTATTAATTTTCCAACGCCTAAAACATTGAAGCAACTCCGAACGTTCCTCGGAGCAGCTTCTTGGTACAGGAAATTCATTGACAACTTTGCTACGATCGCGGAGCCGCTGACTGGGTTGACGCGGAAAGAGACAAAATTTACTTGGGCCGAAGAGCAAATTGAAGCATTTGAAAAATTGAAGACGATGATCGCTTCAGCTCCAATGCTTGCACGGCCAGTGCCTGGAGATGATGTATTTACGATACACACGGACGCAAGCGACACAGGGATCGGCGCCGTGTTGACGCAAGTACTCGAGGGCGAGGAGCGAGTGCTCGAATTCGCCAGTCGCACGATGTCACCTGCGGAAAGAAATTATTCGGTGACGGAGCGCGAATGTTTAGCGGTATTGTGGGCCGTAAGAAAATTTAGGCCGTATATCGAAGGATATAGATTCAAGGTATTAACCGATCATCAGAGCTTGAAATGGCTGCAGAAACTTCAGAATCCATCAGGCCGACTAGCCAGATGGTCACTCGAATTGCAAGATCACGACATACAGGTAGAATATAGGCCTGGAGCTTTGAATCACGTGCCGGATGCACTGTCAAGAATGCATGAAGAGCCAGCCGCGGAGATTGCTGCGTTCGAGGTGAAAAGCGAAAGCGAAGATAAGTGGTACAATAAAATGTACGAGGCCGTTGAAAAGGAGCCTGAATCATATCCAAACTGGAAAATCGTGGGCCGAAAGTTATACAAGTATAATGCCGACAAAGCACTGGAACCTTTGATCGACGAAGAAGAGACGTGGAAACTTGTCCTGCCACGAGAGAAAAGGGCTGAGGCCTTATTTGAAGCACATGAAGAACTTACGGCAGGGCATCTTGGCCGACGAAAAACGTACTTGCGGGTGGCTGCCTTGTATTATTGGCCGAGTATGCAAAAAGACGTCGAAAACTATGTAAAGGAATGTTTTATCTGCCAGCAATGTAAAGTTGAGCAGTTAGTTCCAGGAGGTCTTATGGGCCAACGCCGAATTACTCGACCGTGGGAGATGGTCGCGGCCGATATTACAGGCCCGTTCCCACGCAGTCGAAAAGGAAATAAATATTTGTTGATTTTCATGGACATGTTCACGAGGTATATCGAATGCATCGCCATCAAAAAGGCCAACGGACCGACAATTACGCAGAAGCTTTACGGCCGAATCTTTATGAGGTTCGGGGCCCCAGAGATACTACTCACAGATAATGGAACCGAGTTCAAGAACGAGGTCATGACCCAATTCTTAGAAAAGAACGGGGTCAAACAACTCTTTGTACCCGCATATCATCCACAGAGCAATAGCGTCGAAAGGGTCAATCGAACAGTTAAAACGATGATAGTATCGTATCTTGAAGATAAACATTCGAACTGGGACGAAAATGTTGCCGAAATTACGTTTGCGTATAATACTGCGGTCCAAGATTCGACGGGTGCAAGCCCAGCTTTCCTGAACTTTGGCCGACAGCCGAGAATCGCAAACAGTCTACGTTTCCGTGAGGAACAAGAAGGAGCCGAAAATATCGATGAAGAGGCACAAGACAAATGGAAAGATCATCTGGCCAAAGTACATGAGTTTTACAACACCATAAATGAAAGGATCAAAAGAGCTCAAGAGAAGCAGGCAAAATACTACAATAAAAAGCATAGAGAAGTTGATTTGCAGGTCGGAGAATTAGTATTACGCCGAAACAGAATTTTGTCGAGCGCCGCAAATCAAATAGCTGCGAAGCTTGCGCCGAAGTTTTATGGCCCTTTAATTATCACGGCCAAAGTTGGCACGAACGTATATGAATTGGCTGATCGTCAAGGAGTACCAGTAGGCCCGACGCATGTGAAAGATTTGAAGCGATTTCACGGAAGCAGCGAGGAGTTCGAGCAAGATGATGGTGAGATCGCGTCCGATGACGAGGACGAACAGGCCGAAATTCAGGAGAGCCCAGAAGAAATGCATCAAGATGCAAGACTTCAAGAACAAGCAGAAGAAGAAAAGCAGATAGCGAGACCGCAAGAAAGCCAAATTGAAAAAGGGCCTAGGTCGCGGATAACACGTGCATTGGTTGTGAGGCAAAAAGAGCCGAACAAGATAACCGGCCGTAAACCAATTACGAAAGCAGGCGAAGGCACGAAGATGTCGAGCGAACAGAGCGAGACAGCCGAAGATAGCGATAGTGAGCCTGGCAAGCATCAAGGCGACGAGATGACGAATCGGCGAATCACACGTGCGGCCGCGAGAAAAAAGGCAACAGCCAAAGAATGTGCAGTAGCCAGCGAAGGCGACACAGTGGCACAGCTGTGAGAGCGACGCAACGCAGCGCCACCGTAGAGGAAAAAAAGAACTCTACAACGAGCCGGCGAGCGGCGTGCATGCGGTGGCGGTAGGCAGTCTCATCGCAGCAGTGACGCTCGACACACGTAACGGTGAAAAGTAACAGTGGAAAAAAAAAGGCAGAGGATAAGCTATGTCGGACAACAAGTCAAACGGACAAGGGACAATGGCGGAAAAGAAGGCCGACGTCCAAAGTGACGTAGATAACGTCGAGGTCCCAGAACTCATTGGGCAAGAAAGCCCAAACGACGATGTAAGCGATCAGGCCGACGGCAAGGTGGCAGAAAGCCAGGCGGCAGCAAACGAAGGAGGCGGAAAGGCCGAAGAAACTGGAAATGTCGAGGCAGTAAGCCAAGCCTTTGTGCAGTTGGGAGTAAAACAAGAGCCCGGAGCCGATTCAGACATTGCAGAGGCGTGGACCGAAGTGGAGAAGAAATTGGTCTCGGCCCGAGCCCGTTACCTGGACGTTCGTGCCGAAGAAAAGAACGCATTGGCCGAATTCGACAATTTCCTACAACGCTTTGGAGAAGAAGGCCTGAAATTGGCCGGTGAGTGGTCATGGAAGACGGACTCATACAAACAAGAACGCGATGCAGCGTGGCGAGTCATCGTACGCCGAAGAGAGGAGCGGGAGACGCGTGAGTCCCAGATCGCCGAGCTAAAAAGAAAGCAGATCAGGGCCGAACAGGCGAAGAGGAAATTGGAGGAGACCTCGGCCAAAGCCAGGGCGGCGCTGTTGGCGGCTACAAGGGCCTATGAGGATTCACTCAAAGAGGTTAGTTTCGCTGAAGTGGCGACCCGTAAGCCGACGCACTCTTTGCACGGGAATTTATACGTGTGCTCGGTATGCGGCTGCCTAGGAGTAAGAAGAGCAGCAGAGTGCCCCCGCAAAGAAGTGCACTACTTCGAGCCACAGCGGAAGCGTGAAGTAGCGGCTGGAGGTCCGACTGGGCCGAAGAAGGAAAAGCGAGAAAAAGAAGAGGAAGAAGAGTAGGCTGAAGCCTGAAAATAATCTGTGTTTTTTTTGTAAACCTTTTTGTTTTTTCTTGGGCTATTAGCCTCATAATTTAATTTATTCTATTTCTTTAGTTTTTTGTTGTTTTGATAAAAGTAATATTTAACATTATGTAATATTGGCTAGGTGTGTAATCAGGAAAGAGAAAAACAAAGACAACCTAACCCTGTTCCTTTTTTTTTTTTAAGCGAGATTGCCGAATGTAATAGGCACGAAAATATTTTTTGTTGTAATTTAAGAACCTATGTTTAATAAAGAGATCATTAATGAAAGATAGGGTTTGTCACGCCTTTTGTAGTTCCCCTTTCGTAGCGAGTAGGATAGTAGGGCATTAGCCTATACAAATAAAAGGCGATAACACCACGAAGTGCAATTGCCACGAGAGAGAGGTCATGGTCGAGCAGGTACGCCGAGGCTACCCTGCGTCTGGAGGGGGGGTGTAACGAATATATTATTCGTTAGACTCTCTCTCAGCAATTGTTATTAAGTATAATAAAGATAAATATTATATGATGTTATTTTAGCACGACGGATCGTCGATCGACGGGTCGCGGCGCCGTTGGTGTGCGATGAGAGAGGGGAGAGAGATTTTCGAGGCTCGCGCCGATGATTGAAGGGCCGCGAGCGGAGACTGTTACGAGCTGTGATACCGCGTACCATGTTAATAGGCATACGCTGGCCTGATTAATTGATTGTAAATTCGCGATTGCAAATTGAAGTACAAGTCGAGACACGGTTTTTTGTGCAAGTGCCTTACGATACGAGGGTGCCAAGCGAGCCATCCCGAGAGGCCGGCTGCCAATTGTAAGTACCTGTTCGACTTAAAAAGCAATCTCTCTCTCTTCGCGCACTCAGCGGAGCGGCGGCTCGCCGAGATCATAGTCGTGCACGCGTATTATATCTTTGGTATGAGCCAACTTGATCTATTGCTTTGTCTATTCGCACAGGCCATTGCCTGATTTCATTTTAATTATTTTGTGTGTCCTTAGCTGTAATAGTAAATAAATCGATTTATAATAAAATGAACAAGCACGACTATTCCCTCAGCTGAACCTAATCTGCTCCTACGTCCCACGGATCCTAAGGATCAACATCCCGTTATAATACATGTGGAAACTGCGGGAAAAAATTCACAACTAAGAGTAGTCTCCAAGTTCACATCAGGGCGAATCATAATGGTATCAGACATACATGCAATACATGCGGAAAAAAATTCTCAACAAAGGGCCATCTTAAAACTCACATTAAATCAGTACATAATATTGCCAATTTACACGTGTGATCTTTGCGGAAAGAAATTCTCAAAAAAGTATAATCTCAAATTCCACATGAATGCAATGCATAATGGTATAATCCAATCGTGATATGTGCGGAAAGACGTTCAAGCACAAGTAGAGAGTATTATAGCCAACATTGACTCATAATGCATTACTCGCACATTACAACTTGATGATATCGGTAACATGCTCGGAAGATTGATTTAAACATTTTCATACATGATAAGTATCATAAGTTCCTCCAATCTTATCTTATTATGTAAAAATATTATTCAAATTTTGAAAAAATCAATAAATTTTTGTAAGAACATGCAGCATCAATAAAATTTTAAATCATTTAAGTTAATGTCAATGCAAAAATGTCAGTCACTTTTTAGCGCGCTTCGCTCGCTCTAATTTTTCTTATTCCATCGGAATTAGATCATTTACCAAAGTCACGAAGAAAGTAAGAGAATAATGTCGAATTATTTTGGAAATTTCAATTACACGCTACAAGGGGCAACAATTTCAATCGAAAATATAGCCTCGAATTCGCAAGATTTTTCATAGAATAGCTCATATATAATACGTAAAACTTCAGGGATCCGTTGAGATGTGCGAATATATATTGTGTGTGTTTATAAATCGATGCGCCGCGCGTACACGTGCAGGGGCGCGAATAAAGAATATAAACTTCGATCAGCCCTTGGGCACTGCTGCTGCTGCTGCTGCCTCGACTCGGCAGCTGCGCACTCGGCTCGCGTATCATCGTACGATACAAGTCGAGCGCGTATATACAACAGATCGGATTCTCTCTCAAGCTTGTGTATGCGGCCGCAATCACAATGTGTGTAACATCGCAGTCTCGAGCGCACACGATCCATAAAGCATTCAACGTTATAATGACATTAATTTTCGCCTGCGATCGCGCGAGCGAGAGATCGGCAATTATATTATTTTATTCTGCACTCACGTATATACCGATCATATATATATTTATACGCGTAGCATTGAATTCGCGTAACGATCATTACCGATCGTTATACGCTGCCGGATTCTTTGTTTCGCTATACGCACGATAATTAATGCATTCTCGAATTCGTGCGAACTTCATGCTATACGTATGCCGGTGTGTATGTGTGTGTGTAAGATCCAAATAAGTACTAAATTATATGGCTCGCGCGCGGATAAGAGCCGCTGTCTCCTCCCGCTCGTCGAAATGGCACAAAGACACGAGATGCGTCGAAACACCGGAGGTATTTAGGTATAGGATACGATACTTTTGTATTATAACAAACCCGCGCGGTAAAAGGCATAAATCGGCGATTCCAATCAGATATACGTGTGTGTGTGTATATGTGCGTCTACCTGCTGCTGTCCACAGCTGCCTATGTAACGAGTGTCTCTCACGCACTTGTGTGTGTGCGCAATGCATTACGTCGAGGTCCGAGGATATACTAATAATAAATTATAAATTTTCACGCATCTCTCTCTCTCTCTCTCTCTCTCGGGCGCGCAGTAAATGTATACAACGCATAAATGCGCGCGACGACAATTGTGGCAATTTCATTATTATTTTTTTTTATTCGTGTAGCACGGGGTAAGCGTGGCGACGTCGCGCAAAGCAGCGAGAGAGAGAGAGAGCAAATCGAATTCGCTCATAATGAAGATTAATATTAGGCAAGAGCGAGGTATATTATATTAATATATATCCTGGGACGTCATGAAGGCTGTGAATATTGTTGACACGTTCGTAGGCCAATATGTAAATGTATATGCGTACTCTCTTAGGTGGTTGTTTGTTTGTTTTAATATAGCAGCGCGCGAGCGATCGCTCTCGAAATTTATTGCTGTTATACACACACACACACACACACACATACACACATGCATACATAAATATATATCGTTTGTGTACACGCTCGTAATAAGCTTAAATATACGAGTAGACCATGTACATACCTGCAGTACAGGTGTAATTATTGTTTTACGGATGCGTTACCGCAGCAAGAGAGATAGTCACATGCATAGAGCGTTAGGTATGGGAGAGATCGTATACCACCCTAGATTTCAACTCTGTGATATTGTGCCACTATTAATTGGCTCTCTAATGTTACCCTTCCACGGCTATTGTACATAAGCTAGATTATGGACAATTGCAGTATATGATGAACACTCGACAGATCATCTTTCACTTTCTTTATGGACTGATTAATTTTTTTTGTTCCTTATGATGTTTCATAATTATATTTATCACCGCTGAAATAGGCTAACACAAAGAACTACTCATAGTTTTTCTTAGTTTAACTAATACACGCTCATACGCAAAGGATTACTGATTGAACATTTTTATCAGAATGAAATGATAAATCAAATCAGAAAGTTAGCTTCAGTAGTGATTTGAAAACATTTATTGATATATTTCATTTGCATGATGACAATATTACAAATTAAATTGAAAATAATGTTTAAATAAGCTTATACATTTAGCGTTACAAAGAAAATTCTTTATTAAAAGCTTTTTTTCAATAAACCATGTATTTAATCATCAACAATAAAAAAGTTGTGATGATCAGTTTGTAAGATTACAAACAATATCTGAAATCAAATACATGCAACTGCTTAAAACGATTTTAGTTCAACAAAATTAATATAATATAAAATACTTCTTATATCAACATTGATTACTTTTTACAAATTCAACAATTTCAGTATTATTTCCTACATCTAATTAGTCTGGTTTCTGTCAAAGTGTCGTCTGCCCTGTTAATTTTTCTCTTAATGAATGTGTTATTTTGAGTAGTAGAGCAGGATCAGCTGTCTTTAGTAGTTCTGAATCAAGTAACTTTGTGTTTGTAGTAAGAAACCTCAATAGTTTATTTTCTAAACGTTCTGCATTACATGTATAAGCTAATATTAGAAACTCAATTGCATTTTCAGTTGTTAATTTAGCATATAATAGTTTTCCACACTCAATTTTTAAATCATCAATTTCATACTTATCAGCTGCTATTAATAGCTGCTGAATCATATCTGTTTTGTCAATTTCAATCTCACCTGTGTAAATGTATCTCAACATTTCAATTAAAATATTGTGAGAAGTTTCAGTTATCTCAATGGTATTGTTTTTAGTTTCCAACATGTCATGGGTAAACATGGCTCTAAATACTGGACTGACCGTAGCAAGTACAAATTTGTGTGCAGGTATGATAAATTTATCAGAAGTTCTCAATTTGACATCACTGAATTCTTCACAAGGAAATGCCAACTTGAATTTCTTTTTATCAATAATCTCATCTTCAGTTTCATTGTCAGTTTCATGGTCAGTTTCATTGTCAGTTTCATTGCCATTATGTAAAAAGCCCTTGAAAATGTCTAACTCACATTTAAAAGTTACAGTATCCTTAGAAGTAATTAATCTGTCAATATTTTTCTCTTCAAGAATTCTTAGGCCCATGCTTGTCATCTTTGCAAAATCTACATCGTAGATGAAAGTTTTGATGACTTTTCCATTTCTGATAGCTGTTAGCTTGTATTTACACATTAATTCTTCTTGTTTTGCTTCTAAGTCACTTCCTATGTAACAAAGATATATAGTAACAAATCCCTGATTTTCACTATTGCCATTAGGGTATAATTCCAAATTGAAGCAATGTTTACCATAATCACTTCCAACGATAAAATCATTGGATAATATTGGTTCTCCTACCTCCAGTTCTAACAAACTGTAATTCTTTATTGTCCATGTATAAATGCACTTGTCCGTATGAACTATAGTAGTGCTCTTTATTCGTTGAGTTGATGGCATATTGGCTTGAACACGTGATAACTTATATAATTTTATTACTTGATCAACTAAAACTGTTATAGATTTCACATCAAGAGATGCCACACGTGCACTCACGAAAGTTCGGAAAGAAAATATTGCTACTTCTTGCGTGGCCGCCACGGCGTAATGTTTGGACAACTTCATAAAAGAGCATGTTGCTAGCGCCAGTTCTCTTGCAGCCAGCCTATGCACTAAGAGAGTAAAAATATTAGTGGCTACAGACGAAACTAAGCGAAGCTGTTCCGTGGCTAAACCGGAAGTAAACACCTTTAGCGCCCCAAAAATTACAGCAACAGCTCCCACAAATATAGCTACTCTAATTACGAATACGTTTAATCGCGACTCTGAGTTTACATATTGTCTCTTGCTAAAAAGTGCAAATAACATCGGACTCGCCACTCTCGTAGGGATGGGATTTAAATTTGCCTTTGTGTTTGTAAGAAACAACAGCTCAGCTCAAATAACGAAAGTATGTGATACTTCTCAGCAGTCAGCAATAATCATGGTCCATGGAACATATCATCATTAATCTAGGGGGGTAGCTAATATTAATATGTACTCACACATCAGATCATTGGTTCGACTAGAATGAAATGATGAATCAAATTAGAAAATTAGTTTCAACAGTGATTTGAAAATATTTATTGATGTACTTCATTTATATGATGACAATATTACAAATTAAATTGAAAATATAAACTTATAAGTTTAGTGTAACAAACAAATTCTTTATCAAACGCTTACTATGCAATAAACCATGTATTGAATCAACTATATAAGAATATTATAATATATCAACTATAAAAGAAGTTTTGATTAATGATTGGCAAAATTACAAAATTATATGTGGAATAAAACTTAGTGCTTATAGAATATTTAGTTCAACAAAATGAATATATTACAAAATGCTTCTTATATCCCTGTTAATTACTTCTTGAAAATTAAACAGTTTCAGCATGATTTTATAAATTGTACCTCAGAAATAACAAAGTGGTAAAATTTCAAATTTATTAGCTAAATGCTTCTTACACTTAATCCTATATTTGGTCCTATACACAGTCTGATCAAGGTTTCTTCTGTTTTGTTAATAATGCTTCTCTCAATGAATATACTATTTTGAGTAGTAAAGCAGGATCAGCTATCTTTAGTTGTTCTGAATCAAGTAATTGCGGATGAGCAGTAACAAACTTCAATACTTTATTTTCCAAGTGCATCGCATTATATTTGTTAGCAGATGTTAAAAACTCAATTGCATTTTCAGTAGATAATTCAGCATATAACAATTTTCCACACTTGATTTTCAAATTATCAATTTGGTATTTATCAGCCACTGCTAAAAGCTGCAGAATCATATCTGTTTCGTTAATTTCAATCTCACCTGTATACATGAATCGCAACATTTCAACTAGAATATTGTGAGAAGTATCAATTATCTTGATGGTATTGTTTTTAGTTTCCAACATGTCATGGGTAAACATCGCTCTAAATACTGGGCTGATCATAGCGAGTACAAATTTGTGTGCCCTTATAGTTTTTTTATCAGAAGTTGACAACTCAATATCACTGAGTTCTTCACTGGGAAATGGCAAGTTGAATTTCTTTTCTTCAAAATTCTCATCTTCAGTCTCGTTATCAGTCTCATTTTCATTGTTAATATATTCAGTAAAAATTTCTAGTTCACATCGAAAAGTTACAGTGTTCTTCAGGGAAATTAAATCGTCAATCTTATTAAGATCATAAAATTTCGTTCTACCCCAGGAATTAGTTTTCAGATAATCTTCATGTACTTTCAGTTCAGTAACAACTTTTTTATCTCTAATAACTGATATTGTACTTTTACATATGAGTTTATCTAGTATCTTCGTTGAATCAGTTTTCAGATAAGTAAGATAAAGAGAATTGAATAATCCTTCAACTTCCGCACATTGACCTTCAGGGAATAATTCCAAATTGAAATATACTTTATTATCACTTCCAACACTAAATTTTGGGGATTCTATGTTTTCTCCAACTTTACATTTTATTAAACGATAATTCTTAATCGTCCATGTATAAACGGTCTCAGCCGAAGCGACTGTCGTAGAAGCCTTCATATGTTGTTTTGATGACATTTTAATAAATACGTGATGGCTTATAGAATCTTATTACTTGAAAAAGAACACGAGTTGATGCCACTTTCCAGTGGCCGAACTAAGCGACGTTACGTACTTACGTGTCTATACGGGAATTGAGGACACTTACGCGGTAAAAAGTACAGAGCGCTCAAAAGTATAGCTTATACGGTATGTGAATCTATATTGCGAGATACGGTATGTGTATCTCGCTTAAAATGATATCGGCTCGCTAGTCGCCACTCGCGTGGGAGTGTGGTTAGATTTGCCTTTGTTTTCGTGTAAGAAGCGACAGTTTGGCTCGAGTGACGAAAGTATATGATACTTTTCGGCAATAATCATGATCCATGAAACATATCATCGTTACTTTATGTTTTGCGGCGCGTCTCGCATGCCTTTAATTTTTCACGTTTTGAAGCGTGACTCGCTCGGGACTTGCATGCGGAAGAGACGTCAAAACGCACAGCATTATATCATACGTATAGTCCAAAATATACTGCATTGTATTGTATGCACGCGTGTAGCAGCAGCATCGTATTATTTAACAGGGGCACATTTCAATTACATAATATTCGTATAATCGTTTAGGCAATTTTTCTGTATTTAGACGCGTATGTGTATCTACGCAAGTAGCATCGGTGTAAGAGAAGCATAAAATTATACGCGTCACAACATGTAGAATGATATTTCCGAGTCTAAATTTTAGGGCGAATGATAGGATAGGATATAACTGAACTTGGATGCGGCTGCAGACTTGTTTATCTATATATCGGTATTAAATTGAGATAATATGATACAGTATTGGCAGGTTAGACCTATTTGGATGAGAAAAAGCATCAAAAAGCTTAATTAATCGATTTAATATTCTATCTATATAATTGTGATGATAAAACCAGCGAAGTAGACCAGCATGAAAAACTACTCATAATTTTTTCTCAGATTATTACTAATATTAAATAAGCTCTCACAAATCATATCATTGGTTGAACTTGAATGAAATGATAAATGGAACCAGAAAATTAGTTTAAACAGCAATTTGAGAATATTTATTGATGTACATTATTTATATAATGACAAAATTTCAAATTACATTCAAAGTAGTGTTATTATTAAATCATACTAGCATTACAGAAAATTCTTTATCAAGTACTTTCTATGCAATGAACCATATATTGAAATATATAAAATGTAGAAAAATTTGTGATTAAATTGCAAAGGCTATACAGCTTAAAAATGTTTTTAGCTTAACGAAACAAATATATTAGGAACGCTTTTCAAATTATCATTCATGGATTTTTGCAAATTAAACAGTTTTTTTATGATTCTATAAATCATATTTTAGAAATAATGAAGTTGCAAAAAATCAAATTAATTAGCTAAACTCTTCCACACAATCCTATGTGTATCTACACTGATTTTAATCAATGTTTCCATCTTGTTATTGATTCTCTTAATGAATGTGTTATTTTGATTAGTACGTCAGGATCAGATATTCTATTAAGTTGCTCTGAGTCAAGTGATCGTGGGTGAGCATTGACAAACTTTAATACTGCCTTTTCTAAATGCTTTGCATTATATTTATGAGCATATGCTAGAAACTCAACTGCATCTTCAGTAGATAATACAGCACATAATACTTTTTCACACTTAATTTTCAAATGAGATATTTGGTACTTTTCTGCCACTGCTAAAAGCTGAAGAACCATATCTGTTTTGTTAACTTCAATTTGACCTGTGTAGATGTATCGCATCAATTCAACTAAAATATTGTGAGAAATGTCAGTTATCTTGATGGTATTGTTTTTATTTTCCAACATGTCATGGGTAAACATGGCCTTAAATACTGGACTGGCAGATGCAAGTATTATTTTGTGTGCTTTGATAGTTTTTCCATTAGAAGTTGATAACTTGACATCACTGAATTCTTCACTGGGATATGACAAGTTAAGTCTCGCTTTATCAAAATTCTCATCTTTCTGTGCGTCAGATTCATCATAAGACTCAATCTCATTGTAAAAACATTGCTTGAAAACTTCTAATTCACATTCAATAGTCAGAGTATTCTTGGAAGAAATCAATTTATTAATATTTTTCACTTCATGAAAGTTCGCATTCCAGCCTGAATTTCTCTCAAATTCTTCATGTATCGTATGCTGAATGGCGACTTTTTTATCTGTAATAACTGATATCGTGGCCCTACATATGAGTTAATCCGGTTTATTTTTTGAATTAGTTCCTTTGAAAATAAGACCAACGATAAACGATCCCGTCTTTTCCGCACGATCACCTGCAGGGTATAATTCCAAATTGAAGTATTTTTTTTCATCGTTACCAACGCTAAATCTCGGGGATTCTATTTTTTCTCCAACTTTTGATTTTATCAAAGTATAATTCTTAATCGTCCATGTATAAACGCACGTATCCGAAACGACTGTAGTAGAAGCCCTCACACGTTTTTTTGATGCCATTTTGACTTGAATACGTGACAGCTTGTAGTAGAATCTAATTACAGCTTGATCAACTGAAACTTTTAGCGATATTCAACACAAAGGAGACACGCACGTATGTTTTAGTTTTGCACGACACTGAGACTGAGATAAGTTCAAGAGTTAGCGGCTGAACGCAGCAACGATCCGTGGCTAAAGTGCGCCAAAAGGTACACAGCCGCTACACGCGAGACTGTAAGGTCATTCGTAAATCGCGGACCGGACGCACACGCATCGAACGATAGGTGCTGCGCCCTGCGAAATCTTTTACTTTCCAATATGATAGCTTTGCCGGGACTATGTATGAGCAATTTAATGACCAGTATTGGTTGTTAGCGGGAAGCTTCACTGTATTTATTATGTGAAGAATTTTTTTCATACAGACGATCGACAATAACAATAGGATCCGAAATTAATAGACGCGATCGGGCGACTTGTATATAGGTTGGCCGCTTTGTTTAGCTTGCATATTATATGCGCATAGCAGCAGCATCATATTGTTCTAAACTGAGGCACATTCCAATTACATTATTCGTTTATAGGCGATTTTTGTGCCCGCAAATAGCATATCGCATTAAGCAAGTATTCAACGCCGCGCATGCATATTCTATTGCTGCCTCATAAGCGCGTGTATACGTATAGCTCTCGACTTTAATCAGCGCGTCACCTTTGAGAGCTAATTAATCCAACTTCAACCGCGTGCCCGGCTCAGACGTATTATATAGGATACGCGCGGGCTCGGATATGTGAAAAATCGCGCGTCGACTTCGTACGGACGTGTGTTATATTATGTGGTGTACGCGTGAGAATGTCCCTCTGTGCACACTTACATATACACACAGACGCCAGTCACGATCTCGGTTTTATAAATGTGTGCATTGCGCGCACACAACCACCTACAAATCTAACCCGTGCCTTATATACTATGCAAGTCGCTCGACAGAATTGAGTTTTCATATAGACCGGCTGCTGCTGGCTGAGCTGTGTTACGTGTACTGGCCAGCTGCGATATATGTATGCCATTTATATACCCACACACACACAAGACGCGGACACGAGCCCGCTAATATAACTACGATTACTGCTGTATATATGCAGTGGTTGCCGTATAGACCTATGCACAACTATATGTCGAGAGATAAGAGAAGTGCCGAGGAGCGCGAGAAAACGAGCTTCGGCTCGCGTGCAGAGCAGCAGCAGTAACAGACCTAAACATACGACGATCTGCACTGACCGACGGTAGCTGTATATTTACATAATAAACACACGATATTAGACGTCTCTAGTAAGATGTATGTTGTTGTTTATATTTTCGAACCTTTACATTAAATTTGTGTAATGTCGATGCGTGACAATTTCTCCGTTCGCTCGTTCGAAAGAGAGAGAGAAAAATGTAGTCGACTCTTTTTTTTCCCCTCTTGAATATTTCTCTCGATTCTTATAGCGTATAAAAAAATACGTTAACCACAAGAGCTGTGGCTGATCGCGAGTGACACGCGTGTGTACTGCTGTCTCTGTTATATGTGTCCAATGCCCATCGGCACACAAAAATTTACCGGTTCACCCGCGCTATACATGTAACACGGCGTGACGGCAAGACGACGACGACGACGACGCTTGGCGCGTCCGTCACCCCGAAAAAACACACAAAAATGAGGAAGAAAAAAAAATTGTCCACCACGTAGTACACGAAAACCAACGTTTTGCGACTGAACCGATCGTATACGTGCACGCAGTCAGGACACATTTGCGATTCATGCGCACGTACCATGATGTCGCTGCAGGCTTGTATTATTACGTATGCACGCGGATCGACACGATTTATCATTGCCGCTCGCTCCCCCGAAAAGGCCGCATTCACCATTGTACGCGCGAACGTATACGCTGTGTTTCGTTATTGTTGTTTTTTTTTCACCACGCTACCGAAGAATTTTTCTCAGAGTTCAGGCGGCTCGATCTCGCGGTCACCATCGTTTCCTCCTGGAAATTTATTTATTGCGAATTTATTGCATCGGAAAGAGGTGCAACAGTTTTTTGTTTTTTTTCTCCTTCTCCTTCTACCTATATTCTCTTTCCGTCGTTGTGCTCGTTACGAGCGAATCGCCGGAGATGAATTTTCCACGATTCCGAGGTAAAACGATCGTACACAGGCCTCTGTATATATAGCGGAGACTTTTTATGACTCCACGCAGAGTCTTACCTCATGGAGCAGCGCGTTTTATACTTTATATAATAATAACGAATATAACGATATAAGCTAGAGCTCGGCTTTTGCGCGGCGCTATTAAATTATTGCACGCGCTGGACAAGGTACGTTATATATAAAATAATAATGTCGATGTAGAAGCCAAGAGAAAGAGAGAAAGAAGAAGCTATACGTGTGTATAATCAAAAGCTTAAAACGATAAACAATTTATTTTTTCGATAAGATAACTACTCGGCTCCTCCTCTAGCTTTTTTTTCCAGCTCGTTCGTGCTCGCATGCGCGCGTCGTCGTGCGTTTCAATATCGAGCGCAAAAGACACTTAAATTTTTTTAATCTCTATTCATGTATCAGCCTCGGAACAAACGAATTATCGTTTCGAGAAGTCGCGAACGATGTTCTCTCGCTCGATGAAAACATAAAAACTTTTAACGTACAATCGCGACCGCATCGATTGCACGCGGTATACACACAGACGAGTTGAATTTTTCGTGCGCGCTGCGTCGTGCGCATGACAGACTGCTACATAGGCGTCGCGCGTCGAGCAGACGACGCGCAGCTCAGCTGCACGCTGCATACGTAGTATCGTACGATACCGACGTTACCTCCGCGCGCCTCCACCGCCAGATGTCGTCGAGCCGGTACCCGCAAGTGGCGAGAAAATTGCCAAGCTTACTATATAAGCCGGGCTCGCGCCTCCACCATCGGGACTGTTGTCTTGAGCGTGTATGCGTAGTAAGTGTTTTCGACCGCCTCGTGTAGGCTCGATCGATGATATCGCCGAAAAACATATACGTTGTAACTTTACATATGGAGTGAATAAAACCGGCACATTAATCGGCTCCCGTATGCGCCCCGCGCGGCCCCCTCTTCACCGAGGGGTGTCCGCGTCGGGGTCCGCTCGGTCGATGCCCTTTAAATCGTACCGTCCTCGACTTCCGCGCTTTCCAAATTAAAGGGGGGTCGGGCCGAGGTTCATTTCCCATGGTTCCCAGACCACCGGCACTACAGTTCAGTAGTCTGCCATAATTTTTTTGCGTTTTTTTTTTCGCATTTATAAACTTTTGGCTTTGTTTTATCGAATGCAACGAGCGCGCTAGATTTCTATAAACCTAAGTAGCAAATTACTACATAAAATATAAGTTAACTTCTTTTTTATTATTTGAATATTATTGCTGCAAATCGTCCTACTGAAAAATATAAAATTTATATTACATAGTTTAATCTTGCTTTACAACATAAATTTTACGATGACTCTTTATTACATTACTTGATATAGAATTTAATAATTAATGTTTGGGTACAAAGCATCTTTGTTTGTATTTATTTGAAAAGTCTAGAGTAGCAAACGGGGGAAGGTATCATATTGCTTAGTTAAAAAGAAATGTTGCATTAGAAAAAATAATTCATGAAATGGTCGATCTTGTAGCAGACTTTGAAGTAACGATTTCCTATTCATTTCGATAAATTACAACAAAAAGAAAGATAAGAAAGAGGGAAAACAAACGAAAGGTTGCTGCAACAACAACAACAAAAAATCGCATAAAAATAGATACGATGTACCGGCTTGAAAGGTACATAGTTTCTTTTAACAGCAACAACAGACCTTCGAGCGGATTGAGACCGCAGACTCGTCGGTTTCCGCGCGAACTCTATATAATACGTGTCTGTGTATGCGCGTGTGTACGTGTGTATACATACAACAACACTTACACACCAGCCGAGCAACAAAAATCCCGAAAGATATCGAGTTGCATGTGCGCCTCGCTCGCGCGTCTCTCGAAATCGAGACTCTTTCTCTCTCTCTCTCTCTCTCTTTTACACAGACGCACGCGCATATACGCACACCTTGTGTACACCGCCAGACACTGAAAATTCGATCTTCGACATTCGTCTTCTCGCGCCCGCCTGGCAGTTCTTTTCCCTTCTTTTTTTCTTTTCGGCGATCTTTTTATTTTATTTTATTTTTTTTCATTTGTTTTTTTTTCTGGCTGTACACGCGGCCGGGGTCGACGTTTTGCATGGCGTTTCGCTTAACGCTTCGGAAGACGATTCGTTCGCTCGATTATGGAGCTCTCTTTTTCCTCCATATACACACTCCGAGTTTATACACACTCACGCGTATACCCGTATATGGACAAATTTAAAATAAACAATGTAGTTTCGTTAACAAAAAAAGGTGAAATTTTTTTTGCTCGCCCAGGTGCCCGGACCCCCGCAAATTTGTTCCTAGGAGTCCTAGGGATGAAAAAAAAACACGTGAACATGAAATTTGAAGATAGATATTTTTTTATCACTTTTTTGTTTGAGAGGACGACAAATCTAGTATCTTATTTACCGGCTTCTTGTTAGCTTTTTTCATTAATTAATTATTCTTTTTCATTCCAAAAACCTCAATCGATTGTGCACGTATGTGTAATTTTTTGTATTCTATTTTATATTGTGTATTATACCAATATTTTTAATTTAATGAATTTAAAAAAGCTGACGTTAAAAGTTTCTTATATGGTAAAATATCATTAAAAAAGCAAAAAAAAAATTCACCTTTTTTAGTTAACGAAACTGCATTTTATTTCTAGATCTACCCATGTATAATATAAAAAATATATATAATGCACATAATGTCGAATGAAGCTGCAAATTGTTTTATTTTTGCCTCTTTTTCTCTCTTTCTCTCCCAGGCTCCGCGTATTTTTTTGTGACTTTAATGAGGGTTACCGGCCTGTGTGCAGTAGCGCAGCGTAAAATTCAATGGCATGCCGGAGCTATAATATAAGCTCTCGTCCACAAGCGCCTGTGTGTGTGTGTGTGTTGTGTGTGTATATAGTAACGGTAACGAAAATGATTTTATTTCGATGCGCATTATGTACTCAAATACGAGCTAAATTTTATGGAGAAATAGGAGGCAAGCGAGAAGAACAACGTCAAGGAAGAAGGTTTTTTAGTTTCATTATTTTCTTTGATCTTTTATCTTTTCTTTGATATTTTTTTTAAGGACTCGACCAAAACGCCATATTTCCATCGAACGAATCGGCGAAGTAAATTGACGAAATTTACCGCCTCGTCGAGACACTTCATTCTAATTTTTACAATGCGCTCGCTCTACCGGTTACGCACTCGCGAGCTTTACAAAATATAAATAATAATAATATATAAAAAATGTGTTGCGCTGGGTCCGATCTTAGTACGCAGCCGCGCGCACACTGCAATCAATTACGACTCGCGATCCTAAAATAATTTTTCAATTTAACGCCGGGGAGAAAAAAGGTCCGCATAATCAGCGGAATGATTCATATTTATCGCGTCCCGTTGGCACCGCCGCCAAACTGATGTTTCAATCTAATGCTCCTAATGAAAATAGCCAATAAATGGGCGTACCTGATCGTACAGGCACACGCGTTAAATATTAAGCTCGTATAATGATACGTTGTATCCGCGCACTCGGCACATATATGTGCGCGCGCAATTTTCCATTCGACCCGAGTAAACGACTCTCGGATTCAATTTAATCTCGCCGCGTATACGTTTAGCCGCGCGTATAGCGTATATTATAGCTCCGATCGCGATCCTCCCTCCCACGCAACACAGGTCTTCACGTGCTGTATATACCTGGAAAATTCTTAATCGAAATTTTCTCGTGATACGAGAGCTTCGTCTTCGGTAAATGTTATGCTGTACGCTATATGTATAGTAGTCTATTAATCGGCGCGCAGGACATATTATACTCCGCGAAGCGAGCGCGAGCGTGAAGGTATGCCCAAGTACTGGCCTGCAATTATACATACATCCAATAACGAGCTCTCTCGGTTATATCCTCGTTATTATGATTTTTTTATTATTTTTTTTCGAGGATCACAGGTCGTTCGAGGGATTTTTTATATAATAGACAGTCAACGATCCAGACTTCTCCTTTTTTTTTCTGTACGTTATTCGCTCGAGCTATGCATATATATGTAGTGACAAATAAAACGTATTAGGTGTTGCGCGAGGCGCTCGTATGTGTGTACACGCACACACAAGATAAACAAACGCTTAAACGTTAATTTATGCCCCGTATTATATGGCGCGTACGTATAGTGCGTATATATACGGTACGCACAGAGGGAAAATTATCCGGTGCGCGGAATACGTTGAACTTATTAAATCGCGAGCGCGGGATAATAATATTTAGTTATAATGAGGCCTCCGCGCGATGCACCGAGAGTACGTGTGTATATATATGTAGAGAGAGGTACATGCGTGACACATGTACACGCGCGCGTTATTATACGATACGTATACGAGCTGCGAAAGATTATTCGATCCGTCCGTTAAGTGGCTGTGATATAATTTCGACGAGGAAGATTAATTTTTTTTTTTTATCATTCTCCGTCGTTGAATTATTCATCGCGCGAGGGTATATATATAAATACGTAATAATGTTAACTTAAATAGTTCTCGTTACGCCTCGGCCTGTATAAGATGTGCCGATGTGCAATATACACGAGATCGCGATTTATTACACAGATTTTGTATAGAGGAAAAGAGAGATTAGAAGATGATTTTCGCGGTCGGTGCAAGAGTTATTTGTGAGGAAGTTTTTAAAACTTTAGCGCAAACAGCGCTACCGAAATCCTGGAGAAATGAATTTAGCACATTGTTCGGATCTGATTACTTTTTCTTCGAATTTACAATTATGGCTTTGATCGAATATATATTCGTTAGATATGTTAATTTTTTGACAATTCTGACCACGTGTTCGTCAGTACGTACAACTTTACGAAAGAGATGACATGTGAAAAAATTTTGAACAATTTTAAGTTGATGTACATTATTAAAAAATTTGTCGGAGAACGTTCAATTCAGACGTTAAGGGGACGAATACACCTTAACCCATTAACGACCAAAATGCTTGATTTTTTTGTTGGTTTTCGCTGCGATTTTTTTTGTAGTTTTAGACCTTAAAAAAATTTCGCAGGGACCTATTTCGATGTAAAATTTAATGCCCTTTCAGAAACTGAGCGCAAAATTTTGATTTTTTGCGTAATAAAAAAGTTATAGCTACTTAAACAAAAAAAAACGTAAAAATTTTTGCAAAAAATCGAGTTTTCGATTTTTTTTCGCCATGTTACCGGTAAGGAATCACGATATAAATATGATCAGGGGTGATCACGACTATCAAAGTATCTCAGAGATTTTTTGTGGAATTTTTGAACCACTTTTCAAATCTTCGTTCTGTGCACTTTTTCTCTAAATTCAATAGTTTTCGAGTAAAAATGGGTCATGTTTTATATGAATATGAGTTATTTTTTGTTTGAAGTAATGGTTCGAAAATTCCATAAAAATTCTCTGAGATACTTTGATAGTCGTGATCACCCCTGATCATATTTATATCGTGATTCCTTACCGGTAACATGGCGAAAAAAAATCGAAAACTCGATTTTTTGCAAAAATTTTTACGTTTTTTTTTGTTTAAGTAGCTATAACTTTTTTATTACGCAAAAAATCAAAATTTTGCGCTCAGTTTCTGAAAGGGCATTAAATTTTACATCGATATAGGTCCTGCGAAATTTTTTTAAGGTCTAAAACTACAAAAAAAATCGCTGCGAAAACCAACAAAAAAATCAAGCATTTTGGTCGTTAATGGGTTAAACTCAAAAAAATTTTGATTTTGCATTGAGTTACAGCTGTTGCCATGAGCCTTTTTCCTATACTTTACGTGTTAAATTTTTTCTTCTTTTGCGTTTTCTGGCGAGTAGTGTTTTTGGTCATCTATCGTAACTTTTAGAGGGTACCGATCAAGCTTCAGCACCAGAACATCAATGGTCTCATCCGAGGTAGTAACCGTAAACATTGATGTTCTAAAGAAGTTTACGCAACCCTGGTGCTGAAGCTTAATCGGTACCCTCTGAAAGTTACGATAGATGACCAAAAACATTACTCGCCAGAAAAGGCAAAAGAAGAAAAAATTTAGCACTTAAAGTATAGGAAAAAGGCTCACGGAAACAGCTGTATCTCAGTACAAAATCAAAATCAAAATTTTTGAGTTTAAGGTGTATGTGTCCCCTTAAAGTATCAATAAGAAGCAAGAGATTACTGATAGTTCAAAATATATACCAGATTAATATATTAATGACACGAGAGTCCTAGATATTTTTTGTATGCTGATTCTACAAAGAATAATAGGCTGACAAGTCTTGGTACATTTATGTATGTATGTCTTCTAAGTGATTGGTTATTATAGTAAAGAAAAACTTCATTTTTTAAGTTTCTATTTATGGAGATGTCAGGAATGATATTAATCGAAAAAATGGTATAATTTTCATACACTTTTGTGTCAGTTTATTGAATTGTTATAATTATATTTTTCGCAAAATTTACAGTTTACCTATGATTATTTTCAATCCCACTTTGGTAAAAATTGATAATTGTATTCTTGAGTCAAGGGCTTGAAAATCGATTTTGACAGTTGGAATTACATGTAATAATTGATCAACTAACTCTCAGTAAAAGTCAAAGTCTTTTCATTTTAAAATAGTTTTATCGCAATCAAAAATAAGAAATTCTTTGAGGTTTTCGTGGACTATGTTTTGCTGTCCACTCAATTTTGTCGGAACCTCAGATTCATTTTTGCACTTTTTGTGTTCACAATCTTTTTGACCTTCATGACCTTTGTTGTGGCGGAGAAGCGAATTATCATCGAGTTCAAATTTTCTCTCGCACTTGTCGAATTTGTAATCTTCCTGACTTTTGTGCACTGATCTATAGTGCCTAGATAAGTTGATTTTATGCCCAAATTTCTTCTCACAATCGTCGCATGTATAAACCTTACAACCCACATGGACTGTCTTTTCGTGAATGCGCAAGTTTCGTTTGTGCACAAATTTCTTTTCACACTTGCTGCATACATAATCTTTGTGCCCTTCGTGTACTGTCCTTTGGTGCTTCAACAAATTTGATTTTTGTCCAAATTTTTTCTCGCACTTGTCGCATGTGTAATCTTTCCGACCCTCATGAATGGTCTTTATGTGTACGAACAAACCCGTTTTTTCTGTAAATTTCTTTTCGCACCTGTCGCATGTGTAATCTTTGCGACATTCGTGGACTGTCTTTTGGTGTTTGAGCAATATACGTTTTAGTCCATATTTTTCATCGCATTTGTCGCACGCATAATTTTTGCGACCCTCATGGATTGTTGTCATGTGCCAGTCTAAATTTTGCTTACTTGCATAGTTCTTCTCACATTGGTCGCATGCAAGATTTTTGCGACCTTCGTGTACTACCTTTTGGTGCTTTATTAAATATGATTTTTGTCCAAATTTCTTTTCGCACTTGTTGCATGCGAAATCTTTGCGAGCTTCGTGGACTGTCCTTTGGTGGTAAAACAAATGTGATTTTTGTCCAAATTTCTTCTCGCATTTGTCGCACGCATAATCTTTGCGACCCTCATGGATTGTTGTCACGTGCAAGACTAAATTTTGTTTATTTGCAAATTTCTTCTCACATTGGTCGCATGCATAATCTTTGGGACCTTCGTGGACAGTTTTTTGATGTCTGTTCAGTACATGTTTTAGTCCATATTTCTTATCGCACTTGTCACACGCGTAATCTTTGCGATCTTCGTGTACTGTTCTTTGATGGTAAAGCAAACCCGATCTTTGTCCAAATTTCTTCTCGCACTTGCCGCATGCGTAATCTTTACGGCCTTCGTGGACTGTCCTGTGGTGGTAAAACAAATATGATTTTCGTCCAAATTTCTTCTCGCACTCGTCGCACGCATAATCTTTGCGACCCTCATGGATTGTTGTCACGTGCAAGACTAAATTTCGCTTATTTACAAATTTCTTCTCACATTGGTCACATACATAATCTTTGGGACTTTCGTGGACTTCTTTTTGGTGTCTGGACAAATCTGATTTGAACCCGAATTTCTTCTCACACTTGTCACATGCGAAATATTTACTATTGGGATCTTTATAACATATGCGAATTTTTACTAAATGTACCGTATTTTTATAGGTGAGCAATCGTAATTTATATCCAGATTTTCGTTGGTATCTTTTGGATGCGATATCTTTGGTACCTTCTTCACGTTCACATTCTTTTTGTGCATCGTTAATTGCGTCACTGGATCTAATCATCTTTTATCTCTTTTTCTTGAATATCGTCTGAAAAATTACGCAAACGTACTATGAAATTCAATGAATCAAATGTACGTAGGATAATACGTAGGGCACAAAAGCAACTCTTGAACTAATTTGATAGTCAATTATTTTCAGTTATTGGAAGGCTACATCATGATTGCTTATTGCTATTGTTTACAGTCAGACACAGATTTCTATATTTATATATTGCTCAGTCAACGTCTTTTAATAGCTCTACTTTGATCATAATCAAAGTTTCTGGAAAATTCTGATAGTTGTGGATTTGTTGACAAATCTATTGTTGTCTTAATTATTGTATATCTTTCAACGTTAGGAAAATTTTCTTTCTTCACTTTCCTACGTATATTCATGTAAACTGGACATGAATTTGAAAGAAAACGACCTTTGCGCGCGCGTATTGCCAAGCGAGATGCGAAGAAATAAAAGCGTGTTTATTTACGGATAAAACGATTCGGTCAAATATTTACCTACAGCGAATCCTTCAAGATACACAAAACAAAGGGATAATATGGGAGAAAAATTCAAGATATTTTTAAGGAATCAATCGTAGTAGAATTTTTTTTTACGCTTCGCCGTATGCTGACTTACGATAGGCAGATGTAGCAGCATTTATTGAGAAATCAGTCCTTTTTTTCTCTCATTCGACTCGAAAAAGAGGATAAGTGCCGGCGATAACCTGTCACACGCCTGTCGTCGTCGTCGATGTACAATGTGGAACCCAACTGTATAACATAACGTCGCGATTCACTGCCCGCATTTCTCACACAATGTCGGAGATACCTGTACGACCGATTTTTCGGTTTCGTTGCGCGCGTCAAGTGCCGTTATATAGTCGATTAGCCGCGGCGTCGTCGATTCTTTATAAACATTCGTTGTCGTTGCCTCTTTCTCTCGTTTATATCGTCGTTCGGGGGATCGAAAACGAAGGTGACACGTCGTTTCTATTTAATATCTTATAAATTACCAGTTCATTTATAATGCCACATTATGCGCGAAGCGATCGGCAAGTAATTGCCATTTAACTGTACAAGCATCGATCTAGATCGCGCGTATACCTGCAGCTATCTCTCTCTCTCTCTGTGAAAATTTGCAATTAAGTAAAAAATTGTTCTCCTTTTTGTTCCGGATATATACTTACGCGAGTATGGTATTAAGCGCGTTTTCATTTCGAAGCGGTGTACACGCGGCTCTACGCGTGTTTCACACACGTGTATATGCGTGTGCACGAGCGAAATAAAATCACAACAATCGGAAAATAAAATTTCATCCGCTACTCGCCATACCTATGTGTATGTATCCGCGCGTGTAAACGCGCTCATGTACGAGGTTTACTTATCGCGTCCGATTAATCTAGAGCGAGCTCGTTTATTGTTTTTTTTTTCAGCTTTTTATTTTCTTTTCTATCTCTCTATCTTCTGCCCTTTACCGAGAGCGATGTGCAACATCATCGCTCTATTACCCCGCGGTACATCGAGCGATTATCAAAGGTTTACGTAATACATTCGATCAAGTATATTATGTGCTCTCCATCTCGCGAAAGAAGAAAAATTGAAATACAAATGCATTCGTGTAGATGCTCGAGCTGTACGCGTGTACGCGAGTACATAGACACCCGTATAATGTAAAGGGAAAATCGTCAGCGAGCCAGTCCGTATATAAATCACGAGCGATATCGCCGCGCAGTTGCAAAGTGCCTTTACGCACACGCACAGACGCATTTCACCCGCTAGATTATACGGCATCGAGTAATTACACGGCGATCGTAGTAGTGGGTGTCTGCGTACGTGTTTATTCGTCGCTGATATTTTCCCTATCATCGTCCGCGTTTACAGCAGACGGACGGATGCGTTCGACGTGCCCTTAAATTTTTCTCGTTACCCGGTACCGCGGAGCGCCTAAGTATACATCCATTCGACTTTTTGTTGTTTTTTTTTTTCATTCTTTCTTTCTCCCTTTTTTATGTCTTCCAACACTACTCGAACGTACGGTATAGAGGAGCTATATAACATACACACACGCGCACAGCTTCTTCTTGCGTTAATTAGTTGCCGCGCGCGCTCGCGCCGAGAGAAAAGAGATGGCAGCTGCATGTGTGTATGTTGCGGGTATTATACGTGCAAAATGTGCATGCGTGTGCGCGAGATATATACATACCGGCGCTGCCGCGCGAGTTCACGCGTAGTGTGGGATGATACTAATGAGTAAACTAATTTTACATCTTGACGGAAGTTCGAGCGCGCGAAAATTAACATACGTCGCTCGGACTTTGGCGCGTCTCGCACGTTCTCGACGATATCGTCCGTACGCTATATTGTATGCGAGCGTCCATCGTAATTGCGTAATTTTCGTAATGGAGAAATGGCGTTGTAGGCGACAAATTTTTATGCGGTTCGCACAGCGTATTCCTCCGGGGTTACATTGAAAAAATTGTATATTTAGATTGATTTATAAGTAGGTAGCTCGTGTTTTTAGTCGACCACAATTTATTGATTTCTTTCACAAACTCGATTAGAAATTGCGTTTATGTATTGAGATAACGTAGCGTAAAAAAAGATAAAATTATTATAAATGAAAATTTTCAAATAAGTCATAAGCAAGTACAATTTTTACACAATTGAGTATAAGTTTTATGAATTTATTTGGTCATGAAGCTTGAGCGGTGCGCCATGCCGATGTGAGCTTCGAGATTTCCTTTTCGTCCGAATGTCTTCCCACATTTCTCGCATTCAAAGGTATTATGATTGTGCGCCGATTTGACGTGTTTATTTAGAGTAGATCGATATTTATATTTTCTTTCACAGAATTGACATGCATAGTTGGAACCAATATGCTTTGCCCTGATGTGGACTCTTAGATTACTCTTGCTTGTAAATTTTAATTCACATGTATCACATGTATATCTAGTACCTTTATGAAACGCATTGACGTGGCAGCAGAGGTTACTTTTCTTTGAGAATTTCTTCCCGCAAATACCACATGAGTAGGTGACGCCGTTGTGCACCGAATCGATGTGGATTTGGAGACGTTGTTTTTGTGAAAATGTCTTACCACATATATCGCATGCATGTCTGACACCGTTGTGCACCGCATCGATGTGTTTTTTTAGATTACTGGTGGTGGAGAATTTCTTTTTACATATATCACAAGTATGTGTGACACCATTGTGCGCCACATCGATGTGTTTCTTGAGATCACTCTTACCTGAGTACTTTTTTCTGCAAATATCGCATTCATATTTAAGACCATTGTGCGCGGTATCGACGTGTATTTTTAGACTATTCTTGGCTGAAAATTTCTTTCCACAACGATCACATTCATGTAAGATTTTATGATGCGCAAAATCGATGTGTCTCTTGAGATGGCCCTTTTCTGAGTACTTATTTCCGCATATATCGCACGAATTCATCATACCATTATGGATAGCAGTGATATGGATTTTGAGACGACCTTTCTGGGCAAACGATTTTCCGCATATATCACATTCATGAGTGACACCGTTGTGCACTGCATCGAAATGGGTTTTGAGACTACCCGTTTGTGCAAATGTCTTGCCGCATATGTCACATGAATGTCTGACACGATTATGCTCTGATTGAACGTGCCTAGTCAGATTATTCTTATGTTTAAACGTCTTTTTGCACACATAACACGCATGACTGATACCATTATGAACCGCATCGATGTGAGCTTGGAGATTATGCTTAGCCGTGAATTTCGATTCACACATGTCACATGCATACGTGATACCTTTGTGCACAGAATCGGTGTGGATTTTGAGGCTATTTCGGCGTGAAAATGTTTGGCCACGTGTGTTACATGAATGGGTCCCGTGTTTGTAGTTAGAATCTTTTCTATCGCTTTCTTTTTCATTTGGCTCGCCGAATTCACGATCGAAATTCAAATTCATTTCTTCCTTCACTCTTGACACATTTTCTATTTTTATTACTTTCTGGGGTTCAAAATCATATTTTACATCTTGCAAATTATTTGGAGAATAATCTTCAATTTTCTTCAATGCTAATGAATCCGTGTCGAGCTTCTCGACTTTACACTCAAACTCGATATGCACTTCGTCATGCTTAATTTTATTGTTATCGTCATATTTTCGAAACTCCTGTAATAAAATTTTACGTTATGCGAAATGTTCATCGTATGAATAATATGTAATTCTCATTACTTACCGAATCATTTAACGGAAATCCGACGTGCTGACCACCGTTGACATTGGGTTTCTTGTCAATTATATCATAATTATTTTCGGGAAGCCACTCGTCGATGGGTTCCTTTTTTATTCTGAAATAATTTTATGATTGAGTATTCCGTTATAATATTTTTATAATTCCATTCTCGTAAAATGGAAAATTACCTCAAGGCACTATTGAAAATACTACGGGAATCCATGCTTCTCATTTAGAGTTTTATTGGCGATTGATCGTTCTGTAACAGTGTTACACACATCAAGCCAATGAATTGAAATCAATATTATTTATGTTTAGTACAAACTAGATGTAAACAAAGCGACAGCAAGTCGAAGAAATAACTTTACAGATCTACCGAATGAATAATTATAATTTTAAATTTTAAAATTTAAAAACCAAAAATGAAATAAAACTATAGTAACTATACAAATAATCATGCTACCTCACGCGGGCGGCTACAAATGCGCTCGGGCGCATAATGTGTCATTAATAAGCCTCTTTAAGCTCGCTCTCTCTTCTTCTGCTGCGCATCTCGAGCGCCGCAGCGCAGCACAATCAATTATTTAAATATATACTAATGTATACAATTACCCGGGGGCCGAGCGAGGACGAAAAATTTTTATGTACCGCTGCGCACAAAGTGCAAAATCCCGTCTCGCCACATGTTTGGTGCAGCGCGCGCACACACACACACGAGTCGCGTGAAAATAACGAAGGAAGCCTTTAACGCCCGACGACGTGTGTACAATGCTTATACGGGTGACACACACACGGCTCTCTCGTTCGGAGCAGCGACGAGAGTTCGATGTTACCGCAAACGTATATATACGCGGACACGGGCGCATTCACGGGGACGAGAGAGAGCGAGAGAGGGACGAAAATTTACAACGTGCGAAACGCCGCTACGCTCATACGATATATGTGTAGCGCGCATGGGGCCCTGTGCGTGATAAAAATCAACGAAATCGTGTCCTTCGATGTAGTTCGAGAGAGAGAGAGAGAGAAGAGAAGAGAGATGAGTAAAAATAAAAAAAGGAAGGAAAGGAGGTAAAAAAAAAGGTGCCTAACAGGACATTGAATTATGAGCTGTTCGTTGACTGCTCCTGACCGTGGCACACATAACTAATCTTTTGGCCCTGATAATTACGCTCGATGTATATATATATCGCACGGCCCTCGCCTTCTCGCTCTCTCTCGTATTCTTTCATTTCTTTTTTTTTTATTTTACTAATAGGCAACGACAGCCGATCATTTTTCACGATCCTCCTCGCATACATATACCTGCAGCTTTGTTCTTTCAGCTCTCTTATATCCTTCGGTTTCGAGCATAGTCAATATAGCAGTAGTAGTAGTCGTGTCCGAGGTGTGCGAGGATCTTAGTCTCTTTGATTTACGCACGAAACAGAAGTAGATTATACAGCTGCGCATATACATATTTTACGACGGTACTAAAAACGAAGTTTTTACACGTGTTCTCATATTATATTGGTGTATATATACGTGTTTCGCAGGTCGAGGATAGACAGAGACGAAGTTGGCGCACACGCATCTCGTCGATCACGCGTATGGGGATACACACACACAACTTCGCAGCCATGTTCATCAGATTTTTCAAGCAAGTCGCTCCGAATGGTACGTAAATATATATATCGTCGTAATAATAATATCGCGGCTGAACTTCTATATTATTATTATATCAAAGGATAAGCGCAGCTTTTCTTCGTGGAAGATAACTCGCGATAACTATACCACGAAAGGATGTGTGTCGATTATTCGAGGCTCGTTTGAATTCATCAAAGAGATCGCGATCGGTATACGGAATCGCCGTTTATATAAAGTCTCTCGGATACACACGTGTGCGCGTTGCACCTATCGTAAGAACCGTTAGTATATACAGGCCGCGAGAAGATTGAATACGGATCCATGCGCATACCCACACACACACACACACACACACACACACACATTTGGTTCTACACAAGCGACGTGTCTGTGTGTGTGGGTTTACATACAATTCTATTAGAGAGAAAAGGTATATAAGCGAGCTCGCGCCGGGCTCACGTATCGTATGAGCAAAGCGCACACACACTTTTATACCTGATATATTTCGCGGGCTTTATACATAGAAAGCTCGCGCGATACGCCGCTCGTTCAAGTCTCCGCGCTCGTGTTTATATACAGTCGCATAGCTGCCGCCGCCGGGCTGTCAGTCAAAGTCCTCTATATAGATATACGTCCGTATTATGTAGCGCGGACTGTCGGTCATGCGGTTCCTGTGTGCCATTATACGTGTGTGTATGGCATTTATATAGGAGTTTAATACAAAAATCGACGAAAGAAATTCCTTAACGGTGCGCAGCTTTAAGGGACGTACTGCGGATATATACAATATACATACATAGCTTATATACGACGAAATAATTTATTATGATCATTATAATACGGGCGACGAAGCGACAACTTCCCGAAGTGAAGAGCCTTTTGTTCATGTGTTTGCCCTTTTTTTTCTCGAACTAATTCGATTCTTATCCGAAAACGCCATCGTCGTCGTACAGTCGTTGTCAGCTGCATGCGTGGCCTGGTGTCGTCACTTCGCGGCGACGACGACGACGACGAGATGGGTGCGAGATAGCAATTAGCGCGATGTGTTTGTATACAATAGTTGTGTGTTGCTGGAACTGCAGTGACTTTTTTTTCCGTAACGCGCCGCTGAGCTTACACATCCGTTTTTCGAGAGATCGTTTGTTCATTTGTTTGTTTGTTTTATTTTTTTAACTCTAGAACTTTTCTTTTTCTCTTTTCTCCCCTTTTTCGATATATCACCCGCGCCAAAAGGGACGACGAAGACGGAGTGGCATATAAGTAGTATATAGAGTCGAGGGGGGAAAAATTTACGCCTCGCGCCGTGTACGTGTATAATATATACAAATAATCAAGATCGTACACCGATTCGGATGCGTTTCGTAATGTTTCTTTAATTATCAAACGCACAGCGGAAGACTCCCGTGTATATAGATTCGTCTCTTTATATACATAATAGTAACAGTAACGATCATCGCGCGAAAGGAAACAAACTGCGCGATAATTAGGATCGTTTTGTATATATACCTTTATAAACGTCTCGCAAAATTACACTACGCACGTCATAATTTATTTGTATTAATGCTCTCTAGCTCGGCGTAATATACGTATTACGATACCGTTGAATACGGCGCGTTCAATTCATTTTATTTTATTTTTTTGCGCGCAGCCCTCCCGCCAAGATACATCGCGGCTTTATCGCCCGATTAAATAAGTTGGATATTATATACATATTTTTTTTTTAATATGCGCTGCTGCTGATGCCTCGCGTATCCCGCGTATATGAGCGTTTCTCGGGTGTTTCTCTGCTTTAAAACTGCGCGCAACTATGGCAATAGTGTAGCTGCAGCTAGCTGCAGCAGCAGCAACGGCAGTGGCACGTCGTTGAAATACCTGGCGCACATTTGCCGCTCTTTCCTATATAGCTATACATACACACACAATAATAGTCGACGCGCGCCACGTCTCGGACTCGAATATTTGAAATTCCGCAATTGAGCTTTTTCGCACACGCTCGCTCGCGCGAGCCAAACAGTAGCCTGCACACCGCCGCGCCGCGCATTCGCAATTTTCTCTTATTACAAACTCGTTATTACGTATTTGTGTACTGGCATGTACATTATATACATTTCCTCTGCCGCTCTAATCCCTTTTTTCCGTTGCTCGACTGTATTTATGTTAAAAGTTTCATTCTTCTCTGCATTCTGCATGTAATTCGGGGGTGTGCAGCAGCAGCTGCCAGAAAACAATTTCAAAAGATGCGTTTCACTATATGCCGTGTCCACGGATGTATCGTGTCGGGCGTCAATATACGAACGCATACCAATACCATTCACGGAGCAATCGATACATACATAGGCTTCCCCTTTCCGTTCCTTTTACAAATTTTTACGTCCATATACGCGTATCGACACTTCGACACGAAGTATTTTCGTCGCATTATAATACAATAATAGTAGCTTCTCACCGAAACGGCCTCAAAACTCATAACTCGCTTAATTGGGTCGTGTATATACGGATCGCACCGATTTTGCTCCTATTAATACCATCGTATATAAGTATTGCGCCTCGGCAAAACCGCATCGCGTGCCGAAGGGGAGAAAAAAAAAGAAAGGAAACGCACATTCGAAGAATCTAGATTTACACGGGTTTAGCTGTATATCGCCCGTAGTACGCGCGCGCAAAACCGGTATCAATTTCTTCAATTAATCTCATTAGAAATCGGCTAATTAACCGATTATCCGAGAAGCACCGATTCGCCGCGTGCTTATATGCGCGCACGCGCACACAGACAGACGGGTATAAATAAACGCGATATAAATTGGGCCTTTCGAATTCTCAAAAATTTCGAAACCGTCCCCTCCCCCTCTCCCCTGCTTCATCTTTCTTTTACCACCCCACGTAATTATCTTTATCAACTCTCGCGTTATTCGCTCGATTTTTTTTTCTCTCCTTTTTACTTCTAAATAATACAGTTTCGGCTCGTTTCTGAGCGCACCGCATTAACAGCGCAACGTACGGGGCCTGCTGCAAGTTGCAACGACGCGAGGATGTATTCTCTGGGGCGTACGCATACATAGGTATACTACACATGTATAAGAGCGTGTGGCTAAGGTGGTACATCTCCTCTTATATGCTCTTATACCTGCCCGAGAGTGGAGGTCACTCTCAGCTGCTGCTGCTGCTGCTGCTGCCCGCTGCTATATGTATAGCGCCCAGCGCCGTGGGAACATGTGTGCTGCGCCGCTGCAGCGCCATACAAATTAACAGTTTTATTGCCCCTTTTCTCGATTCGCAAATAGGGAGGTTTTTAAGTACGTATATACTGCACCATCGCAACGCACACAGACACACACACCCAAAGATCGCGTATCTTCTATTTTTCCGTGAAGAAAAAAGAATTGTCGCATTCAAAAGCCAATGATTTACGCGATCGTTGCAACTGCCGCAGTTATCTCAAACAGCTTCCGCGCGACAACTGCGCTATAATGTAGTATCGTGTTTGCAGTGCGCGATACATTTTCGCGGCCGCGATACGGCAAAAATGGAAAAAAGAAAATCCCGAAACGTTATTATATTCGATTATTATACTGCTCCCCGTACCGAGTTCTCGAGCGAGTTTACACGTACATACCTACTATACACTCGTGCGCGAGGCCCCATGATTACGCGATCTCGCGCGGGGCACGGTGGTATGCGCCTGTGCGTCGCGTCTTCTATTCCTTCGTCCTTTTTCACTGCCGTCGTTATTATTATTCTCGCAGCTCTTCTCGTATTTGATAATGACGGTGAAAATAGTTTATATCTGCGTTACACGTGTTGGATGCGTTAGCCTGCTCCCGCTTCTATATATGTATACAACATAATGTACGATTAATCGCGCGCGCAGCGAGCTCGCGAGGCAGCGAGTATATTATAAAACGCACACACACACACACACACACACACACGCGGGCAGAGAAGACCTCAAGAGCAATCCCCCTATTTGCTGCTATTTACTCTCGAGGAGCAAATTGCGCGCGAGTAGCTGTATTATGTACACCGCACGGGATGCTGCTGCTGCAGTGCACTTATGTATTGTCCGTGTGTGTGTGTGTGTACACTTTTCGCGAACTATAATGCACGTAAGAGTAATGAAGTGAGCTTCCATAGGACTTGATTATAGAAATTATTTTCCTATCCTGTGACTTATTATCGAGTGCGCGCTGCGGACATACCGTGTACATACATGCTCTCGAGAGGGAGGAGGAGAGGATGCCTCGCTTATAAACTCTTTGCGCGCGCGAGCTCTCGTTACAATGTATACTACATTGTAAGTGCGCTCGGCGTCGATTCCCGTATATATATAAACGCATGCGCCATATTCCGGTGCCAACCTCCTCGATGTTTACGCGATTTTTTTTTCCTCTTGCCAGCCCAGTCTCTCTTTCTCGCGATACAATGTGTATGTACGAGTATTGCGTTCCGAAGCGATCGTGTATTGAAAAAAAGTTTTCATAGGGAGAAAAACGTAAATATGGTTTTTATTCGCAAACAAATGCGCTTATTTTTCTTCGTATCTCGCTTGGCAATACGCGCGCGCAAAGGCTGTTCTCCTTCAAATTCGTATCAAGTTTACTTGAGTATACGACGAAAAGTCGAGAGAGAAAATTTTTTCTTACGTTGTATTTATTACGTGGAAAGATGACATAATTGAGACAACAATCGATTTGCCAACAAATCCACGACCATCAGAATCTTACAGAAAATTTACTTATGAACAAAGTAGGGCTGTTGAGAGATGATGATTGAGCAATATGTAAATAGAGAAATCTGTGTCTGACAGTAAACAATAGAAATAAGCAATCATGATGTAGCCTTCTAATAACTGAAAATAATTGTCTATTAAATTAGTTCAAGAGTTGCTTTTGTGCCCTACGTATTATCCTACGTACATTTGACTCATTGAATTTCATAGTACGTTTGCGTAATATTTCAGACGATATTCAAGAAAAAGAGATAAAAGATGATTAGGTCCAGTGACACAATTAACGATGCACGAAAAGATTGTGAACGGGAGGAAGGTACTATAGATATCGCATCCAAAAGATACCAACGAAAATCTGGATATAAATTACGATTGCTCACCTATAAAAATACGGTACATTTAGTAAAAATTCGCATATGTTATAAAGACCCCAATAGTAAATATTTCGCATGTGACAAGTGTGAGAAGAAATTCGGGTTCAAATCAGATTTGTCCAGACACCAAAAAGAAGTCCACGAAAGTCCCAAAGATTATGTATGTGACCAATGTGAGAAGAAATTTGCAAATAAGCTAAGTTTAGTCTTGCACGTGACAACAATCCATGAGGGTCGCAAAGATTATGCGTGCGACGAGTGCGAGAAGAAATTTGGACGAAAATCATATTTGTTTTACCACCACAGGACAGTCCACGAAGGTCGCAAAGATTACCCATGCGACAAGTGTGAAAAGAAATTTGGACAAAGATCGAGTTTGCTCTACCACCACAGGACAGTCCACGAAGGCCGCAAAGATTATGTATGTTACAATTGCGAAAATAAATTTGGACAAAAGGCACATTTGATTCAGCACCAAAAAACAGTCCACGAAAATCGCAAAGATTTCGCTTGCAACCGGTGCGAGAAAAAATTTGGACAAAAGTCAGATTTGTTCAGGCACAAAAAGGCAGTACACGAATGTCGTAAAGATTTTGCATGCGACAGGTGCGAGAAAAAATTTACAGAAAAAAAGGGTTTATTCAGACATATAGAGACAATCCACGAAGGTCGCAAAGATTACCAATGCGACAAGTGCGAGAAGAAATTTGGACAAAAAACAGATTTGTTTCGGCACCAAAAGACAGTACATGAACGTCGTAAAGATTACGCATGCGACAAGTGCGAGAAGAAATTTGCACAAAAATCTAATTTGCTCTCCCATCAAAAGATAGACCACGAAGGACGTAAAGATTACGCATGTGATAAGTGCGTGAAAAAATTTAGACAAAAATCAAATTTGTTAAAGCACCAAAGGACAGTACACGAAGGTTGGAAAGATTACACATGCGACAAGTGCGAGAAAAAATTTTTACATAAAATCAGCTTATCTAGGCACCAAAGAACATTGCACGAAGATCAGAAAGATTACGAATCCGATAAGTGCGAGAGAAAATTTGGACTCGACGGTAATTCGCTTCTCCACCAAAAAACAGTTCACGAAGATCAAAAAGATTGTGAACACGAAAAATGCAAAAATGAATCTGAGGTTCCGACAAAATTGAGTGGACAGCAAAACATAGTCCATGAAGTTCGTGAGAACACCTCATCATTCGCAACTGCGGAGAATGATATGCAACGAAATATTATTCGCGAAAACCTCAAAGAATTTCTTGTTTTTGATTGCGATAAGACTATTTTAAAATGAAAAGACTCTGACCTTTATTTAGCGTTAATGCATCAATTATTATGTGTTATTCAATCTTTTGACTCAAGTATATCATTATCAATTTTTACGGAAATAAGATTGCTAAAAATCAACTGTACAGTTTGTACAAAAATCTAAATATAACAATTAAATGAACTGACATGAAATAAATAAAAATTTTACCATTTTTTCGATTAATATCAATCCATACAATCCTAACATTTTCCATTTATCAATACTTGGAAAATTGAGGTGTTTAATGCTCCCGCTCTTTTATCAAGGATTCATCCCAGTCGTAAAAAATTCCACGTCAAGAATTGATTTGTTAAATAGCGTAAGAGATTTTGAAGCGACTCGGTTCTTGTATAAACGGATGTATAAATAAACACGAAACAATAAATTACAGAACAAAGCAAGTTTGAAAAATACTACAATTTTGAAATCGGCATCAACTTTAGGGGTATAACATTTTATTGGCTTTATAATCAATAATGCGCTCCATTAAGATCCAAAAATGTATTTATTTTTTTCACACTTGAACATTGTTTTCTACATAATGTCATCGTAGGAACTGATTATATTTATTATAAATGAAAAGTATCAAATTAGATTTCTGAACGTGTTAATTAAATTTTTCACGTTCATGAAGTTGTAAAGCGTGAGCGATGCTCTGAGTTAAGATTAATATACCTCTTCGTTATGTATTTCGCTCCGCGAATATCACATGTATATCTGGTTTCTTTTTACACTGCATCGATATGAGTTTTTACACAATTACACACCGCTTCTTACGTTTAAACATCTTTTAGCGTGTAATAGCATGCATGTGCAACACATCGCGATGCACCGTATCAATATGATTTTTTTGACGATCCTATGCACGGGGGTGATTTTATCAATGCATCCTATCGATGTGGGATTTGAGATGATTCTTCGTTGGGAATTTCTTGCCGCAAGTATCGCACGCGTGACTGACACCATTGTGCACCGCTTTCACGTGTACTTGGAGGGAAATTTTTTGCGTAAACGTCTTTCCGCACAGATCGCACGCGCTGCTGACGCCGTTGTGCGCCGCGTCTCTGTGCTTCTTGAGATTTCCCTTGGTCGTGAATCTCTTGTCGCAAACGTCGCACTCGTGCGCGGCGTCACTGTGCACCGTATCCACGTGGACCTTGAGATAACTCCTGCGCGAGAACATCCTTCCGCAGACTTGGCACGCGTGCCGGACGCCGCCGTGCACCGAGTCCTGGTGCTTCTTGAGATTGCTCTTGAGCGAGTAAGACTTGGGGCAACGATCGCAGGCGTGCTGGACGCCCCTGTGCACCGTTTCCACGTGGGTCTTGAGATAACCCCGGCTCTTGTAATCCTTGCCGCAGACTTGGCACACGTAGCGCCGGCCCTGGTGCGCAGCCGCGATGTGATTCTTGAGATTGGTGCTCTGCGAGAACGACTTGCCGCAGATGTCGCAGGCGTGGGTGACGCCCCGGTGCACACCGTCCACGTGGGCCTTGAGATTGCCGCGCAGCGAGAACTCCTTGCCGCACGTGTCGCACGCGTGGGTGACGCCGCGATGCAGCGATTTCACGTGCTTGTTCAGATTGCTCTTGTTCGCGAATTTTCTCCCGCATAATTCGCACTCGTTGGTCGTTGTGGCGTTGTGGTGCAACGAACCGATTTGCGTTTTGAGGTTAAGTTCGCCATTCGTCTTTTTGGCCGAGTTGAAATTCGATTCTTTTGTACGGCCGTCACTGACGAATTCTTGATTTATTTCACTCGGGGTTTTTATTTGAATCACGCTTTTAGTTTCAGTATTGGCATCGCTATCTTTCACATTCCGCAAGTGATTTAGAGAATCGTCGTCACTTTTTTCAACTGCTGATAAACCCACGTTATATTTAAAGTCTTCGCATTCGAAAACGATTTCCATATCATTAAAAAGTTCATAATCAAGATTTTCGTCGCATCTTAGAAGCGTATCCATCTGTTGAAAAATCATAGCTACGTAAGAATTTGCACAAAAAACAACCATACAAATTACAAAATACGAGTCACTTATCAACACTTACCGAATCGTCCAGCAGATGTGGTGAGAGTTGGAAGTTTTCGAGATCGAACTTTTCGTCGATCATTTCGTAATTAATTCCACCGAGTAACACATCGCTGGGCTCTTGTATCACACTGAAATATTTTCATTAGGGTTATATATATCGCTACGGTTTATGATATTCAAGTCTCAAAAAGATGAAGATTACCTGTCAAAACAGTTCAATAGTGGATGGGAATCCATCATTTCACCTGGAATTTCACAAACGAACAACCTCTCCGCGACGATCGAGCTAACTATCACGAACCGACGATGAACACTGAGACGTGTACTGTGCTCGTGCCGCGTTGCGTTGTTTACGTCGCGCGTTCGATGCTATCCGCGCGCATGTAACGCACAGCGTGCCGTATAATAGCGCTACCTTACACGGACGACTGTTTACCGTCAAACTGACGTGCGGACACAAAATATTTAGCGAGAACGATACATCGCTTCCCGCCAATCTTTTTGCGTAGCTTTAATTTAATTCGTTGCAAAAGGGTAGTAATGATTTTTCATCGCGGCTCTGCGATGAAAGATATATCATTACAAATCGTTCAAATGTAATTACTAGATAACGCGAATATTGGTATTGATACTTTATTGTTATGAAATTTCGAAGTTGTATCCACGCGAACGAAGCAAAACAAATTCGTTCTGACTGTACGTAACTCGTGTCCAATGAACGGTAACAATTTTCCTTACCGCTCAGCGTGTCGCGCTTCGAATGGCAAGTATTATATGATGGACGAGAGCAGCGGCACGTTCGGGGACCTGCCAAAAAGAGCTAACGTTATCGTTTGAAATCTATAAACGATACGATAACTCTGACTCGGTCGATCGATTTCTCGCAAAAAGTGACAGAAAATGGTGTTATTCGTAGTCCCCGAAAAATGCAATATTGACTAAATACGAGTGACGAAGAAAAAAATTCCTGACAAAAAAACGATCTCACGGCCAACTTGATATCATCGATTTGATGCGCATCGAGCTGATGTGTGTGTGTGTTGATTTAATTGTTACATGTAGATTTTTCTCTCAATAACAACATAAAGATACTCGCAATAATCCTGGGCTATATTTTAGAAAGTAGATTAGATTTTCCGAACGAGTCAGCCTCCAACACGTGCGTTACGCAGTGAGACAGTGGATGGCGCGCATTGGTCCTTGGGCTCTCGAGTGCTACCATATTCAAATGAATTTTCAAGCGCTGTTAATAGTTAAATCGTGTTGTTATAGCGATAAATAAATTTAAACAGGCCTTAAAGTTGATATCGATTACCTCGTACATGACGATAACATTTCATACGAACCTTACAATATCATGTAGTCTATAATTTTCACAAGATTTTTTTGAGCGAATAATAGTTATAAATATTTTCATTTAAGTTGTATTGTAAATTTTCATCAGAATATGTCGTGGCGAAAGTTTTGAATTTGAGTAAAGTTGAGTTTACTATGATTCTTATCAATGATATTATTAATTTTTGTATTACAAACTTACCGTGGATTTGTAGTTTGAAAAATAAAAATTTTAATTATGTTGAATAGTTGTCGCAATATATTTGATTTCATTACTATATCACAGCTAAATAGTTAATCAAAGGTGGATTGATATTTTAAATTTCAACGATTTTAACAAGAAAAAATTTCAGGGTTCAAAAAAAACCTAAAATGAATAAAGCACTAAAAATTTGATACTAGGAAAATCAATGTATTCGACTTTTTACATTTCATTTTTGTTCCTTTTGATTTTTGACAAAAAATCTTCACAATCTTTTAGCCTTCAAGAAACTTTTGTTTATAAATTTTTTTACAGTACATATTTTTTACTGTCCTTTAAGACCTGCGACTGCCAGGCAAATATGGTACAAATCTTCGTTCATCAGCCCGTCTACGATCGATTCGCAGCACTCGAGCGGCAGTCGGTAATGTATAAGTATCATAAAACACTCCAGGGCCCAGTCGCGGAAAAATCGTCTCGACAGTCTCTCGCACAGATGCCTGAAACAATCGTCTCTACGCCATTTGGATGGCCACCACAAGTCGTACGGATGCGCGTCGTAATCCAAAGCTGCGATTAATCTCGCCGACTCTCGGGGTGGCGAGTGCATCGCATAGTAAAGCGACACTGCACTCTCCTCGCCCATCATCAACTCTCTCGCTTGGCTCCGGAACTCTTCCGAATCGTATGGCAAATTGTCGTCGTCGACGTTCCGCGCTGCTTCGAACATTTCGTGACGAGCGAAAAGTTTCATGATCGCCAGCGCTTCGCTCAGTTCCAGCACGAAGCCTTTGTCCTCGAGGCTATCGAGGACGACCATCGCCCTGGCCGCTAGTATCACGTTCGAACCCATCTCGATATCTGAATCAGGTCTAAAATTGTGGAAAAAGTCGTGCTCGGTGGGAAAACTCAATTTTGTCAGATCGGCTCCGCGATCCAGAAGTACGTCGACCGCCTGCGACATGAGATTCGCCACGGCCAACTGCAGCGGTGTTTCACCGTGCTCGTTCCGGGCGTCGATCTCCACTTCTCGTTTAACTTTGAGGCATCTTATAAAGAATTTCCTCAACAATGTTCCCGCGTCATCGTAGCTGGGTATTTTGCAAATCGCGTACAGAGGTAAACTCGTATCGGCGCCTCTCTTCAGCAGCAACTCCACCAACATCCAGTTCTTCCGGCTCACAGCCAGGAAGAGCGGTGTCCGGCCGCGTACGTCCCGGGCGTCGACATCCACCCTCAGTTGCTTTTCCTCGCTGATTTCGAACAACATCTTCGCCAATTCGATAGCCTGGCAAGGTCGACTGCGGCGACGCGTGCCGCAGATCTGGTGCAGCGCAGTCCATCCGTTCGCGGTGGCCATAGTCGGATGGGCGCCGCGTCTCAGCAGTAACGCCGCTACGCCCAGCTGGCCGCGAGACACGGCGAAGATCAGGGGCAGATAACGCGGGCAGACTTTTCCGCTGATACAATTCGGATGGCAGCCGATGTCGAGGAATTTCTCGACCGCGTCCTCCAAGCCCCACTCGCAGACCACGTGGAAGTGGCTCAGGTCGTCCACCTCGCTGGTGTAGTTCACGTTCGACTGGTATATTCTCAATAGCTCGCGTATCATCGTCCGGGTGCTCTCCGGGCAGGTCAATAACCTGTCTACGCGATGTATCGGTGTGGTGTGAAACTTCACGGGCCTGCCGATTTCGTCCAGGTTCGGCTCGTACCTGTAGCCGCTGTCGGCCACGAACTTGACCAATCGTAATCGTTGATGATAACCAAAGCGCCGCCTCATGTGTTTCATGGTAGCCAAAAGAACGTACTCGATTTCTTTCGGCAGAAAAATGTCCCGGAGATTCGGCAATTGGTCCGTCCAATCGTCGATCGAGGCAAAAAGTTGACGGAAAAATCCATTCAGGTTTTCTCCGACCTCCCAACTGACCATTTCTCGCAATGCTATTAGCTTCAGTTTATTTCGAAAATCTCCCGTACGTTTACCGGGATCTCCGGTGGTGCCATAACGGTATGCTCGATGTAGAGCTTCGGTACAGGCTTCGTAAAAGTCGGACATTTCTCTGGGCATTCGCGCACAATTATCACATTTACGATTTGAGATGTGATTAATTTTTTCAACGAAAATCACTTGACACCGCGAAGACGTTGTAACGAGCACCGTCTGACTATATACCTGGCACGTGTTCAAACCCAAACGCTCACTTTCTAATTTACTACGATCTAATTTACTTTCTAATCGCTGTCTACGTACACGTGACACACATGCGCACGAGAAGGAAAAAGACAGACCGAAATAGGCGAAGATTCAAATACGTTTGACACGAGCAAAGAGGAAGACAACGTGAAACTTACTTAGCTAATTTTTTTTTTATCAATTATGTTTTAAAGGAAACGGGAGTTTTACATTTGGCTAATACTTAATCGCGAAGATAAAAATATTGAAGTAGTTGAGCCATTTTTCACACTTGTCGTAACAATTCAAAAAAATTAATATTTATATTTCAGTCGATTGTTTCCCGACCACGTCTTAGTTTTACAATTATCAACGTCAATTACACACTACGCGTCAAGTGAAGAAGATTTCAATCGAAATTTTAGCCTGTAATTTCGAGGGTTTTCAACTCTGAGAACTCGTCTAATAATTTTATACCGCATCCCAAGTTTCGATAAATGGAGAATGTCAGGAATATTATTAATCGAACAAATGGTATAATTTTCATACACTTTTGTGTCAGTTTATTCAATTCAAATTTTCATGCAAATTATACAGTTGATCTATGATTATTTTCGATCCCACTTTTGAACTTTTTTTTGTTGGAGAAGCGAATTATCGTCGAGTCCAAATTCTTTCTCGCATCTGTCGCATGCAAAATCTTTGCGACCCTCGTGTATCATCCTTTGACGGTTTAATCAATGCGATTATTGTCCGAATTTTTTTTCACACCTGTCACATGCGTAATCTTTTTGACCTTCGTGGATTTTCTTCATATGTCTGAATAAACCCTTTTTTCTGTAAATTTCTTCACGCACCTGTACATGCCTAATCTTTACGACCTTCGTGGACTGCTTTTTGGTGTTTTATCAAATTGCCTCGTTCCCCAAATTTCTTTTCGCAATTGTAACATACATAATCTTTGCGGCCTTCGTGGACTGTCCTGTGGTGGTAGAGCAAACTCGATCTTTGTCCAAATTTTTTCTCGCACTTGTCGCATGCGTAATCTTTACGACCTTCGTGGACTGTCTTTTGGTGTCCAACCAATTTCGATTGGTATCCAAATTTCTTTTCACACTTGTTGCATGGGTAATCTTTGCGACCTTCGTGTACAGTCTTTTGGTGCAAAAGCAAATTCCATTTGAGTCCAAATTTCTTTTCGCACTTGTCACATCCGAAATCTTTACGACATTCGTGTACTGCCTTTTCGTGCCTGAACAAATCTGCCTTTTTTCCAAATTTTTTCTCGCACCTGTCGCAAGCGAAATCTTTGCGATTTTTGTGGACTGTCCTTTGGTGCTTCAACAAATTTGATTTTTGTCCAAATTTTTTCTCGCACTTGTCGCATATGTAATCTTTGCGACCTTCGTGAACTGTCCTTTGGTGCACGAACAAACCATATTTATATCCAAATTTCTTCTCGCACTTGTCGCATGCAAAATATTTTCGACCTTCGTGAACTGTCTTTTGGTGAACGATCAAATTACATTTAAGTGTACATTTCTTCTCGCACCTTTCACATCCGAAATCTTTACGACATTCGTGTACTGCCTTTTCGTGCCTGAACAAATCTGACTTTTTTCCAAATTTTTTCTCGCACCTGTCGCAAGCGAAATCTTTGCGATTTTCGTGTACTGTATTTTTGTGCTTGAACAAATCTGATTTTTGTCCAAATTTCTTCTCGCACTTATCGCATGCAAAATCTTTCCGACCTTCGTGAACTGTCCTTTGGTGGACAAGCAAATGCTGTTTATATCTAAATTTCTTCTCGCACTTATCGCATTGGTAATCTTTGCGGCCCTCGTGGAGTGTTGTCACGTGCAAGACTAAATTTCGCTTATTTACGAATTTCTTCTCACATTGGTCACATACATAATCTTTGGGACTTTCGTGGACTTCTTTTTGGTG